AAGGCAAGAGCTGTCCATCCACTCTTCGCACCGCCATTTGAGTGCCACAACTCCAGGTCTACAGTTGCTTCGCGCTCAAGCAGGACCTTGACCGTCGGGACATGGTTGTCATCCGCAGCAAGCATTAGAGGGGTGAATCCGTCTGGAGATCGAGCATCTGGGTCAAATTCACGATCCAGCAAGAGCCGCACCATCTCTAGCTTCTTCACCGCATTAAATAGTGGTGATTGTTCTTGGTGTGCGGCAGCGTGCATATCTCCGTCTTTGTCTAGTAACAGGCGAACCACTTCAACGTAGTCGCGCTCTACGGCGCTATCGAACGCTGTCCGACCTTTAGCGTCTGCGAGTTTGGCATCCGCCCCATGGTCCAGCAGGTATTTGACACAAGGCACGTCGCCGAGTAAAGCAGCATGCAAGAGCGCTGACATTCCAGAGGCGTCGATTTCGTCAACGTGTGCACCCTTTTGATGGAGTAGTTTCAGCAGTTTGAATCTCAAGTCAGCATCCGTCACATTACTAAAGATCTGGGTAATTATTGGCGGGTCCAGCTTAGGGTGATTTGGATCTGCGCCATGTTCGAGCAGAAGGTCGCATAGATCTATGTGCCCCTCGCTAACAGCGTAATGAAGAGGTGTGCCATGGGGCCCAGGAAGATTCGCGTCGGCTCCGGCTTCGAGTAGGATTCTCAGACATCGTACGTATCCTTCCTCGGAAGAGACGATCAAAGGCGTCCAACCTGAGGAGTCCTGCTCGACCGATGTTCCAAGACTTGTGTCCGAGCCGTGGGTAACTAGCACTTTGACCGACATGTAGTTACCCCAGAGGGACGCTTCATAGAGGGGTGTAAAATTGTTTTCATCCCTGGCATCCAGATCCGCGCCAGCTTCTTCTGCTAGAATACGTGCTGCTTCTGCATGACCGTTGGCGCAGGCTATGTGCAGCACTGTTTGTCCATAGGGCCCACGGTAGTTGACGTCTGCCCCACCCTTGAGCAACACTTTCAGAACCTCGACATGACCATTGCGGGCTGCAATGTGGAGAGGTGTGGATTGCCGTGTTGGGTCATTTGGGCGCACGGGGATTCCTAGGTCTAGAAGAGCTGACACAACTTGATCCATACCCAGCCACGCAGCCCGGTATAGGAGAGAGACTGGCCAGTTGAAGTTCTTGTAATCCTTTTCAATGTGTCTGATCAAATACATTAGGGTGTCTTCATCGCCATTCGAGCCCGCAGTGACAAGAGTTTCCTGCAAAGCTGCCTCAGAATGCTTCATTTGTGATAGAAGCTTTCGGACCTCAGCAGGAAAGCCGTTCATTGCTGCCTCGGCAAGCGCAAGTGAGAGATCGGTGTCCCCGTTACGCCATGGTTCAGCATCCTCAGCCAGACCCAAAGCAGTGAAGAGAGGGTATAAGGATTGGAAGCGAGCACTTCTCAATATAGGTTGTGCTAGGACCCAGTGGCCCTGCGACCAGCAGTACACCGACTTGGATTCGACAAACTGGCGGAGTAGATTTCGAGGTCTAAGGCGAGGAGGAATGAGCGCAAAATGATCTGTCCAATACTTGATGGCATACGAATAGAGACTGGTGCGGTCTGGGAAAGTGGGGGCATCCATTGAAGACGGGTCAACATCTGTCGGGATAAATGGTTGTATATACTTCGTCTCAATAATCTCCTTGACGCTATCCCGCTGTAGGTACTGGAGACAAGTCTCGACAATGGTTTGGTGCACACCTGGGACTTCGTCTTTCGTCAGCTCCAGGAGTGCTTGTCGTATTTGCACATTTACCACCATAATTTCGTTTTCCGTAATCTTGAGAATGCCTGCGAACCAGATGTGGATTTTATCCACGATGTCTGCAATGAAATCCGCACTTGCCGTGTGTTCGGTTTCGCGACCTTTCGAGAAGCTAATGAAGATGGCAGTTCCCAGCTCCCATATTGTCAGTGGCAGGACGGAATATATAGCCCAAATGAGAATACGGCGCGCCAGAAGAGGGTCAGGTACACCTCCAAGAATAAGTTTCAGAATCGAATTGAGCGTTGGATCTTCAGCTGAGCCGAGTTGAAACTGAAGCGAGGTGGTGTACGCTGACCATTCATCGCGTACACGCGCTTGCTGCAGAATCACTTGCCGCACCACGGGGTCCACTTTATCAAGTTTCGACATCTTCTTATCGATAGAGTCTGTCTCTGACCCGATTCGCGGTGTGAGCTGAAGTAAGCGTAATGAGTCCGGATGCGTAGTCGCGGCTGCATCAACCAAAAGACTGTCGAGATCTAGAGTTTGGCAGCCAGAAAGCTCATCCAACAAGGCACCTGGCTCGCGAGAGGTCACAACAATCTTCCACGGGCGTTCTTGACGTTCTGAAATGTATGCGAATCGACGAATGAATCGTTTCCGTGAAGCGTCGTCACAATCGTCGAAGTGGTTGATGACACAAGTCACGCCATCAATCTGGCCTCTGATGCGAAAATACTCAAACCAGCAGAGGAGGTCAACCTTATTCATGCTACGATCGAGTCTGAGATTGTTGAATTGGAGGAGAACAAACTCTGCAAGACTTGGGTGGTGATTAATTATCTGAGCTAAAAATGTGCTTAGCATATCGTTGGTGGATCTGTAGCGGACATCATATGCGTCGAAAGTGAAAAGAACAACGACTTCGTTCTTCTCACTCGCTTGGCGAGTCTCGTCAAGGCTATAAAAGATGTACTCTGAAGCTTCCTGTGCTCCTTTCCCGTATATGTAGAGCAGTTGCGGATCTGGCCAGTTTAGCCATGTTTGATATGTCTTATCCGAAGTGATCCAACTAAACGGGTGGTCAGGATTGTGGGCAGTGAGGAGAGCAAAGAATGGGGATGCCAAGTTCAATAGCGTGCGCTCGTGGCTTAATGTTCTAGAATCCGGGGCGAGTTCTATGATGTCTTGTCAGTTACAAGGCCTAGACCATTCAGACTCTAGCGAGTTTCCGTACGTAATTGCATCTTCTGTGGGTTTTGGAAGATTTCATCGTGGTCTGCGCTGCTGGACTTTATTTGTCTCTCGAACGGGGCGCCAAGGGTACCGCAAAATATGTCAAATACCTAGACCAGTTAGTCATGTGGTCTCATGAGCAGAACCTATGGAACAAGGGGAGGGGAAGCTCGACTCCTACTACCTACCGGATCGATATCAATGTCTTTTTCATCTCCGCCCGCGTAGATGCTGACGGCGTGGGTTCGCAAAATGCTCTTGGACTGCAGGAAAAGACCATTGATCTCCACTGCGGCGGTCGCAAGGCTCCCTGTTGATTTCATGGTGACCGCGTCACCAAACTTGCTGTTCACAGAACGTCCGAAAAGGAACCGAGCTATCCTATTCTCCATATCGGAGATGCCATCGCTTCTATGTGGACATCCGTAGAAGATCTTCCGCGGTCAGAGAAAAAGGCAATTGCATGGTGAAGAGAGCAGTAGCAACACGTACGAGAAGGCGAGTGTAGTCAAAAATGTCACCGTAGATGTTGGCATGGAGGCTCGCAGCCACCAGCACCTAGATAGTCAATCATTGCTTAGCTAATTGAGGCTCAAGATCGTCGAACTCTTTACAACATACGTCCTTCACGATGATTCCTCCAATATCATGCGCAAGAAAGGCGATTGGACGTCGCTACCGACATATCGTCAGCCATCCCTCCCACTCAGGGAGATTTCAATCTGCTTCATACCTTGATATCATTCTTTCTCTCCAACATGAGATCGTCTAAGAGCTGCAAAGCCTGCTTGCGGATGACCTCGCGCGTCTGGCGTCCTGCTAGAATTCGGCGCACGTCGTAGCCGAATGACATAACACGCTTGCCTTCCCAATTGCGGTAACGCATCCAGGAACTATCACCGGACCCTTGGTTTGTCCATGGCATGTCTCGTTCTCCATGGATTCCGTGGACAGCGACAATGCTGCGATGGGTGACATGAATCAGTAGACCCCCAGCCGGTGAGTAATACAAGACTTACTCATAGTCACTCAAGACACTCACGACATCGCCGGAATCTTCATGCCACAGCAGAACCAGACCGTCAGGACGCGTTGGTGCCATGACGATGGGGTCACAATCGACCTCTCCACTGGGAACTCTGTGCTGGTCCTCTGTTGGGGAAGCATTGCTGCTGCGGGCAGACGCCTCAGACATCGTTTCGTCAGCGAGGAATCTCGTATCTTAGAGGCTCTAGCCTCCAAGCCAACTTGCAAACTCTGAAGATAGATGGAAATGGGCGAAAGCGGATTTATAAAATTGCCATCGGGAAGGGATCAGGACGTCCTCCTGCTGCTGCTGCTGCTGCTGCTGCTGCTGCTGCTTCTTCTTCCCTTCGAATTGAGGTACCATCCACACAGCTCTGCCGTGCCACACACGATCAGGGCGAGTGGCCTCGGTTTCATAATGGCCCCCAACAAGCCCAACAGGCCGCTTTACGACAGCCGTGTGACAGGCTGACAGGAGGCTTGCAGAGAGTTGTTCGCAAGCGCCACGGCCTCCAGGATCTACCGCCATCTCACGTCATCTGTCCTTCTAGGCGTCCTGTTTTGGAAAGAGCTGGAAGATTGCCACGATCTGGTTGGCTCCGTCAACTCACGAATCCCATCAACTATTACTAACATACGCAGATGTTACACTGCGTTTCAAATACTGCATGAGGAATGCAGGAATACGTGGCAGCTCAAGAAACACTTACAACAGGACGGGGGCAGAAATCTTGCAAGCGACAGGTCTGGCGGAGCCTCAGAATAGCTCTCTAGCTCCTTGGTGCCAATCATCGATTCGTCGGAAGTCAGGAAATCAGATAGGAGAGCGGCTTGAAAGACGGGACGGCCAGCCTTCCTCGGATCCTGCAGCAAGCCCCTCCAGTTCTGGGGCAATCCAGGCCCTTGCAGACCTCCAAACGCGTTTGACCCTTGACTCGTTCGGCATCCATCGTTTTCGTTCGTTCTATTTCTTCTTGGCTCTTCAGGCTCGATCCTCAATTGCAGACCAGCACCGACATCCGCAAAATCGAACACAGCCATTCATGGCTGAGAACAGCAATCTCGTTGACGATGCCACTGCGATCGAGATCGAACTAGGTTCCGGCGACGAGGGCGACGAAGCAAGCACCTACCGGACGCAGAATGACCCCTCACAGCCATACCAGCGAAGCAACGTGATTGAGCGCAAGGGCTCAGTGAGCATCCACTGCGTGGCAGTCGACGTGGTCCACGGAACCCTGGAGCCGGAGGGCGAGCTCGCCACGCTGCTGGTCTTTGATTTCCAGTTCGACCCCAACAAGCGCGCTCGCCGCATCGTCGAGGCAAAAATGAGCTTCGTCTTCGCCAGCACTGGCGGCGACCCAGCCCCTGCGGTACTAAAGATAGCACCCCGGGGTCGCATGACGGTCGTGCCGACGCCGCAGACCGAGAGCACGACGCGGGGCGCGAAGGCGGAGGCGGGGGGTGGGGCGCTGGGCATTTCCCTGGGCGCGGGCCTGACGTGGGAGAAGAGCGTGAGCCGCGAGACCAGCGATGCCACCACCGTGGTGGGCTCCATCGATCTGGTGGGCCGCAACTACGGGGCCTCGAACGGCGTCAGTTGGGCCCTGATCGAGAACCGCAGCGTGGAGACGGGCGTGCCTGCACATGTGCGGACGGCGGTCCTGCTGCAGCGGGCAGCCCCTGCGTCGTCGTCGTCGTCGTCGTCCGCGTTCCAGGCCATCGTCACGATCCGTGCCCAGGCAGATCTGCGCAGCTCGGTGTCCTGGCTGTTTGGGAAGACGCCCAAGGACGACCCGATCCTCTATGACCCATCGCTGCCGCCCACGCATAAACTGCAGCACTATGAAGTCGACCAGCTGGGCAAGGTCGATCTCCAGGCCCTCAGCGCCATTGCATTCACCAACGACGGCGCCAGCGGGTGACGAAGATGAGGGTGGGTCGGGCTGGGGCTGGGGTTGTGCTCGTGCTTGTGCTTGTGCTTGTGGTTGTGGTTGTGCTTGAAGTTGGATTGAGGCTGGGGTTGAGCTTTGGGGGCGGATCGAGCCGTGTTTAATGGGGCTCGACAGAGCTACAACGTATCTAGGGAAAATAATGTAGCGAGACAGGGGTGTTCCGCACTGGCACGGACCAGAAAGCAAACAATACGAACTTTTAATTGGCTTTTAGCCCTTGTCTGTGGCTCTCTCGCTACATTATTTTCCCTAGATACGTTGTACTGTACTGTAGGAACGGGCGCTAGCACTAGCACTAGCACCAACGATCACTAAGACGACCTTAACCACCTTGCTGTGCCGTGCTTCCTTTGTACTTCCTTCGTACTTACATCGTACTTACACTTCTGGTGTTTGTGCAGGCGCAACCTGCATCTCTCTCTGAACTTGGAGCAATCCAGCTGATTTGCATTTTCGCTCTCCCGAGGCTTGAGCGTCCACCTTTCATTCCCTCCCCCGTGAAACCCGTGAGGCCCGTGATAGATAAGGTAAGATACCGCAACGATTGTGCAATGCCAGGAGCGAGCGAAGCTTTTTTGCGGACCACGCGTGACACAACGGCATCATGGCACCGCATGCGGATCTAGATGATGAGCCAGAATCCATCGATGTGGAGAACGACGAAGAACTAGCCAGTGAAGGAAGTGATGAGGATAACGATGAGGACTACGGAGAGGACTACGGAGAGGAGGAGGAGATCGACGTGAAGAAGCGATTAGACGAAATCATTCTTGACCTCAAGTCTGGCGCGTTGGACCTGACAAACTCCTCACAGCGCGATTCCTTCATCGCGCGGAACAACGATGTTTTTAGAGCGAAGACCCTCGACGAGGACCAGTCTAACATGCTACACCTGTTGGCGCTGGGCGACAAGGAAACCTTGCCCCCAATAGAACAGCTCGACTCGCTCGTGAAGATTCTAGTGCGACTGCCCGAGAATCTGCTTGCTGAGAAGGATGGAGACCGCAAGACACCTCTCTATATCGCAGCCACGCGTGCGAAGAAGGTCCAACGGTTGCTTCGCACCATGTGTGAAGCCCACGAGACCATCGACGACGTTCTCGCCATCCAATGCTCGGAGAAACAGACCTGCCTCCACAGCGTGATTTGCAAGAGGATCCCGCAGGTCCATATCTTGTTCCTCATCGGCTTGGCTGGAAAGAAGACATTATGTGTTCAGGATAATCAGGGTAACACCCCACTTCATTATGCCGTCAAGTACGAGTTCTGTTCCGAGGAGCAGATCAAAATCGTCAAAGCTCTTGTGGCAAAGTCCGACGCGGGAATGGATATTGTGAACAGCAAGGGCTTGTCGCCATACCGCTTCCACGAAGAGACCCACACAGAGGCAATCAACCAGGCTAAGAAGGCCCAAGATATCGCCCTTCAGAGAGAAGGTGGAGGAAAAGAGCCTGACCGAGGTGGTGGTAGTAGCCAAGGTAAACCAGAGGGTTCAGTGATGGATGGCTTGGGGAAGCAAGACCGGCCGGATCATAGACAATACAGGCCGCATCGTCCACCGTCAACCCACAGCTTCCGAATGGTGCAAAGAGTAAACACTATGTCAAACGCGCCCCCCGGGAAGTATGGTGTTGGCGCTTCAAGAGCGGCGGCAGCACAGGTGGTGGATTTGCCAAAGAACAAGTCGACTATAGGGATAAATGAAGACCCTGGCGCGGATGGTAGTGTAGTTGGGAAGGATCGTGCGAAGAGACCAAGCGCCGGTCTCAAGAACAGAAAGCCATCAAAAGGGCAGACGAAGTCCAAAAAGGACTCGAAAGAGTGCACCAAGCCGTCACTTGACGCCGCCAATGCAATCAAGAGCTTCCTCAAACTGCATTATCTGAGGACAAGGAAGCACGATGAGGCTGTCGAGTTCCTGTATGGCCCTTCACAAGGTATGTCTCCTATTTAATCCGCGCCTGCTTTTTTCCGTATCTCAAAACACGTCTGACTTATCGTCGCTGCCGCCCAGAACGCCAGATCTATTTTGATCTGTACGGTTGCGGCCCGACCATCAGCCAGAGCTGGATTAAGAGCGGCGTCGAGTATCTCAAGTTTGAGGATGTTCTCCAATATGTAGCGGTACCACAAGTTCGAGTTGAAGGCCCGCAGGGTCCACAAAGTTCTAACAAGGGACATTCCAGGGCTGATGGTCCGGGCCGCACCGATCTGGACTTCCTTTTCAGGTGGCTCAAGGAGCAGAGGAACGTCAAGACCATTCTCAGGGTTATTGTAGACGATCTTAAGGAGCCAGCGCACAGCGACGACGCCATTGAGAAGGCGCTCAAAGGGATGAGTGTGGAGGACTGGGATTGGCGCAAGATTGATTTGTGCAGCGAGGTCATTCACACGGTAGCGCCAATGGTGCGGACTGTGCATCTCTATTGGGGCGGCAACAATACGATTCTGAGAGGGTGGAGTGAGCCAGAGGGCCTGGCAAAGCTGGAGAAACTGGAAAAGGTGCATTTGCATGAGCGACAGGTGAGTTTGGCTATTAAATAATCGCACCCTACAGCACCACTACCACCACCACCATTTCCTCCCTGGCATCGAAGTAGACCACGAGCAACAGAAATATCTGACACGTTAGCCAGGGACTTGAAACCTTGGAGCGTTCAAAGCAATACGTGCAGGCATTCAAAGACCGCATGAAGAAGCACTGCCCCAAAGTCGTGGTAGAATCGATCTCTAAGCAGCACTCTACCGTCGAAGGGAGTGCAGCAGCACAGGTAGACGCTCAGCAGGCAGAGCAAGAGGTGCAGCATCGATGGTTAGCGACCATGGACGCTTACGCCGACGTGCTGCAGAACATGGCACAAAACATCGAACCACCGCTAGTGCTCGAGGAGCCTATCACAGTAGCATTGATTGACGACGGCATCGACATCAAAGACATCTCACTGCAGAGCAGAATTGTGGGAGGCCGAAGCTTCTGTCACCGAAGCATGGAGCAGAACCTCAACCAGCCGTATTATGTGTCGAGCGGCGGTCATGGAACCGCAATGGCGGGCTTGATCTGTCGAGTGTGCCCTGGCGTGAGGCTTTATGTGCTGAAACTAGATGAATATGTGATCGAGGCTGGGAAGAGGCAGATCACCGCCGAGAGTGCAGCAAAGGTATGTAGCCTCATCATCTAAAAGGGGACCTTTCGGTCTGCACCAACACCCAAAATTGCACCGACTAACCGTGAACTCATTTCCTTCCTAGGCTATTCAAGCCGCCGTGGACAAAGGTGTGCAAATAATCTCCATGTCATGGACCATCGAACGGACAGAAATGAACACCAAAGGCATCGGCCGGCTCGAGAAGGCCATCGAGCTTGCAGCCAACGAAGGCATCCTGATGTTCTGCGCGGCGACCGACCAAGGCGTGTACCGGGACCGCAGCTTCCCAGCCGCGTCATCCACCAAGAGACTCTTCAAGATCGGCGCGGCCGAGGCATCCGGCACCGCGTCCAAGTGGATCGGCGACCAGAGCGCCATCGACTTCATCTTCCCCGGGCAGAACGTCGAGCCGCGGACCGGCGATGGGCCCCTCGACAAGCACACCTCCTTGACCGGGTCGTCGGTGGCGACGGCGCTGGCTGCCGGCCTGGCAGCCGTCATCCTGTACTCTGTGCAGGTTGGTGCCCTTAATCCGACGGAGAGAGCGAAGCATAAAGGCCTTACGATGGAAGACTTCCGCACCCTAAGGAAGCATGAGCGCATGAAAGAGGCGTTTCTGGAGATCGGCACTACGGGCGAAAGCGATAAGAAGTACATCGCGGTCTGGGAACGGTTCGACGAGGTGGTGAAGAAGGCGAAAAGCCAGGAGCCGGACACGGTCATCGACGTTGTGTCTGGGTTGGCTAATTTGCTGAAGAAGAGACAGTTATAATATTCTCGCGATTACTTTTCAGGGCGGGGGTCTTCAACGATCACAAATATTCACTTTGTTTCTTGGGTGCGTGAATCTGCTTTCTACTCGAAGGGAATATAACAATTTCCACGACTTCGCACTCCAAAGTCTCGTCACACCTTCTACAAACAAATCGAGTATACCATATTCCAATTCCTCACTTGCGGAGCGTGACCACCTTAGTATCGTCTCTACCTTTATTGCAAATTTCGGGAGTGTTTTTTCAGGACATTTCCCAATACCACCCTACTCTGCAACCCGAAGGATAAGGTGAGACAGAGATACGCTGAAAGTATCCTTGTATCTTACCTTGCTGCTATGTAACCTCACGTGCATAGGCTACTAGCTCGCATTATGACTTGCTTGCTTCGTCAAGGATGTCTAGAAGTGGCGCCAAAAAAATAATAAGATTCGAACGTTCGAGCTAAATATGCAAACCCACAGGCAACATCGCAGTTTCCGCTTATCTCGAATTCTTTTATGGCGTGGGAGTCTGGGTCGCTAAAAATGTGCCGGCTCGCTTAATAATAGGGGGCGAATCACTAAAGCTAGGGAAACAACTAGTTTAATATAGGAATGTTTTCAAGACATTCTCTATTTCTGTCTTTGGGCTTGAGCTGCTATTGCTTTAGCCTAAGCTGCGGGTAAGCAAACTTAATCCGCGAATAAATATTCTTAAATATTATTTAAATATTATTTAAATATATATTAAATAAATATAAATATTTATTAAAAATTAATTAAATATTTATAAAGGCTTATTTTAATATTCTTAAAACTTAATTATATTATTTTTATTTTTATTAATAAAAATAAATCTTATTTTAATTTTAATAAAACTAAATAAAAAATATAATATAATATATAAATTAAGCTTATTATTATTATATTATTAGCTAAGCTAAAAGATTATAATATTTATAAAATTAGCTAAAATATAATATATTTAAAAGTAGTTATAAAAGAAAATAAAGAAAAAGGTTTAAACTAAATAAAAGAAATTATTATTATTATATAAATTAATAATATAATTAAAGCTTAAAAATAATTTTATATTATAAGAAAAGTATATAAGAATAAAGTTTTAAAATATAATCTTTTCTAGATTATTAATATAATAAAAATATAAAACAAGTAATAATATATAAAGAAAAATAGGCTCTTATAATATAAAATTATAATATATAAGTGAGATATAAAATTAGAGAATAAAGGTTAATTAATTTCTAAGAACTAAGAAAAGCGAGAAATATATATATAAAGCCAGATATATAAATATTTAGAGGTTATTTAATTATATTATATAATTAATAAGAATAAAATTTCTATTATAATATTAAATTATATTTTAAAAAATCTTTTTATTATAAATTAAGAAATATATAATTATAATATAAAAGTTATAATATATTAGCTTATACTTATATTAAAATATTATAACTTAAGATTTTTAAAGAGCTCAAAAAGCTAATTACAAGTTATTAATACCCTTGCCTTAATTAATACCCCAAATCAATATCAGGGGAGGGAAGAGGGGTCGTTTTACTTTTTCTCATATAATTGAATTAAATCAAAGAAAAAAGCCAGATTTTCGGTGTTCCTGTCCGAGCGCCTCTACTTTGGGTTGGTGGCTGGTCTGGTCCCCCAATCGACACCCGGGGGCGGCAGGGAGGGGGTCGTTTTACATTTTCGCCTTATTTTATTACAGAAAAACGTAACATGGCGCATTTCTCAGCTATTTTGATTAGATCCATGACTTACGTGAGATGCACAGCTTACGTGAGATTGCAGCTCCATTAAGCAAGTGCCTCTCTTCACATTGTTCCATCTTCACCGCCGTCAATCTTTAAATTTCGGCGACGATTAATTCTAGGCGCTCGGCATTCAAAACCAAAACTGGGGTAAGAATGGCTTCATTGGTAGACGTACCAATTACTTTTGGGCTGGTCGCGAGGACAATCGGCATTCTCGTCCTCTTCGCGGTCTTAAAGTTCTTCCACCGTCTCTATCAAGTTCGCTCATTGGTTCGGAAGGCTGCAAAGGAGGATGGAGTTGTGAGTCCATTCTCTTCTCGTTCCATATACGCAAGCTTACGCGGGCGCATTCAGAAATTCTTGCCCCATTCATTCCTCCTTGGGCATCTGCCAGTCGTAGCTCGGCTTATGGCCAAGTATCCGCTCGACACAAGTGGCCAATATGTTCCGCTCCTGCTGGCCAAAGAGTACCCGGAAATCTGCAATTGCGGGCTTGTCTACGTTGATACCTGGCCTTTTGCTCCACCAATGCTGGCCGTATTCCACCCAGACATGATGTCCCAGTTCACGCAGGAGACGTCCTTACCAAAGCACGACATGATGCGCAAGGAATTTATGCCGTTCACCCAGTGTAAGGACCTGGTGAACCTGGAGGGCCAAGAGTGGAAGGCCTGGAGAAGCATTTTCAATCCTGGATTCTCGGCTAAGAACCTCCTTTCGTTTGTCCCAGCTATTCTCGAGGAGGTTCACGTATTCAGAGCCTGGCTGAAGAGTGTCGCTAAATCGGGAGAGGTGGTGAAATTGGAAGAACAGGCAATGAAGGTGACGATAGATGTTATCGGCCGAGCTGTACTGTAAGTTCAATCCCCTACGGCAAGCGTGTCGTTCTCTCTGGACCAAATCAACTGAGCCGAGCGCACATAGGGACACACGACTCCATTGCCAAACCCGGACAAACCGATTCTACAACGTGATGAAGAATCAAATCAGCTGGCTCCTTGTCGACAACTCACCTTCTACCCTCCGTAAAGCAATGAATCCTTCCCGACCGCTGATGACATGGAACAACAACCGCATCATAAAGAACTTTCTCCAGCCGCACATCGAGCGTAGCATCGCCCGACACGGCACACCCATCAAAGGCCCGCAGACTATCACGGACCTCGCCATCAAATCATATGTGACTGAAGTCCAACCCGTCTCCCAATCTAGCAATGCAAACGCTCGCTTCATCAACCAGACCATCGAGAACCTGAAAATCTTCATCTTTGCAGGCCACGACACGACCGCTAGCACACTTAGCTTTGCCTTCCACCTCCTGCACACCAACCCCGCCACCCTCGCAACCCTGCGTGCCGAGCACGACGCTGTCTTCGGTACAAACCCCAGTACCGCATCTGCCACTATCACCGCGTCGCCCCAGCTCCTGAACCAGCTCCCATACACGTCAGCCGTCATCAAAGAGACTCTGCGCCTGTTCCCACCCGTCGGCACTGTGCGTCGCGGCAGCGCAAGCTTCTACCTCACTCATCCGGAGACTGGTACCCGTTATGCCACGGACGGCTTAATGTTGTACGGCTGTTCGATGGCTGAGCACCGCCTTAATGCCTTCTGGCCACGGGCCGCTGAGTTCGTGCCGGAGCGCTGGTTGGCCCGCGAGGGCGACCCGCTGCATGTGCGCAAGAACGCTTTTCGTCCGTTTGAGCTTGGCCCACGGAATTGCATCGGCCAGGAGCTAGCGCAGCTGGAGCTAAGAGTCATTTTGGCCATGACGATCCGTGAGGTGGACGTGCGTAGTGTTTATCCTGCAGACGGCACGATGGTACTGGGCGAGCTAGCATATCAGTGTATGTTGCCTGGTGCGTTGACAGGGCATCCAAAGGGGATGATGCCAGTGACGGTTCAGCTTAGGGAGTAGCGGGGCCGAGACTGATCAGATCTGAGGTCCGCCTTGTTTGCTGTTGTGTCTCGTAATGCCGCTAGAGTGTTAATTTTATCAAAGTAATTTTATTTTAATAAGATTTATATAAATCTTTTAATCTTATATATAATGTAAGAATATTAATAATTTAAAGAGTCTTTATAATGGAAGCTAGCTAGCTTATACCTTCTTATACTATATAGCAAATAAAGTATGGGATAATATATTATATTAGCTCTAGGAATTACATCCGTCGGGGTTCAAATCTCTGTTATAAATGTACCCCCTTCGAGTGCCGAAGTTAACCCTGTGAAGTGAAGGGCGCGACCCACCTTTGATCGCGCCACTGACCGCCCATACAAACACTATCCCGCCACTATCTCCGTCCCTTTAACTTTTCTTGTAAAGTTTCAAGGTCGATATATCGCTCTCTACACCAACTCCAAAGTCTCTTAGCGTTGGAGAGCATCGACAATGGCCCAAGTCGACGCCTCTCTCACAGCAGTGGAATCCCATACGGCTCCACATCCCGGCACGGAGGAGGGGGCAAATTCAGGACGACGACCAGAGTGCTTCAATTCAACATTGCAAGAGTGTCTCTTCGTGCTAACAGCAACGATGTCTATCGGCATGAGCTCATTTCTATATGGTATCACCACGGTAATTACGGCGCCCATTGGAAGGGATTTGCATATGACCAGCGCGCAGCTCACGTGGATCAATGCCTCCGGGGCGTGAGTTCTGCTTTTCGCTCCATATCCCACCCTCGAAGTTGCTAACAATGTCTAGACTGAGCTCGGGTTCTTTCCTGCTTTTCTTTGCCAAGGTAGCTGATACATTTGGTCGGCGCTCTCTCCTTATCTTCGCCATGGCCGCCTTTGCCATATCAAGTCTTATTGCTGGATTCGCTACCAACGCGATGTATCTGGATGTTTTTGGAGGTCTTCTCGGTCTCTGGCCTGCCGCTGCTGTTCCTCCTGCTGTTGGCATTCTTGGCGCAGCATACGGTGTCCCTTCGAAGAGAAAGAACAAAGCATTCGCCTGCTTCAGTGCAGGAAATCCTGTTGGGTTCGTGATGGGGTCAATATTTTCAGGGGTGGCAGCGAATTTGTTTAATTGGAGAGCATCCCTGTGGCTGCTGGCCATCATCTACGTATGCTTCTTCGTGGCTGCCATTTGGACTGTGCCGAAAACTCAGGCTGAGACAGAGAGGTTGAGCTGGGATGTTTTGAAGAGGCTTGATTTGTTTGGAATCTTGTTGAGTATTGCGGGTATTGCGTTATTCTGCTCCTCGTTGACGTAAGTTGCTTCTCATCAATGTTCAACCGTGGTGACTAACACCTAGAATAGCATTGCAGGTGGAGCTGCTCATGGTTGGCGAACAAGCTATGTGTTGGTGCTACTTGTGCTTGGTATTGCTCTCATGGTGAGCTTTATCGGATGGGAAGGGTATTGTAAATACCCATTAATGCCTCTTCAAATCTGGCGGGACAGAAACTTCTCTCTCGTTTGTCATCCCACTCCACTCTCTCCAACAATCATTGACTCGTGTAGATCAGCGTCGTCGTTTTACTGGGCTTCATGTCGTTCACTACATCGGCATTCTGGCTGTCTCTATACATGCAAAATGTTCTGAAATTTTCAGCCCTCAAAGTTGCCATTCATCTGCTACCACAAGCCATCGGTGGTATTTTGGTCAATGTTTTCGCTGGACTGGTCTTGCATCGTGTCAACAACAAACTTTTGACCGGAATTGGCGCTCTGGCTTATCTCGGCTCTGCCATCTTGCTTGCAACAATGAAAGAAGAGAGCTCATACTGGGCGTTTATTTTCCCTTCCCTACTGCTATCGGTCATCGGTGCCGACCTGCAGTTTAATGTCGCCAACGTGAGTCTGCCGGGTTCCCGACCTCCGTCCCAGAACTGACCAAAGCAGATGTACGTCATGTCCTCACTCCCACCAAACCAACAATCCCTTGCCGGCGGGATCTTCAACACCGTGACCAAGATCTGCTCTGCAATCGGTCTCGGCATCTCAGCTAGCCTATACAACGCGGAGTCCTCTGGAACTGCAGCTCTTCAAACGGCGACCAAGCCGTACCATGGTGTATTTTGGTTTTGTGTTGCGAGTGCGGCGTTGGGTTTGTGCTTTGTCCCGTTTCTGACGATTGGGACCCAGGGCCAGGAGAGTAAGGCATCGAGTGTGACGAACTATGTTGATGAAAAGAGTGTAAGTAATGAGAACGGGAAGAAGCCCTAAGATCTTGCGGTTCAGGATGTTCGGGCTGGGGAGAAGCAGCAGTAACAAAATCTGGGTCGCCTGGTGAAAGGATTAGGATTAAGTTATAGCCAGTAAATAACTCGTATACACACAGGTATACCAAGAGTAAATAGTACTATACTGAAACTTGGCAGTTTAACGAGAAAGTGGTCCAACCGAGGAAGCGAGGGACGGCAAAAGGAGGCCTGACAAGGATTGCGGTGACCACTTTTGGATCAGTGATTCCAAAGGGTGGCGAGTGGGAGTAAAGGGTGGAGAGTGGGAGTAAGTTGCGAGCTGAGCTTCACGGTATCCCGTGGCAGTGAGGGCCATGAGCGCCCGGGACAGTTGGTGTTATATGATTGGCTATGCCGAGCAACCATCCAGCACCAATCATATGCAGTAAGTTCATACCGAAAACTCCCCGTTAGGCTCTGTGGAGCCAACGTCTCGTTGCGAAGAAAGCCTTAAGCTGCTGAGTTCATCCTCGTGCATATAAGACTAGGCAGTACAGGGTGGGATTAAATTGTCATTGGCAAGGACTTTTTGCTTTTTGTCGCCCAACTGGCAGTCAGCCTCCAACAAGGCTCCGCGTTACCCCCAACGGAGCTGAACGAGCCAGCTGGGATAAAAAAAACAGACTACCTCAGCTTCTTGCGGAAGACGAGGAACGAGAAACGTCGACAGCTTTGCCACATCACAGTTATATAATCGAATAAATTCTCAATCAATCTAATCGTACATCTGTATTACTCCGTCAAGATGTTTTGGAAGGTTTTTACATGCTTATTTTTGCTCCTCGAGCTTATCGCCGCGAAATCGAAATTCACAATGTCACCTGGGTTCTTTGTCAGCCCGTATGCAGCTGGCCATGACACTATGAACCTCACTTGGGTCAATGCTTCTGGCCCAATAACGCTATGGTTAGAAAATGGCCCGGTTGAGAACCTTGTGCAAGTGGAGAGAATTGCTGAACTTCCGCCATCGACAACTTCCTACCTCTACACCCCACCCGTAAGCCTTGCGAATGGAAACTACACTTTCCAAATCCAGGACGCAGATGGTTCAAACTGGTCAAAGTGGTTTACCCTCACTAACGGAATTGGGGCAACTTCGAGCTCCCTGTCCCAATCCGCTTCAAATGCGCCTGTTGTATGCTACCCCCGCTTATTTCCAAAGTTTCTTACTGACCTTAAATGGAGCCAACATCCACATTGAGCCCTAGTGCATCAAACTCACCCACCTCACAACCATCCACGTTGAGCCCTAGTGCATCAAACTCATCCACCTCACAACCTCTACAAAAGCTTTCAACAGGTGACAAAGTAGCAATAGGCGAGGGGGCTGTACTAGGGGTTGTCTTAGTCGCAGTTGCTATCTGGTTCACCTGGGGGCATAGGAGACCCTCCGCCACGAATCTCCAAATTCTCCGTTCAGAGGCGTCATTCCCCCTTTCTTATTTACCGAATGCCGCTAAGTAAAGGGATTTCTAGCTAGGGGCAGGAGAGGCTAGACGAGAGGGAGATCTTCAGACGATTGCGAGTACGGTTACGATTAGGGTTGGCACTTTATTGTAAAAGAAAAGTGTTTTACTATTACTACCGTAATTTATTGAGTAAAGCATTTTACACCTTATATTACAGTCATGTGACGTACTAGCCTAATCGAGCGAGCGGTAAGCAAGCGGCAGGGAAAAATCTCCCTCCTGAATGCTCCATTATTCCTAATTATTAATTATTAATACTATAAGAATTAATAAAATAGGAGGCAATAACGTTTAGCATGCTCTTAAACATAATTGGGTTTACGATACCTTTAATAAGAAGCCCTCAAAACCTGGATAATCTAGCTATTTGCCCATTGCCGCTACTATAAAGACAGTAAAGACCCTCTACTATTTGCCCGGATATGGAATACTATAATTATGGAAAATCACCTTAAAACATATACTTTATATCTCCAAATAGAAAAGTATTAAAAAGAATAACAGGTAAATGGTCTTCCTAATAATAAGAAGCAAAAGAAGCTTACTTTCCATTCTTACGGTATTCCAGCCTCCTCAAAACACAAGCTTAATACCTTATTTAATATAGCTATCTTTATATCCTATTCGTCTTTCTATTAATTTGAGACTCCCAAATAGCAAGAGTTTTTTAAAGCTTTAGGCTATACCTCTTCTAATTACTATACTCTTGGTTCTATAATTCTCGATTAGTACTATAATTCTATAAAGATATAAGTTACCGAAATTATTAATACCTCAAGTAATATCGGTATTGTTATAGATAAATCTATAAATATTAGTACTATATAAATCGAAAATATATTAGTAATTATAAAGGAAATATTATACTTTTGAAGTAATAAGAGCTTAGAAAACAAGAATATAACTACAAATATAACTATTTAGTCTATAAAGCAGAAGGCTCTGAATATTATATAAGAAGATCTCAAGAGGCTAGGGTCTTTATTAATAGATACCTGTTCTATATAGCAAGCTAGTTAGGCGAAGCTTAAATTAGATCCTGATTTAGTATATGTCTTTAGTATTAGATATAATTCTTATAAAATTCAATTAATTATTAAGGATATTATAGAACCTGGGAAGGAGGCTAAGGTATAGATATTATCTAAACTTTATAACTTCTGGCTTAATTTCTAATTAATTATTTCATACTTTGAATATAAATTAATACTCTAATTAGCTATCTTATAATAAAAGCAAATAGTAATACTTAATAAAATAATTACTTTAATTATTACCGGGAATACTAAATAGGATATATAGTGTAATGGGCACACGTGATGGCGCATGGACAGGTGTCAGATGTCGTGGATCTAGTTTCCTATTTTAGGTAAAGCTTGCGATCGGAATCGTACGGATCGCATGGGATCGTGTTTCCTAGTTAAGTAAAGTGCTTCGCAGGCTTGGCTAAGCACTAGGGAACATATAGGGAGACGCTCCTAGCTTTGGAAAGGGGCATCAATTAGTCTTTTGTTGGAATCAACTCTTGGAATCAGTTACACTTGCAAGCGTCACTCCGCAGCTTACTTACCTTGACTACTTGTGCATCACCCTGCTATTACGTGCCTCACATATAGATAGGTTTAGAGAATCGGCCCTAATTAAATAATATCCCTAACTAATTAGCTATAGTTTTATTTAATTTAGTCTATCTTATAAAATAAGAGAGCTTTAAAGCTTTATATAAATAATTCATAAGTTAATAAATTAAAGGCTACTATAAAGAAAGTTATAGCCTTAATATAAAGCGAGAACTTCTGGTTCAAATTAAGGCAAATAAGAGACCTTTTTGAGGTTATTTATAAAAAGTAAAAGATATCTAAATTAACCTATAGTATAATTAGTATAGTATATCCTTATTAGATAGAAATTTGAGTATATTTTGAAAAATTTGCTAATCTTATATACTTTGCCTTTATATATAATATTCGAAAGTATCTCGATTATAAGACCTATAATTAGAATAGTCGATTTAAGAGGCAAGTACAAGTTTACTATTTCCTGGTATACTTACTTAGTCCCAAAAATCATACTAGATTTAATTAGTTTCTATAATTAAGCTAGTAAAAGGTTTCCGAGTTTCTAGACAAATATAGTAGTTTAGAAATAGTAAATGCCTTTATTAATTATATCTATCAAGATAGCGATTTTTACCCTGTAAATTATTATTAGAAGTATATAGAAAATAAGAAGATATTCTAGTACCTTTATATAAGTAATATATTTTTTAATTCTCAGGCTTTACTAAAATTTACTAGTAATTCATTAATAAAAGCCTAGCCACAATTGCCCTTTAATTCCTTAATACTACTGCGAATTCTATAGCCTCCGAATAAGCCTTCTTAGTTATGAACCTCCTTTATACGAAATCACAAAATCAATTATTAATTAAAGTACTTAATAAGCTCTCCTTTATATATATTAATATTCGGGTATTATAAAAGAATATGAGAATTATACTTGATAAAGATACTATATAAGATATTATGCTTAATTTAGAGGATAATTTAATAATAGCAGAGTACTTTCAAGGCTTATTTCAATCTATAATTCCTATATTGGTATTAGGGAAGAGAAGACAGGAGGAAATTAATATTACTAAAGCCCAGCAAGTAATTAATAAGGATATAATTACAAGGCAGGAGCAGGAGGGCCCTGTATAGGTAAACGATTTCCTGAATAGCTTCGATTTTGACGCCCTGGAATGGGCTAATTAAACCTTCTAATCTATATATATATAGATGTACGTGCTATAATAATAAAAGCTTCTTACATACCGTAAAGGTAAAGCTTTTTACATTATTACGGGTAATAATACAACCAGCCAACCCTAGTTACGATGGAACAGGCTTGGCAAAAATTCCTTAATTTCCGGTATCAATGCCAGAATGGTCAGGTATCGATAGTATCAATACCAGTATCGATTCCCGGAACCCAATTCCCCCCTTTGATTACAATTAATTTTAGAACCACTTCTCTTATAAGAAAACTTTTAGTAGCGCAAATATTCTACATAATTTAGGCTTTCTATTTAGCTACTTATCTTATATTTTAGACTAAAACTCATCTCAATGCGGCTATTTTAAGTAAAAATGAGCTTTTGAGATTTTCGTGAGGCTTGCTTATATATTTAGCGTCTTGATAAGAAATACGAATACGGGACTTAATTCTCCAAATACGAGGGCTATTTTAAATTTAAGATTTTATTAACTTTTATTAATAATAGTAAGTAATTATTTTCATAGAAAGACTAGAAATGAATGGAGTTATATACAAATAATAAAAGAAAGAGTTAATTTTTGGGGTAAGAATCGATTCTGGTCTCGATACTATCGATTCCTTGCGATACCTGACTAATACCATCCAGTATCGATACCGGTATAGATGCCTCAGGTATTTTTGACAAGCCTGCGATGGAAGGGTAGTTGAATGGCGACGAGAAAATGGACGTGCAGAGGCGGAGGAGAGCGGCTGAGCTGGAGGGGAGTATGCGTACGGTTGTCCCTGCGGTTGCGAGTGAGAGGGCTGAGCTGGAAGCTAGGAGGAAGGGACGAATTCGGAGACAAGTGTGCTTAGTTTGTGACTTTCTGTTGGCACCATCGCCTTTCGTAACCCTTACGCAGCGCCATATGCCCGTGTCCATGTCACTCCTCTCCTGCTCAGCTTCCTCTAAGTAGACTCACAGAAGTAAAGGAAGAATCCATGTTGCCGTAAAGAATGGACGCCGAAGAATAGAGTGGAAGCTAAGCGAAGCTGGCCCCCTGATCCCGCTTTCCGAGGCAGTCTCACTTACAGGGATGATAACACTTGACAACCTTGAACCCGCAACTTTTCGGATTCATGAAGTGAACTGAAGAGCCGAAGTCGGATATGTAAAATACTGAAATAGTTTAATTCTTTCATGGATTTTCCTTGCGTAAACAATGAAAACTTGAAGTGTTCAGCTCCTTGGCGCATCATCTTCGCGTCACTCGCCCAAAAGTTAGAACCCAGCCTCCGATACTTTCCTCGCAACCTCACTGACATCTGCACCCTCAATACCACTAACATCGTAGTCCGCAAACTTCCTAGCTGGCACCCTCTTGGCAAACAGAATATCCAGCTCCCCAAATGTGCGTCCTCTCGTCTCCGGCAAGCGGAAGTATGCCCACACGAAGGTCAAGAATGCAGTCGCGCCCCAGATGAACCCCGTATAACCCTTCAAATTCCACTCTGTCGGGTTCATAAAGTACGGTTCAAGGACTCCCGAGATGACGGAGATGACGTAGTACGCGTTTCGAGCCAGACAGACGGTCTTTTGTCTCAAGCGGGTGGAGCCCATTTCAGCGGGAAGAGCCCAGCCTAGTTGCCCGACGGAAAGTTGGAAAGTGAATGTCCAGCCAAGCGTGAGTACTGCCTGCGTCATGCCAATGCCATGCTCTTGTGTCTTGACGTTCAGGATACCGATCACGAAGAGGATCGTGGCCATGGTGAACATGCCCCAGAGGTAGATCGTTCGTCGACCGAGATACGGCATGAGCGCGAACCAAGCGACAAGGGTTCCGAAGAGCGCCATTCCGGTTCCACCAGTGTTGAGCTTGTAGGTCAAGTCTGAGGAGAGCCCGACTTGCTGGAAGAAGTAGGTGGAGTTGTAGGCGAAGGTGCTGCCGGAAAGGACCTGGCCAGCGAAGGTAACGCAGGCAATTTCTGTGCGACGGAGCTCGGGGCCTTTGAAGCAGTCCATATAGGATGTGCCGGTTGAGAGCTCTTGTTCGAGGTTGTTGGTGTGCACGATTATGGCGAGAGTCTCTTTGGTGTCGATGCCGGCGGAGGAGCGGACGAGACGTTTCAGAGAATGTTCCGCTTCTTCGAGGCGGCCTTTGCGGACAAGATGCCATGGCGGCTCGGGAGCGAAGAGGAGGATGGGGAAGAGGAACGCTGGCCATGTCCATTGAATTGCTCGGATGAAGTCAGCTTGTGAGAATAAAAAAGAGAAATGTAGGCGAAACTTACCGAATGGAATTCTGTAGGCCCACTGACTTGTGATCTTAAGGCAGCCATCGAGAACACCAGCCGCGATGAGCTGACCAATGATGAAACACTGTGGGATTGTTAGAACCATGGCTTGGACGGGAGAATGTTCTCAGACATACCATATTTGTGTAGGAAGTCAGGTAAACCCTCAGAGAAAGCGGCAAGACCTCCGAAGCATAGGCAGGAGCAATGGTAGCGAAGACACCCCAAGGCAGACCGCAAAGGACTTCGCCTGCTGTCAAAACCTGGATGTTCGGGGCGAAGAATGTCAAAAATATAAATGCCGACAGGACGATGAGAGAGCCGAGGAGCACACGCTTCTGTCCGAAGATGCCAACCAAGTAACCATTCAGGAGAACACCGAAAAAGGCACCAACCCCAGAAGCGTTTCCAAGACCAGCTTGCCACGCAGCAGTCAACTGGTATCCATCATTCGTGGTAACATTCGGGAAGTACGTCCCATACTTCTTGGCGAAGGAGGGGTATGCGAAGAAGTTGCCGATGAGAATTGTGTCGTAGCCTTCCATGACGACGCACATGGATACAAGAACGGCCCAGAAGATTGCCATTGGGTATGCCTTCATTGCCTGCCAAGGCGAGAGGTGATGCTCAAGCTCAGCACCCTCCCTGGCGGCATTGTTGAGGTTGGATCCGCGCATCTTGAGGTCGAGATTGACATCTTCGAGTTCGAGGCGATTGGGAGTCACCTCCTTGGATAAGTTGTTGAAGTTTTTCTCCTCCATTGTGCAGGCTTTGAAGCGAAGTGAAGAGCCGATGCTCGAAGAATGGCGGTGGAGAAAAGATCTTGACTCAGTATCAAGATGATGATGCTGCGATGGGGAGTTAGAGTCATGGAATGGGGGACGAGCAGCATAGTTATATAGTCAGTCGTCCATCGTTGCTCTATATAGCTTCACGTTGAAGTTGGCTTGGCTGGAGGCGCGGGACACAAACTCTAAGTGGCACCGGCCACATTCTCGCCCTCACTTCCCCGCCTCTTCCCTTGCTAAAAAAATAAATAAAAAAGTCCGGGGGATTCAGGGGCAGGGTTGAGCCGGCTCGAGTGGAATGACAAGCTTCCTCAACGCCGGGAATTGCCCCAGAATCTGGGGAGCTTTCCTATCGAGGCATGGCGGCATGGCAAGCATCCGAGAGATTGCACTTGGATGTTCAGGATTTCAGGATTTCAGGCTTGGGTGAGTTGCGATGAAAGTAGTGGCGCTGCCCGTGTGAAGCGAGGAGCCAATAATAGGGGCTCAATTCCGCTTCAAACCCGCCACTAACCTTACTTAATCCCGTCAATTGCCGCTCGGAACGAACCTTCTCCTCCCAGCCATTTCTAGAAGACGCGAGCAAGAGGCGGTTATGACGACGAATGAAAAATCGTCAATTCCACCACAAGGGTGGGGACCGCATGCATCAATTCATCGGCACGTAGGACCTGGTGGACCGAACCTACGCAGCAGCCTCTGATGCATCTGGGAAGGCTTTTGTGATAGTTCTATACTGTACCGAAGCATGCCAAGTGGCACAACTCTTCGGTGCCTCCCGCGATGCTGCCAGTGTCGGGATTGAGGTCCAATGAGAGATGCTCAAGTCCGCTGCCCTTCAGTGGGAACCTGCTGCTATCTCCTCTTGGGGTTAAGAAACGCGGGGTGGGTGGACTTGCGAGACGCGAGACCCCACCAAAGCTCTGCTCATCTCCATTTTTCTCGCTGTTTCTGCACGCCTTCCAACCTCGAATGTGATCGACGATCGCCTCGAGCATACAATCAAGAGTACTTCAACTCTATTCCCCTCACCCATAGCTGCAGCCACTTCTCTCACCATCCTTTTCCTCGTTGCTAGCCGCTGAATTTTCAAATCCTCGAAGTTCACAAGCTCAAACCCCTCGCTTCTCGTTGTCGCCATGGCAGCTCTGCACCTTGCATTTGCACTTGCCCTTTTCACCGGTCATGCAGCGGGCGTAAATAATGGTTTAGCAAGAACCCCTCAGATGGGATGGGTAAGTCGATCATGCTCTCCCACTTTTCCATCTTCATATCTAATATCACTAGAATAACTGGAACGCCCTGGGCTGTGACGTCTCTGAATCCCTCCTCCTCGACACATCAAAGAAGCTCGTCGACTCAGGTCTACGAGATGTCGGGTATAACTACGTTGTGCTAGATGACTGCTGGTCTCGTGGGCGAGACGAAGAAGGCTTCCTCGAGGAGGATCTAGAGAAATTTCCCAGTGGGATGTCTGCTGTGGCTGAAGAGCTACATCGACAAGGACTTCTTTTTGGCATGTATTCTAGCGCCGGGGAGATGACATGTGCGAGATATGGCAGGTCCCCTAGCTCATTCAAAGCAAGGATATGTTGACTAATATATAATTCAGCTGGATCCCTGGACTGGGAAGAAAATGACGCGAAGAGCTTTGCGGGCTGGGGTGTTGACTATCTGAAATATGACAATTGCTACCATATGGGGCGATTTGGTACTCCCAAACTGTCATTCGATAGGTACAAAGTCATGTGGGACGCGTTAAATTCCACTGGACGACCAATACTGTACAGTCTTTGCAACTGGGGCGAGGATTACAGCCATACCGTGCGTTGAACCGCTTTTTATAGATTGCCTGAGTCTGTCTGTTAACTTTTCCAAGTGGGGGATGTCGATCGCCAACTCCTGGAGAATGTCAGGCGATATCTATGACTCCTTTTCCCGCCCAGACGATCTGTGCTCTTGCATCGATGCATCAAGCCCTTTTTGTATCGCACCAGGCACGCACTGCTCCGTCTTGAACATCATCAACAAAGTAGCCCCATACGTTGACCGCGGACAGCCAGGCGGATGGAACGACCTGGATATGCTAGAAGTAGGAAATGGAGGGATGACCGACGAAGAGGTATTTCCCCCAAAACTTGCCTTTGATTCCTTCTGAAAAACTCGGTTTATAGTACAAAGCCCACTTCTCCCTCTGGGCAGCCCTCAAGTCGCCCCTGCTCATGGGCAATGACCTCCGATCTTTGTCTGCGGCATCCCTCACCATCCTCAACAACCCCGCAGTGATAGCCATCTCACAAGATCCAGTCGGCCACTCGGTGTACCGCGTCCGCCGTGAGTTGAACGTCGCAAAAGATAAATACGGTGTTGGAGAGATCCAAGTCTGGAGTGGAGGACTTTCTGGAGGAGACCAAGTTGTCCTCCTTCTAAATGCCGCTGGCGAAGACGCCCGCATTAGTGCCAGTCTCGAGGAAATCTTCCTACATGATGGACCGGAAGGGTCGGCACCCCAGATCAACGAGGAATGGGAAGTCTTTGATTTGTGGGGGAACCGTATGGATAATGCTCTTGCGCAGAAGATTTTGGATGCGGATGAGAAGGATGTGGAGAAGTTGTGGAAGCAGGCGAACTGGTACAATTCGACAGAGATAAGTTACAAGGAGGGATTGAAAAAGAGGGACGAGCGACTGATGGGAAAGAAAGTTGGCAAGATCAATGCAGGGGGTAGTCTGACGGCCAAGGTTAAGAGGCATTCGGTGGAGATGTTTAGGTTGAGGAGTGTCGGGCATGGAGGGAAGAGGAAGGTTCACGCGAAAGAGGAGTTGTGATTGGCTCAAGTGGCATTCTCTGTTCCCGAGACAACTCCCAGGGCAACACCCTCCAACTGTCACACCAAAATGGTTACATGAATGCACCCCTCAAGTTCCTGCCAAATCCTAGACCAAAGTCTGCCTCACCATCCCCATTGTCCGCATTCTTGTTTCCGTCTTCGGCCCGAGAGCCTAGTTTGCTGTCAGAACAGTCAGATCAAGGGAGTCGACGACGCGGGTAGTTAGGGTGATTGAGGAGGCGAAGTTTTTTGCCACACGAGCCCACCGGGCGTAACTAAAACTTTGCTTTGACAGGTCAAAATCTTACTTTTAGTTATAACTCATCTTAGATTCAACCCATGGTTCCGAACAAAATCAGGGAAGTGATATTTTCTCCAAGAAACCCAATTTGTAAATAATTAAACACTATTGAGAAGACCCAAGGAAGAGGCCTTAAATTGTCAACGAAGTGAACCCAAGGAAATGGCGAGAACATACCCAACGAAGAGAAGAAACTCCACACCGCAGTCATTTTCCAAATAGCGGGCGGGCAATACCTTGAGCACTCAGGTCAGTTAAGTCAATTTACTTACAGGAATGAATTGACTTCAATGTACAAAGGGACTCACCAATCCGCATAAAACTTAACAAATCCTGCCCAGAAAAGCCACTGCCCTATCCAGGGTAGAAACAGGAAGGCAAAAGATCCAGAAATGAGGGTTAGAATATCAGGTTTAAGGCCCATGTTCTCCAAAGCCTCTATCCAATCCATATCACCTGCTCTTGAAACACCATCGGGCTCAACAAGTGTCGTTCCCCCTATCTCCACGAGTCAGTTCTTAGATTCTACTTGCTCGTCTTCTTGCACAAGAGAGGTAGCTTTCCGGCGTCGCTTCAAGGCTAGAGTGACCCTTTTCGTAGCTGAAATGAAAGTCTTGTGTACTCTCTCAAGTTTTGCGAAGAGCCATTTCAAGCTTCTCTTCAAGGCCGAAACTAAAACATTTCCCACCCCCAAAACAAGTAAGACATAAACATAAAATATACCCACACTTGCCATCCATAAAACAGCACCCCCATAAAACAATCTGGCAGCACCTTTATATGACGTCTCGTCAAGAGTCTGAGAACGTATCTTGTACATACCATTGACGGAGCCAAAATACACAGCCTGACCAATATACGCAGCGCCAATTGTTTGGAGTATAATTTCTGTCAGGAAAGCCGAAGCAGCAGCCGAGAAATACATGCCCTTCTCTCTCTCGAAATTCGCCAAGCATGTAGCCAACCAAGCCAGACGAGGCCGAGAAACCCAGAAGATGATCAAGGAAGTGATTGGGACGTTCGAGAATCCCGGTACACGGCGTAGAAGAAGCGCGTTGACAACGTTGGCGATCAGATTTAGGGTCACAATCAGGATGGACATGAAAACCCAGTGTGGCGACCCCAGCTTGCCAAGGAAGCCGAATGTGAATTTTTGCACGATGGTCCGTCGGCCAAGCACCAAGCTTGAACATCCTACTAATATGTTGATCAGAGCAAAGGAGCCGAGCTTCGCAGTAGTGGAAGGACATATCATTTCTGACGATCGGGTTGAGTCCGGGACAACCTGCCAACTCCACGGAACCAAGTACGCACGTAACGGAGGCCAGGACTTCTTAAAGCGTGCAGTGTTGCAAAGTTCCAAGATGAGATTTCGGTAGGAGTTGCTATCGCCAGCTGCTCTGCAAACGTCGGAGCAAGAGTTAGTGATCATTTCAGAACGGAAACATTCAACAGGTCCAGGTAGAAAGGGATGAGACCAGCAATATGCGGCGGCTGAATTGACTTCGGGACAGGCTGAAGTCAAGGAATTAACACACCCCGGAGCATCAACAGTCTTTGGCCAGAGCATCAAAGCCATGTGGGCGTTGAAATCGCTGCTGTACCCATATGGAGGGAGCTTCGAGCTATACACTGTAGGCCCGCCATCGAGATCTATAGTAGACCCCGAGTATTCGCTTTTGAGGTCATTGAAGTCTTTGAGAATGCTGCCGGTCGTCGTGAATATTGTTCCACCACCCCATGCAAGTCCTGGCGTGGGTCCACTCGAAGGCAGAAGTGTACAATGGTATGCCGTGATGCTTGAATGGAGATAGAAGGTCATGCAACCACCACCAGGAGCCTCGCTGCATATAGTCAGCGAAAGTAAACTGAAAAGCCTTCAGCTTGATTTGGTTTGCAGTTACCAGGTCAGTATGTTCGGATCAGGAGATGAGGTATCGAGAGAAGTCCATGGAACAACTTCAGTAGTGGTGTAGAGGATATTAAAGTCGTAATCCCAGCTGTCGGTTGCCAATACAGTTCTCGTACTCGAATATACAGTAACCTCTTTACAACCAGTGAAAACCACTGGGCAAGTTGCGGCACTCGCACAACAAAGATAGAAGCCCTGACTCGTACAGCTGTTACCAGGGGTTCGGGGGTAACCGTCAGCAGTGAATGGGTAGTTGTTGGCATCAGGAACCCAAGTGCTCTGGCACTGAAGAATTTCTAGCCACAGCATAGAGGATCAGCCCTGTTTGGCAAATGTTAACAATGATCTGCCTGCATTTATTTCTCACCATATACATTCGTGGGCCAACTCGTGCCCGGAACAGAAATTTCAAAGAATCCACAAACTTGTGAATCAAATGTACTGATTATACTTGAGCTTAGGATAAAGGTTGCTGTTTTCATTGTCTGCTGTGAGGTTGTGGGTACTGGGCTTGGCGCATTTGTTCGAGGAGCAACCTTGGTACGTGTGAGGGAAGCGAAGCTAACTTGATATCTGGTCGCAGCTGCCTTGGTGTTCCATTTTGGACGGATCAACAAAGCTGATTGAGTCAATATAGCTGGACTAGCAAAAACCAACGCGCCAACTGTCGAGAATACTGAAATTATCAAGTGAAAAGGAAATGGCGAATGTAACATGATGGTTGATAATCAGCAATTTACAGTGTTGTGATAACGAGAGCTTGAAAGGATTTGTTTTGCGGAGTTCATCAGCCCTGCATTTTCCTCCGGGGACTTTCGTTGTTAAGTCGAGAAAAGCAAGAAGCAAGGCTTCCTCGTTGGAGACAGGCGCCCGAGTGGCTTCCGCCACTTCAAGCACAGCCGCACAGCCCACCGAGCACGCCGTTCATATTTTGGTGTCTCCAGTTGTAAAAAATCTCAGAAGTACCTCAATCCTCCGGTTTCTCACTCTCTACGATCACAGTCAATGGCATAGCTGCAATATCCACCTTAGATGCCTACATGTCCAGGCTACAACGCCTCTGCAATCTCTCTTAGCGAGATGCACCTGAATCAGGAGGCCCGCACGGCCGCGAACCACGGTATTCATGGAATACGTAGTCAACGGTGCTTCGTCCAGCGCCTCTCTCGACTCCAATGAATACAAGGTTCCTGGATTGTCTCACATGTATAACCAAGTTACGTATCAGTTAATTCCTGATTTGAAGTGGGTTGAAATGGAAAGATTTCTGAGCGACTTGTGATGCTCTAATTCTAAGCATCGAGAAATCTTCAAACGAATGATAACAAACACCTTTGATCTGGGAAAAGTAGAGATCAACTCCCTAAGACTTACCACTTAATTGGATTTACCCACTGGTCCCGTTCACGAATCTAATCACAGGCCCCAACCAAGTATCATAATCCTCCTGTCTCCCACTCGTCCCGCCCCACCTCAATACTGCAGCAAACCACCTATAATCCCCATTTCCCACCTTCCAACGCACCCCATTACCCCCCTTAACACTCGTATCCGAGTCAAACGGGGCATTATTCTCTGGCCACATCAACCCCGTGTCATTAATCAGCGTCCCAAAATTCGGATGCCTGAACACTGTCGAATTCGGTGCAAAGGCTGAAGGAATATACGGATACTGGATTGACTGGTTAAATCCATAGTGATCAGGCTTTATATTGGTGTTGGCGGGCAGGATGGAGATAGAAAATTCCGTCGTCCATTGAAGTGTTGGGACTGCGCCGCCGAAGCCGTAGGAAACGACGACTTCGAGGAGACCTATGTCGTATGTAATGTTACTTTGATCAGCGTTGTAGCCATATAAGCTGGGCAACTGGACGCCGAAACTTGTGGGTGAGGTGTAGATATAAGGTGTGTTGAACAACGAGTAGGGTGGGCCCACATAAGGGATCGAGAAGGCTGACTGGTCGGAGTCCGTGACGGTGATGAACCCGTCAAAAACGGGAAGGCTAGATGGTCTTACGCCTGAGGGTGGAGAGATAGAGAAAGACACTTTAGTTGATTGCCCGGCTCTAATTTTTACTGTCGGTGTTGGGAAGGTGGCGGTTCCGTAGAGGGGCTGTTGACTTGGCTCGGCATATTGAAGATAGTAGTCTGAGTAGCCTGCACCGATGTGAGAGAGTGTATATGTCTTTGACTTTGTTGATTTGTTTTCGATAGTGATGCTCGCAGCCCCGTAACTTGTTTTGCTGTTGTCAGAAATCTTCAACTGTCCCGGAGATACAAAAGCGCGCGGCATTGAAATCCGTCCAACTCGATAAGCGAGGACGGGCGCAATTTTAACGCTCGCATTTCAAAAATTCTCATAATTCCGCATTATATTCTATTATTATAAAAATTTCGCCAAAGTTAGATCTGCTTCTTTTCTATTACATAAAGCACTTTTGAAGAGTGTCGGGCGTTCCATTGAGATTTGGTGTAATTTTCTGAACGTAGCGATTTTGGTGTTCCTCGCATTTTGGCAGATGGACGGTTTTCAACGCCGCGCGCTTTTGTATTGTACTGTCTGAGTAAATTGCGTTGAAAACATCCACCAATCCAGCTCCTTGTTGATACGTGGCCGAGAGCATGTTGCTATTCCAGATCCACGGAAGAGGTTTGGCATTAATCTGTAATCGAGTAGTGATTTCCGCTATGCTGGCTTTAGGAAACTGAGTCTTGACGAGTGCGTATGAAGCGGCAAGATAAGGCGTTGCCATGGATATTCCAGAGAGAATTGCATATCCACCAAGTGGACCCAGAGGCCAGGTTGAGAGAATATGGCCTTCTGGTGCAGAGACCTGGGGCTTCAAGTTGTAGTCATGCCATGTCGGCCCAAAGCTCGAGTAGTAATCCATCAATCCACCACCTGGCTGTTGGCTACTACTGAAGCTGGAGCTGCTGAACTTTAATTTGTAGTGTGAATATCCACCGCCGGCTCCATAGTTCTCTGAGAAGATTTGCAGTTGTCGTAAACTTGGAAAGCAATGATCGTTTCGCTGATGTTTGTGATCACTTGAAGGGCGTCGTTCCACGATTCCGAATCGCACCCATCGCTAATAAGCAGAACATCTGCACCATTGGAGAAATCGAGAGGATACACACTGGCGTATCGCAGAGTTGCGCCAGATAAATCAACTGCTGGGTACACAACCGGAAAATATGTGTTTGAAATCGCACCAACAGCAAGCGCCGTAGATTCCGTACTTGGCCACTCTTCCGTGTACAGATCATTCTTGGCCCTTCCAATCTCGTTGGCAGCATTTGACTGCGCGACGATGACAGCAATAACGGCGTTTGTTAGAGTTTTGGTGATGGCAGCCAAAGGATCCACCGCTCCACTGAAAGAAGCTGGACCGATTCCAAGTGACATGCTGACAATGTCCACGCCGTCTTCCTGAGCTTTTGACATAGCGGCCACGATTGTATCGCTTCCAGCGCGACCATTACAATCAAAGGCCCTGTACATGTAGATAGATGCTTCAGGGGCAACTCCAGTAATATCAAAGCTGCTAGGAACGCTGTCCATTCCAATGATTCCTGAAAGATCAGTCGAATTCTGAGAAAAGGAGAAAACCACAAACTGGCTACATGAGTGCCATGACCTCCTCCGTAGCAAGATATAAATGTATCAGGCCCTTCGCCAAGCGTTCCATTGTCGTAGACAAAAGAATGGCCTCCAGCAATTTTATGACCTGGTCCAAAGCCTGCCCCAAGATCAGGATGTCGGTAGTCAGCGCCCGTATCGATAATCCCTATCTTGATGCCTTTGCCTTTGATACCACGTCGGTGGAGTTTATCCACACCGCCCATCTCAAGAGCAGATTCGAGTTTCGCTTTGCTGCTGTCAGCCACAGACGGTAGTGATGGCGGATATGAGTGTGAAAGATAGGGTCGACTTTGGAAGATGCTTGTTGAGCGGGGATTCGGACTGCTGATACGCTCGACACTCCAACAACGCCTCCAATACCATGGAGCAGTCGATAGACCTCTCCCTGCGTTTGATTTCCATTCATCTGAATCGACAGGCCCAGGAATATGTCTGAATTATGAAACTCATGTCGGATGAAATAGTCTATTGAGGTTGCACGTTTCTGAAAAGTTGCCACATGATTTCTCGCATCTCGTGGCAAGTCCTTCAATTCTGGTGCAGATTCAAGCTGGATAAGGAACGCATTTTCAAACGTTGACCTTGTCTGGCCAGGAACTACAGCTGATACGACCGTAGCCAATGTGAAAGAAAGCAAGATCAACATGGTTCGCAAAACAGAAATTGTGAACAACAGTAACGATTTCAGGCGACCGAAAAGCACGGACATGATCCGTGGCCTACTAGGTAGTCTTGTGTATAAGCCTGAACTGCCTCAATGGATCGAGGGCGACTCTCTTCTGTGAAGCGTTTGCTCTTATAACTCGCAGCTAAATTCCCTGACTGTAGTCGTTTTGAATGGCCGCTGTCAGTAATCCGATAACCTTCTGCCTTCCCGTCCAAGAGACGAGGAAAGTAAACGATGACACTGCTGCATATACTTGGCATGGAATAGCATCCAGAGCGCACCGTAAAGAGGGTTGACTGAGAGGACCTGAGTGGCGATGTTTGTGGAAATTGTGGAAAGGCCCCAAATAGGACGGCGACTTTGTGCGACGACTATCCATTGTCATTCAATAGCTGAGAGACAATAAGGAAGACCGTTGATGCGTTGTTAGTCGCTGAGATGCATGGGATTCCCAGACAGGAAGGTAGTGATACGAGATGGGGGCAGACTTGTGCAGAAGCGAGATTCACGACGCAAATACTCACAGACGGAGAGCACGATTCAAGGCCTAGCAATATGCATTATTTATTATGCATGGAAATTCCATATGTCCTCATGTGAAGATGCAAGATGGAAGTATAAAGCAGAAGACTTGATGCGCATATGGGTGCTCCCGCTTGGAAACCCTGATGTCAAAACCGAACCCCTGCCGTCTGAGAAACTGGCAATATACGAAGAAGGGATATTATGTACACCTACTTATACGAGTACCCTGGCATCTATCCCTTGATAGTATTTCGGCCGCCGAGTAGCGTTAACTCATACATTGTTCTGTCCACATCGGCGCCGTGGGGGAGGCGCCAGGTGGTTTTTTAAGGTTGTCGGCATTACTATTGCGGCATTACTACAGGGGTATAAGGCGAAACTTCGCCCTTTCGGGACGCTGGATAATGGAAGGAGCTAGATATGATTTACTGGCAATTTGGAGAAGCCTGAGTGGCTGCAGGCTTAAAGTATAAATCAGGCAATCTGACTACAAACTCTCGTGTTGGAAGAACAGTCCTGTCCTTTGCGAAGGTCGAGAAGAATGGCGCATGCATCCAGCTCACGATACATACAAGTCACACCGCATGTGTAACTATGATAAGCATGGGACTTCTGCATTGGTGTTCAACTTGGTAAGTGAAAGTGGTGGGAAAAGTTGGGGGCAGATATCGAGAAATCTCACTGTTGCCACCATCCCACTTCGGAATCGCTGGCAGGGTTCTGTACCATCCCTGCTGGATGTGTGGACCATCGCTTCAGGGACTCCTCCCCAACTTCACCGATTTCAGCCTCTTACTCTCCTTCTTGCAATTCCAGGATTGATGTGCATTGGGTTGCTTAAATGTCTCCGGTTTCTTGACTCTAATCGTAAGACCGTCGCCCCATGACCTGTTCTATCACTCATAGCTTCCTGAATAAATGCACTTGGAACTTGATATTCTCAAGACCGATGGAATACTTGAGTTGCCCCGCTACCCTGAACAACCTGCTCTGGTCTTCAAGCAGCTTTTCCCAAGCCGGCTTGTTATCCATTAAACTTAGAAGCTGCTTCTCCAGTAAGACCATGTCTAGCAGGTAATGCATCGGATATGCCTTCCTCTCTTTGCCTTGATCATCCTTCTCCAGTGTAATTTCTGCAGATGAATCGAGCCCATCTATTATCAAGAGCAAGGAGTCCTTTGGGGTTGCAAGTGTCAATTTGAGGAGGAACGCCGTGAATTTCACAACAGATAAGGCCCAAAGGTCGCTGATTGAGAAGAAGACTGTGATGAGCACCGCTTTTCCACCGACCATACAGTCAAGATCTTCCTGGCTTGCTTCAAGGAGGCTGCACCGTTGCAAGGAAATATTGAGAACGTCAGGGGAGAGGAAGGGCGCGTTGTTTGCTTGAGCGCTCGCACTTGCGTATTTGGAGAGTGTAGGTGGTGTCGTGAGTCCGGACCGTAACGAGTTTATTATGGGTGTCCAATTTGCTGAATTGACGACTTGGAGCTGTAGTACCGGGCGGTGAAACTCCGATCTCGAGAGAGAATTCGTACCGTTTGAGCCTGAGGCTGATTCCGTGGTCAAGATATGTCGTAGGATAGCCCCGAAAGCCATAATTTCAGCAGCTCCGCCTCCAAAGCAAACAGCTTTCAAGGGACGTGGAGTCGGCCCAGGAGATTTGGAAGGCCTTTGAATGTCGCTTTCTGGACCTTGAAACATACTCTGGACCCACAGTTCTTCCCCGAACTCTTCAAACACCCCCAAAAGAACAGCCGCATAACACAGCGCCCGACTCGGACTCCATCTCACGACGTACGCTTCCATCCAGTCCAGACGTCCCAATGCTCGCTCAAAGTCTCTTTCAAAGAGCGCTTCCTTAATTTCCCGCAATGTCGGTTTCAACGCGCTGTAGTCTTGACAAATTGGAAATGCTGTCCGGAATATGTTTAGAAGCAATTGTTGGAGCTCGATTGGGAGGTCATTGTGCTGAAAATTTAGAACTGTGGATGTTGACGGGGTTGGGGCAGGAGGAGGTTGTTTCCGTGCCTTCTTGGTGAAGCCAGGTCCCTTCCATCCTGGACGCTCCTTTGGAGCTGTCGGAACCACAGGGGCTTTTATGATGGAGGTGGAGCTTGAGATGATAGGGTGCTTTCGCTGAGATTTCTCTTGCCGGACGTATTTGCTCATGGTGGAGCTAAGTCAAAAAAACGTTGTATCGCTAATGGCTTTTCTGGCTTCTTGTGACTTCGGCTTCTGTTGTTGGATGCAGGTGTTTTCAATACTTTCTGTTGGTATATTTGGGAGGAGGAGAAAATCTAGGATGTCCACCACCGCGCTAGCCCGTAACAGGCCTAGCAGCGGCCGCTTACAGCCCCTGTGTCAGGCTCCACCTCACTCCCTCTCGATTGATTCCTTCATTGATTAAACACTTTTCCAAGATCATAGATTCAGTCCTAAACCCAAAACTTAAAACAAACTGCTCTCACGTATTTCTTCCAGGCCGTCACGAAGCAATCTTGTGTGAGTCTCCTGACTCTTAATTCTCCGAGAATGACGGAAGAGGACGGGGACGAAAACAAAGTGACAGTTCATGTAACTGGCTTTGGGGTCAGTATCTTGTACTTTTCATCTTACCAAAGGTTGCGAGGTTAATGAACGTAAGGCATTTCAAGACATCAAAATCAACCCATCGTGGGAGATTGTCTCCCACTTGCCCTCTACCCTTAACCACAATTGGCTGAATATCCAAATCATTACGCCACCAGAAGCGCCAAAAGCGTCGTATCACTACTTGTATGACGTCGCTCCAAAGCTTCTCGAGGAACATAAACCAGATGTCGTGGTCCACATCGGCCTTGCAGTTGAGAGAACATATTTCGCAATCGAGAAAGGAGCTGAGAGAGATGGATATAATCAATATCCAGACAACGATCGAAAGGTGTTCAACAAAAGCGAGACTAAGAAAGCGTGGGGAATGAGTCCTCCACATTTAGAATCATCGTTTGATCTTGAAGATGTTTTAGTGAAGTGGCGTGCCCAGGTTGGAAAGGATGTAAACTTGAGGACTTCCGATGATGTTGGGAATTATGTGTGTGGCTTTGTGTACTATACCAGCTTAGAGTACTCTTGGAAGAGGAGGATAGACGCGCCTGTGGTGTTCATGCATGTCCCGCCGTTGCCAGAAAAAGGCGATATTGAGGAAGGAGTAAAGGCTACACTGGGACTCATTCAGGTGCTAGCTGAGAGTTTGCTCAGGTGAAAAAGACGTGTCGGTTTGTGAGAGTTTGAGGGGTGGTTCTCGTATGAATAAGTATTGCTGGCCCACTCTGACTGAGACGTTGACGAGTTGCTCCGACCAATGTCAAGCTCGCTTTTCCTCGAAGACAATAGAAGTGGAGGACGCTCTCCGCACAATTGATTTAAAAGTAGATATGCTCTGCTTGGGTCCGGAGCTTAAACCTCTTGTTTCGAGGGTGAGGCAGAACTGCATCCTCAGATCTTTATTGATCAATCAACGCCGGACAAGGTCGACTAATGGTACGCAAACTCGAACACCCTCACATTTCCACCCAGGTGAATTCACAATTTCTAGTACGCGCCCGTTTCGGCCCGTTCCCTCAAACCCAAGACTCCACTTGACTTTCGCTTCTCTTCCTTTCAACAACAATTTCAAAACTATAACTACTCAACTAAAACGAGCCCCCTGCTCTCATCGGTTATTCTAGCGTAAGTTTCATCAAAGCCCTCTTTCTATTCCGAATATTTCTCTGCTACATCTATCTGACGTTAACTCAGAATCAATGCAGGCTGCCAGCATGGCATTCGAAAAGAACAAGTACCTCGAGGGGTTGCGAGATTCGATGTTGACCGGTATCCACAAGCTCTCGTACAAGGACGGTGCTTTCAAAGAGAAGATTTCCCAGAACACTCCCTTCGTCGAAGCACTTGATATCTTGATCGGCTCAACTTTACCAACCGACGACGAGAAGTGCAAATTGTCCACCCTCCGAAAATACTACGTTGAATCGGAGGAACCAGGACTGAAGGAATCAAGCGGCGAGAACTTTCTGTATTTTCTACAAAGCGGCATGAAGTTCGAGGAGGTCTTTGCCAAAGATGCAAATGCTCGTGGCCAATACGTCCCTCCGCTCCTCGTCGAGACAGTCAAGACAGACGGTACAGTCTGGTACACCGAAAACCTCGATGACGGCGATGATATGGGCACTTGGAAGGCGGAATATTACCTCAGGCCCCAGGCAAGACTGACACAGAGATTCACCCACGCGGCGAAAAACGGCGACACGAAGTACATTGTTGGCCAATTCTCGCTCTCTCCCGACAGCTCTGAGCTTCCAAAGTACACGGCAATGATGACCAACAACGGTTCGAGCTTCTTCTAGCATTTGTCACGAAGAATAACTGACGTGGGATTTGCAGCTTCCACAGTCAAGACCAAGAAGCCGACGCAGAACAATAAGGGCGCTGGAGATGGCTCGAGCAAAGCTATGGGAGGTGGCTTGATGTGAAAAAGTCTCGAAGGAAAGGCACGGGCAATTTCCTTTGGCAACAGATGTGGGTTTAAGAATTTTCGAGTTCCGGCTGGGTAGGGTGCCCCGGGGATTGAGAACAAGTGGATTTTGTATCAGGCACTTGCTGGTAATAGAATCAAGGTAACAACTCTTACTATGCAAAATGCTTCCTTTATATTGAAGTGAATCTGCGGGATCTTGAGACGTTCCCAACCGCATGTTTAAACCAGTCCTTTTAAATCTCAGTCCTTTTAAATCTCAGTCCTTTTAAATCTCAGTCCTTTTAAATCTCAGTCCTTTTAAATCTCAGTCCTTTTAAATCTCAGTCCTAAATTTCAATCCCTCACTCTGGCCAAACGGTTTGTATTTTCAGCCAGAGGGACCCAGCCCAACCCCTTCTACAACTTACAACATTCCATCAAAGCACAACTCTGCTCCTATTTCAAGATAACCATTCGACTTCATCTCAAGGCCGAAGCTTCGTGAATCCCAACACCCCACAAGATGTCAACCCCAACTCACAAACCATCCCCTTACAAAGCCTCCTCCATCTTCTCCTCCCTCCAAAACGCCATCGCAAAAGGCATCCACGACCAGAACTTCAAGAACGGAGCCTTCAGGACCTCGATCCCACACAACACCATCTCCAATACTAAAACTTCTGTCGTGGATGCCTTCAATATCCTGCTCGCTTCTCCTGAGCTGTCAACCGAGGAGAAAGAGACTGTAAAGTACTGCCGCATCCAGTTCATCCACCTCCGCAACTGCTTCCCAGGAGCCACCCAGCCAAAGGCAGGAGAGGCTGGTGCTCTCGAGGAGAAATTGAAGGGGTTGAAGGAGATGTTTGAGGAAGATGCTGCGAGAAGGGAGCCGGAGAACGCAGCGCTGGATTTTGAGGGTAAGTTCTCCTTACGGATGTAGAGATAGCGATACATGAGCTGATTTCTGTTACAGCAACTCCGGCGAAGACAAAGAAGAGGAGCGCGAGTGCGGTGGATGATAACGCTGTCTCTGGCAAGAGATTGCGGAAGACGTTGAGTTCTGTACCTCAGTAGACTGTTGACGAGCTTTGGCAAGTGGAATTTCAGTGCGGTCGGAGCAGAATAATCCTGGTTGGGATTTTGGAAACTGGGAGCTTTCTTCTTATGTGCCGGCGGACAGGGTAAAGCATGCGTGAACATAGAATTTGGGCAGAATAGGGATTCACACACACCAGGAGACTTCGCCCCCTTGAAGTGAACACAAAGATATTGAATCAATCTTGCTCCTCGTTGCTCTACTAGCATTACTGGGAATATGACACTGAAAATATCAAACTTACAGTGCGGAACAGTCCATAAAATTTAAAATAATTCAGAGTACCAATTCTTTATTCCTGTATTATCCCAACAATACTTACTATACCCTGTAAACTTTTCTCCTACCCTGATTCCAAGAGCCCCAGCGCCGAACCTATTCCCATTTCTTCCACTCCTCCGCGATCCGCCTCATCTCATTCTCAATAATCGGACCCCCCCTACTCCTCCTCAACTCCGCAACGTTCGCCTTGTAAGCCAACTCAAGTGTTTTTCGCTCCCTCGCCTTCGCCGCCAACAACTTGTAATCATCACTATCAACTGCCAACCTAAAGATCCCCCTCATCTTCGTACTATACAATTGACAGCTCGCCTTCGGGATCCGCTGTAACGTCTGCTTGAACAAGAGAGGAATTGCTTTCCGCTCTTCCAGTTCCGGCTCCACGACATCGTCGAAACATTCTTCGCAGACGGTGAACTCAGGTAGCTGGGTGATGATATGCCATTTGCGGTCGATGAGCTCTTTGTCGTGTTGGCATTCGGGCATGCTTGCCATTCTGCGAGCGAGGCTTGCAACGTCTCGCATATCGGGATCGCGGTCGTCGTAGTCTGCTCTGTCTGCTGTCGTTTCGAGAGCGTCGAAATACTCGATGAAGCGCTTGCTGTCGAATCTCAAGCTGCAGACGCGAGGGCCTGTTGTCGATCTGTGGGAATCTACTTGGACGAAAATTTTTCGAAGTGCTGGAAGAAGTGTCTCGACGCTCTTGACGCAGCTGTAGCAGACACTGAAGCCCGGAACAGGTGCCCGTGTCTTAGGATCAATGATGGAATGCCATTGCCGGACTGCTTCGTGTTTACCAAGACAGGGCTGGACTTTCGTAGCGATGTCAGCGAGTCCGTAGAATAGCTTCAGATCTCTACGTTTCTCCTTTAGTGTCAGCAGCCACGCGATTCGATACCACGGCGAGCTCCCAAAGTCGCAGAGGACTTCGGTATCTGGAGAGCGACGAGGTGATGGGATAAAGAGATGCCGGAATTCTGTCGGAGCTATGATTGAGTTGAAGCAAGAAGGACAGATGTCGAAGCGTGGACAGTGAGGCAAGGTAAGCCAGTCAGTTCGTCCTTGACTGGGGGCTATTCTAGGACAAGAAGGCAATGGTGCAACGCTGCCTCTCTCAATATCTTCTGAGAATCGGCGATAAGAGCCAACCGGCTTTTCAAGGTTGCCTGGTTGGAATGGTGGCGGCTGCCAGTACGGCGCTGTCGGCGGAGGCATAGACGCAGCAGGTGTCTTATCGTCAAAAGATGCATATGTGGGTGTCTTTCTCGTATCACCAGGTGATTGAAGACCGATATTGGAAGGTATTGGAATCGGAACTAAGTGCGGAGGCGGCGCCGGTGCCTTTGTAGAAGGGCCTGCACTTGGCTGGCGAGACTTGGAAGGTCGAGGATCAATGGGGTTCAGTCGGTCTGCACGTGGAGCATCCTCTGCAGGAGAGAAGGGAGACACATCTCGCGAATCGTTCTGATCTTTCCTTCTGTTTCGTGGATCCCTTGGAAATATTTCACTCCTCTCAAATGGGTCTCCTCTTTGTATCTGGCTTGGTGAGACTTTCGGTGAAGGTAGTAGTGGGGATGTCACAGACAGAGGTTTGACCTCAATTGACGACCTATTAGATCTGGACGGAGATCGACGGCGTCTGTCATGCCCATTGCCGGTGTCCCCACGCCGTCTGCGTTCTCTGTCCGAGCCACTATCAGCGATATCATCTTCACTACTGCTGTAGTACCGCCTCGCGGACTGGTTTGAAGACCTTGATGAGCGAGCCGAATTCGGCGAATGTTGTCTCTCCGATCTTTTGTCACTAAACTCTGCCGACAACTGCTGGGGCCTCGTCATCTTTTCCCCTGTATTTCTCCTTGATCGAGTGCCAGACTCGCCATGGGGGCGTTTCTCGGATGTGGGTGTTACGGGACGGGCCGAGTAACTCCCCCCGCTGGCCCGCTTGTCTGCAACATGAGTGGGAGTTCGCGCACCATGGCTGTCATGGCGCGAGAGAGGTTGTCCGAAATAATCCTTGCTCCCCCTGGCAATCTCTGGTGACAGCAGTAGAGATTCTGACTTCCGAAAGGGGCTAGGTTGGGGAATCCGATCATTATCTCTGGGACTCGAAGCGTAAGCAGAGGTGCTTCGGCGGTATTGTGGCGGTATTTCTCTGGGGATTTTTGTCTCGAGAGATGGCAGGTCTTGCCGGCTTCTTCGTCTCTCGATAGGTGGGCGTCCTGTATCCCTTCTTTCCTCCTGCCTTGGAGGCTCTGGGCGTAAATGACTGATCGGATTGCCTTTTGTCACACTCTCCCTTTCCCTCCGCATCGGTTCATCTTCTTCTGCTTCGTTCGGAGAGTATGTATCGGACTTGGGGATCAATACGAATCGTCTTTCCGGGTTTGTGTCCTTCTCCACAGGGCAGGGTTGTGTTTGTAATCTGGCAGCCTCGTCCTTGGTGACACCAGCCTCGAGTATAATCGGATTTTGCTCGATGATACCCCGCAGCGGGGGGTCGTACGAGGGAATTATAGAAGCAGAGGACTCTCTGGCCAGAGATTTCAGCTCGTCTTCTACGAAAGGCTGAGGAGGCGGAGGCAGTCGTCTGCGAGGGCTTCGGTTTCGACTTTGACTGCGCTGGCGGGGGGCATCGTGAGAGGCTGCGAGGAATGAGTGCGCGTTGCTCGAGGTAGGAGCTCTGCAAAGGAAATATTAGCCAAGCGCGATAAAGAAGAAGCAAGCACAAACCCCGACGGGCTCTTGCCCCTCGTTGTCTTGAAGTATCCCGTGGTCAGGAGCTCATTGATGTCCCGTTTCTGGGAAGGAGCCTCCATGGTCGATCCTGAGGGCTAGTGAGGCTGGCAGAGCTCGAGCAGCTCGCGGTCCATGGATGGGTAGGAGGATAGAGAAGTACAAATGTAGAGATCAAGTCGTCAAAGTTGTCAAAGTTGTCAAACACATTATCGTAGTCGATCGTTCGGTGGCCTTTCTGGTGGGATGTTGGCGTTTGAAGATGCAGCCTTGACTGTTGGAGCGGGCTTGGGCTGTGCGAGAAACGAGGCGTCTAGCATGTCGCAAAGGTGCATCGAGCCCCCCACTACTAAGCTTAGAGCACGATGTCACTTTTCTTCACCAAAACACTACGACTGGGACCATGTACCACAGCAGCATCGAATCGATCGAGGCCGCGGAAGATCCGCAAAAAGGCGGTGGGAACATCTTTGGAATCTCAGCTCACATCATTCGCGGCATGCTCAGATGCTTTGCATGCAATCATCCGCAGCTGCTGGATTCCCATTTGTTGCTCGTGCGGTTGCAGCGCCCATTCGCCCCCGCATTCCAGCGAATTGAGGCCCGGAGGTCCCTGAAAAACTCTGATGATCTGCACCGCCTTCAACGTTTTCGGGCTTCTATCTTCGCCCCACTACCAAGAGAGAGGCTATTCGGCAATGTTGCAGGTGAGGGGGGTGAGGGGCAAGAGAGTGGGAGCCAGTTGGGAGAAAATGTATCATTCTCGTATTGTGGAACTCGGGTTGAGCTTCAAACGCGCCTCCCAATGATAACCAAGACCGCTGTTGCCGCCCGGGATGCTAAGCAGCAAGAGAACTCTTCTCTGGCTGCCTTGGTCTGGCCAAACTCCACGAGCATCCCCCCTCTCTGCCATGAGAAGGCCATCTCCATGTCAAAGCGACTCTCTGGAGATTCCGTCGGTTCTCAGGGCCGCCCCGAAGCTTCCGTATGCCTCCATAATCGTAGCGGATGCTAAAGGAAACCTTGTCTCCCAATTCCCATCCCATTTGTACAATACACGCCTCCCAATATACACACAACCCTCCACCCTTCAGGTCCCTACCACCCATCCTCGCCAGGCGTATAATCCACAAGATACTCCTGGATATCCTTATCCTCATCATCCTCCTGCAACTGCCTCCTCACCTCCTCCTCATCCGCCAAAATCTTCTTAACCACAGCCCTCTGCCTCTTCCTCGCTTTCTTCCCCCACTTAACATCTGCCGCCGTGCCCTCCCCCTCCTCCTCACTATCGCTCACCTCCAACTCGACCACTTTGCCTCCTGCTCCTCTCAACTGATTCGGACTAATTTTCCCCTTCCCATCCTTACCATCCGCAGTAGCCATCTCGTATGGATCGAGTTCTTTCTCGTGCTCTTTAGCTTGTAGTTTTTCGCCCCATTTCATGAGATAGGGACGCAACAGAGCATAGGCACCCACGATGGCGACGAGTCGGATGTATTTTAGTAGCGTCATGTCGTCCCACATGTGGATTGCGTTGCGGGTGAAGTTGTTGTACCAAGTGTTCAGTTGGGCGACGATCATTTGGGCAAGCTCTATGATTTGATCCATGATGGGCTATCGGAAACGTAATTGCGCTGCGTAGATGCGGAAGAGGTCGGTTTCGAGGTCGAGGTTGTTCGGACGGCTCGGGGTTCTCCTTCGCGGAGCGTCGATCGGAGTGCGGATGACGAAGAAATTGGTGGGAGAATGGAGAGGACAAAAGAATGGGAGACGTGGATTTAAATGCGAGCCCTGAAAATGGTGAGCCAGAAAGGTTGCGGGAATTCCCTCTTCTGCCTCATAAAAAGAAATATTTCGGTCCCGGGAACTGGCACTCTCGGCTCGGCAAAACATCGGCAAGCGCGTCTCCCCGACGCGACTTCCTCCACTCCCACTTCCATCTCCGATCCTACTTTCAACGTCAACCCAACACCTCTGTTCACAAATACTGGTTTGAGCAGAGCAGGAAAGATGTCACAAGACGAAGCCCTAATGGAGCGCCTAAAGGCCTCCCTCTGGTTCAGCATCGGAAAGATCGTCGACGAGGAGACCGCGAGACTCAATACAACAGCAACTCCGCAGTTCATCGGTGCAATGACTGAGATGGCTTGGGCGCAGATTGGTATTCCCTCTCCTCCCTCCTCCCTTGCGAGCCTGCGAGCATCTTCTCTTCAATCCAGCTTCCCCTCCCTGTTCCCCCGTCGGATTCTGGCTAACAGCGGTCATAGAGAACGTAGCACAAGACCTCGAGTCCTTTTCTCGCCATGCAGGCCGCACAACAGTGACGACAGATGATGTGATGCTTATCACACGGAGGAATGAGGCTCTTGGAGAGATCATGAGGGATTTTGTGGACAGGGAGAAGGCGGAGAAGGAGGTCGACAAGGGAGCTAAGGCGAAGGTGAAAAGGACGGCTGTGAAGGGGAGAGGGAAGTAGGATATGGGTCTGGTGGAAAGCACTGGCATGGGATTTGAGAGGAGGAAGGGAGGGATGATACCCGGGTTGCTGGCGTTTTGGAGTTTGGCTGTATGCTTTGAGGAATTGCAGAGGTGATTGACGGGTAGGGACGGAAGGCCACCCACCCAAGTCTTCTACCTCGGGTAAGAGATACGGCGAAGATCCGAGGAAGTACTACTGTATCAATGGATGATTGTAACGAGCATTAAATGTATTGCAGCTTTTTACAGAACGAATTGGACGTCGCTCTTATCCCCAATGGGTATACGCAGGACCCAGAAGCCAAATCTTATCTATGCCATATTCATCCATCATTACGCCATATCCTACAACCGACCGAAACCAATCTAGGCAATCCCTTCCACCTCTACCGACTGCGCAAACAGATCTCTCTCAGGACTATTCAACCTACTCCACCCCGGCGCCTGATCCATCCAATTCAAGTCCAAGAACCCCCCACTCTCACCGTGCGCCCCCTCCTCTAATGGAACATTCCACATCTCATTCCCATTATCGAAATTCAAGAAATCATTCAAATCGACAATTTCTGTGTTATAGACGGTATTCAGATCCAAAGGTTGGTTCAACTGATGATAGTCATTCATCCCTTCGTGCGTCGACATCGTAGTGTCGCTGTCAGGAGGAGTGTGAGCCGAGATAGCGTTGTGGTGAGGGTCAATGGGCCGTCCGATCGGGATCCCGATGTCCATCATACCGCTTCCATGCAAGTCAGGTCTGAAGTCCTGTTCACTGCTCAGAGGAGGTGTCCTTCTCATAGCAGCCATCTTAGCATGTTCTCTCAGCTCTCTCACTTTATCACTCGACAGCGCGGCCTGGATATCCTCTTGCCGGAAGAGATTCTTCGAAGTCGACATCACGACATCGATATCCGCCTTCCGGATTGCAGCTTCCAAAAACTGCGTCGCGAAGTCCGCAGATGCGTAGTTATCGCGCAGCTTCTCGAGGACGAGCATGCATTGGCAGAAGCCGTCCATGGCTGCCTGCCGTGCTTCGTCGTTGCAGGACTTGATGTCGAGCAGGTGGATGATGATTGCGGGGAGCAGGACGGTGACGCCTGTGGTTGGGAGATACTTTTCCAGAGCTCGGGTGTGCAGATCTTGGGATATGCGGGTTATCTCGCGGGAGGCTTCGCGTACCTTCTTGCGTGACAGGTCTTGCAGCTCTCGAGATGAGTCGGGCTGCGAGGTTGCTGCTGAGGGGAGAACTTGGGGTCTGTGTAGTGCAGAGAGAGTCGTGAAGTACACCATGTGAAGCAGTGATCTCTGCACAAAGAGCGGAGCTCCACTGTTTCCATCTTGAAGGTCGTTGGAATAGGCGCAAGAAGAAGGGAGTTCGGAAATCCAATCACTCAGCTCAACATCACAGCGCTGAACCTCGTCTGTCTGATCCAATTTCTTGGGAAACAACATGACGCTCGATCTCGTGCTGCCTTCCTGGCCTTGCATCCCCTGACACTTCACCAGGACCGAGTATTGCGCGCTCAGCACGTGGCTGATGCAGAGACAGAGCTTCGCTTTCGCGATGCACATCTGCGCCAGCTGCCGCTGAGCCTCCGCGTCTCGGACTAAGGTGCAGTCCATGGGGATGATGGCGATGTCTTCAGAGAGTGGCTGGATCTCGAAATCGTCTTCGGTGAGCATGGGGACGTCGTAGTCTTCGTCCTTGACGCGGGTTGGGCGGCGCATTCCAAGCGCTACAAGGCGGTCGCGCATGAAGCAGGACCACCATATTCTCTTCCATAGCTTCTTCTTGTGAGGCTCCATGTTCGATTTCTCAGGGTTTCGGTGCAGGCCGATTGTGTGTGCTAGGGAAATTGCCACGCCCATCCAGTGCCATGTGTCTTTTTGGTCATCGGGAGTTTCGTACCAATAGGTCATAAGGAGGAGAGATTGCACGAGAGAAACGCGGTCTATTTCGTAGTCGAAATCGTACAAAACCTACAAATGTTAGCACAAACCTCAATCTCAAACCATAAAATGCTTACCCTAGCTTTCTGGAAGAATGCCTTTCTCGCTGCCTTCCGATTTGAGTACCCCGCTGCCCTCAAATATTCCATATCTACAAATGCAGTCCCAGCGAACATAATTGCCTGGAAAAGCAACAAGCTGATCCGTCCAGTTTCTCCTGTTCCATCGTTTATGATCTGCAGGAGTTCGTGGACCTCAATCAATGGCATATAAGGATGTACGTATTCCAAATAGCTTCGTAAGAGTGCATTTCGTACGGAATCTTCGGGGAGCGACAATGCGCCTTTCGCGAACAGGTAGTCGATGTCAACAGAGGTCATACGCTGAGGGAGTGGTTTTAAGTATTCCGGAAGCTTGTGTTTGAGCATTGGTGCAGGAAGTAGTGGCGGCGTACCCAGTCGGGTGGCCATTCTGTCTCCATGGATGGAGGCGGATGTCAGGAGTGCGTAGGTGGGGTCGGCGTCGAAAGGAGCGGGAATATAGCTTTGTTTCCTCAAGATCTCACGGCTATTGATCTGGTTCGTTACGTTTTGGTCTTTCTCGTCATGTTAGCTCTACAAGCAATGCCAGCTCTCCCAAACTTACATATTGGATGAGGAACATGGGAATCGGTAAACTGGTCGCCTCCTAAATCGTTTGACATGGCAGTTGATCCGCTCCACCTTCTAGCTTCTGGATTGGTGATGTCTGAAGGGTTTACAATCCCATTTCCCCAATTGCGAAGGGCTCCATTGTTTGGGAGCGTTGTTGGGACCGGAGTCGCGCTTTCGCCGTTCAAATGCTTCCTATTTCCAATCAGCCCCACCTCTCTCCAGACTCTTCAAAATACATACTTCCGGCGTTTGCTTTCCTCGATCACACACTTAATGCCATCCATCGTGCAATTAGAGCACGTGACTTCTCCGTCTGCTGTGATGTGGTATCTCTGCATCACATCGCATCGAACCTTTCTTGCCCTGCACGCAGCGCAAGCTTTCGCCGCCCTCCTCTTGACCGGCTTTGGGTTTCCATTGCTGTCAACGCCCGCAGTCGCCTGCCCGCGCTTTTTCGAGCCAGAATCGGTCGAGCTTGGCGAATGCGAGGCATTGGAGCCGTTGGGCTCTATTGAGGTTGCCTCTGCAGGACTCATGATGTCGACGGCGCTTTGGTGAGGCGAGAGCAAGGTCAAGCATGTGATTCGGTCGAGGCACACGCGCAACAAATATATTCAACTTCGAAGAACAGAGTTATGGAGGAAAGCCACACAATGCAGAAACTGACATCGAGGAGCCAAAATTTAGGATCGGCCGCAAAACCGGAGGGTGACCTCATGTTTAAGTAGAAAGGCGGGCGGAGAGCAAGCAGGTCAGGTAGCTCGGAAAGTATGGAGAAAACCGCCATCGAGTCACAGAAAGGTTAGTCACAGTGTGGAGAAAAAGGACTAAGGGACTAGTCGACTAAGAACTAAGAACAGCTCAATTCCAAACAAGTTAACAACAGCGGCAACGTTCTGGGGCATGTGGATTATGGAAGCTGCATGGTGCCACCTACGGTGCAAGGCTAGTTTGCATGAGGCTCGAAGGAATAAATGGCGGCCGGGCAGGGGGGGCAGGATGGGGAGGGAGTTACGAGCGTAGGACGGTAGGACGGATGAGGGCAAGACCGGGATCCCTTCTCAGCTTTGAGTTTTTGTTTCTCTAATTTTTTTCTGTGCTCAGTGCTCACTGCTCACTGCTCAGCGCTCAGCAGACGCAGGCATGTGCCGCGGCCACTGCAGTACCGCCGCCAGGATGACGAGCGCTTGTCTGCCCTGACGGCCCTAGGGTGTCAGATTCGATTCTGACAACAATTCATCCGCGCATGTGAGAGAGCGTGCATGTGGATACGGCCGTCACTCGAAGTCCCGGCGTTCAAATACTGTAAGTCTGTAGAGTTGCAGACCTGCAGTCCTTTCATGAAAATGGCCCGAGTCTTTTTAAAATATTAATACAAACCACTTTGGGAACCACTTTGGGAACCAATTTGGCTCGACGGTCCCATACCCGCTAGTTCGCCTTCTCCGCACTCTCCGGCGTTGGAGTGCCAATGATATATGTTGCTTCGAATTCCAAGCCCCGCGATGGCATCGATGGCTTCGACGGTTTGTAACATTCCACCCCTAGACCCCCTCCAAGGCGCGCCTCGTTGCGCGGAGAGGGCCTGGAGCAACGGATGCAGCCCACTTCTCCAGAGGGCGGGCCTCAGATGAAATCCCGCTGGTGTTGCGAGAGGGGCATGGCCGATATTTCGAAACGCCCCGCCGGGAGAAACCGTAACAAAGACGGCTGTTTGCTAATTTCCGTGCTCGCGTAAGAGCACGAGTACGCAGTGTACAGGCAAAGTAGGCCAACTTACTATCAGAGATCGGCTGCAAACGGAATAAATTGCACTTCCAGGCTCCAGTGCAGAATTATTCCCGTCCTAGTTTTCCGATACGCGACTGACGAGGGGGTGCGGATGAGGGACAGTTGGGGTTGGGGCCTTGGGGGGGGGGGGGGGGGGGGGGGGGGGGGGGGGGGGGGGGGGGGGGGGGGGGGGGGGGGGGTGCGGGCAATGCGGGTCAGAATTTTGCCCCTCCAGATTGGCGATATTTTGGGGTGGTACAGAAACGTCGTCATGCCTGCACGCATTTCGAGCGTCCAGAGTCGAGAGTCGAGATTCGAGATTCGAGAATCGTGTCAGCAGCTGCGAGTCAGCTTCAAACAGCATCCCCTGCTTCACTCTTCCATAAGAATTACACCTGACCACGGCTTGTATTCTTCACGTGAAGTGCGTCTCCTTTACTCCCCCCACCCCCAAAAACTCGGCATTTCTCCACCCCTCTCACTCCCACAACCCACACAGCTCATCGCCTCCAGATCTCCTCCTTCTCAACCCCCCATCGGACCCGACAATGCCCTCGCGATCCTGCACGCGAGTCGTGCACTTGCAGTGCAGCGCTGCAGGGGCCTCTCGGCGCAGTGGGGCCAGCGTAGCTCGGCTTGGACGACGGCATTCCAATTACGGAGGAGAGGGAGTGCAATATCCGAACATAGCCGGACAAAAGGGACGTGCGTCGCTGATTCATGAGAGGGCACGTGAAGAGGACGACATGTGATTGCGGCCGTTACGAAGTAAGGTATTTGAAGACTGCGGCGTCGCCGATGAGACAGTTGACATTTGAAGATGGAGAGCACGGCGGTGTAGGAGACCGATCTCCCGTCCACGGCCAGCCACCACGGGGGGTTATGGTTCCGCCGGCGACAGAAAGACGGACACGGGGTCGTCCCGGGGTGTCAACCCCCAACCCTGTCACGGGAGTTATCACGGGAGACGTGGGTGAGGTGAGCCCCTCCGGGCGCGCCATCAAGGTCCTCACGAGCCGAGAAGTATATACAACTAACTAACTCACTCGCCTCCTCTCTAGATCACCCCTACGTTCTCAACCTCCCATCAGCCGACCAGACCATCGGTAGCTTTCTTTTTTTCACAATCCACTTGGTGGCGTTGATAGCTTGAATGGAATAAGAATCATGTCAGGACCTGGCGTGATCTCCTTTGCTACAATAAGGAATAAACGATCGACGGAAAGTACCATGTTTCAATAAGAAGATGGTATGGTCTACGAAACCTGGGGAGTTTCAACGGAAGCTGCACTTTCCCCGCTGCCCCGCACTTATTAGGCTGAGGTAGACTGCGGTTCTCTCAGACTACAAGAGGTCACCTGATTTATTCGAATCGAGGCCCCTTTCCACGTTATCTCGTTGTTTCAACATCACGTGTTTTTATTTTTATTTTATTCTTTTTTTCCCCCTAGCTTAGGTTTCATTTTCATCTCGTACAGTACAGCATCGTCTCATGCACTCCCACATCGTTGATTCTATATTGCTTAGCGAGGCATCTTTTGACGTCACTCTTCAACGCATCAACGCACATGTGTTGTTGATGTCATGAGTCTGAAGTCCAGACGGATATTTGCCCCTTTGAAAATCCCATCGGCGTTTATTCCGACCCCTCCATGGTCACAATTTCGGGGTTAAGACGCGTCTCCACTGTTTGTTGGAAGGGTTTGGAGGGATTTGGAGGGGCACTCGCCTCGAAAATGGCAGGTGCATGTGAGAAGAACACTGAGGTCACCAAATATACGAAGACTCGTCTAGACCTTCCGTTCGAAAGTGCAACGGACTTTCTGACATCAAGAAATGCTATTAATGGCCTCCCACTGCAAAACAAAACCCCATCCCATCCAACATGACCAGCGAACGCTCTCCTACCAAGAAACAGAAAACTGAACAATCAACCACAATGGCATCAGCACCAGAGCAATTCGAGGGTTTCGTGATCCACTCCAAGGACAAATGGAGCGACTTCACCAAGGAGAAGGTACGACGAATTCCCGATCATTGCATGTCTATCCATTCAGCAATCATCCCGGAACTTTCGCGCTCAATGTCTTAGGGGACAAGAAGAGTTCTTCAAAGTTCCAACTACTGCTGAGACTACGAATCTCTATGTCCCAATTCAATGTTGTCAATCGACGAATAACTGACAATCCTGTAGTTCACCCCCAAGGTATTCGAAGATAATGATGTCGATATCGAAAGTGAATGTTGTGGCGTTTGCGGCTCTGATGTTCACACAATTACAGGAGGCTGGGGGGATTTGGCCGTCTCTCCCATCTGCGTGGGTCACGAGATCATCGGCAAGGTTCTGCGTGTTGGGCCAAAGGTCAAGGGAATCAAGCCTGGAGACCGTGTTGGCGTCGGTGCTCAGGTACAATCTTGCATGAAATGTCCCCAATGCAAGTCGGACAATGAGAACTACTGCCCTCACATGGTTGGTGAGTGTACTATGGTCCCGTGGTCGAATCATTGTTAACTTTGCAGATACCTATGGCGCGCCATACAATATCGGCGGAGCGGACAGCGGCAAGGCGATGAAGGATAAGGATGGCAACCAAATTTGGTCTCAAGGAGGATACTCTTCGCACGCTCGAGTTCACCAACAATTCGTCTTTCCAATCCCCGACAATATGCCCTCTCACGAGGCTGGCCCCATGATGTGTGCTGGCCTCACCACGTACTCTCCACTTAAACGTGCCGGCACACGCCCAGGCAAGAAGGTTGCAATCGTTGGCATTGGTGGTCTTGGGCATTTTGCTCTCTTATGGGCCAAGGGTTTGGGTGCGGAAGTCTGGGCTCTATCCCACACTCCTGGCAAGAAGGAAGAAGCTCTCAAACTTGGTGCGGACCACTTTGTGTCCACCAAAGACAAGGACTGGGCCAAGCCTCTCGCTTTCACGTTCAACTTCATCCTCAATTGCGCCGATATGACCAACGAATTCGACCTGAAAACCTACATGAGCACGCTTGCCGTCAACGGTGCCTTCCACAATGTTGGTCTCCCAGACAAACCGTTGCCCGAGATGATGGCCCAGGATTTCACTTCCAATGGCAGCTCCATCGGTGGTTCCCACATCGGAAGCAAGAAGGAGGCTTTGGAGATGTTGAAGCTTGCCAGCGAGAAGAATCTCCACCCGATGATCGAGCAGATTGATATCTCGGAGGCTGGTTGCAAAAAGGCTGTTGAGAAGGTTAAGGTCAATGATGTTCGGTATCGTGTTACGTTGGTTGGCTTCAAGAAGGCTTTCCATACGAAGTAGAGGACGCCATTTTGGAGGAAGAGGACCAAAGGAGGCATGCACTGCGTCGACGGCAAGAGGTGGGGGGGCATTATAACTGTACGATTAATGATAAAGACATCAGTTTTGTCACCTAGATCCATAGATTCAGAGTTGTTCGATACAATGTAGTACGGATAGACGATCAAGCCTCGAGCGCCTGCTCGTCCGTTCCTTGACCATCGACGATGTGGAGAAAGGTGTTGAGCTGGAAGTCCTGTCTCAAATGCCATCTAAAGCAGAACCTGATTTTTCACAGGTTTCTGAAAGCTTGTAACACTATTTAAACCAAAAGGCCAATCTAGAACTCCCTTCATCGTGAAGTTATCGCTACCCTGCAGCCCCCAACTGCCGTTGCACGTGTCGGTGGCTGATCCAGGCCACAGCCACACCGTTGATCTCTTCGCAACCCCTGCATCCATGACGTATTTCCACGGAACGAGATCGTTCCCCGCCGACCCAGCTTCAAAACTTCAACGACCAGTCCCTGCTAAGAGCTGCTAACTCTCGAAACAGCGAATAATCATTTAAGCAAAACATCTCAAGAGCCAAAGAACTCGGGAATGGCATCTTTCTAGACTGCCAGGCACCTCCGTAGTTCCACGCCGTCGTTTTTCAGTTCAGGGTTTTCGCCATGCCGCGCCACGAGTCCACGACCGCGATCAGATCGGGATCGAGGCGTTGACCCTGAATCCAAGCCCCAATCGAACCGAACGTTCCAATGAGGTACCAATACGTTGTAAAGTACCGAGAACGGGCACCTGACGCAAACTAGGCAACTCCGCGAGAGGCATCTGCAGCTAAATTCCCTGCTCTGAGTGGTTGGTATGTGATGTGATGCCATGCCCTGGCCCGCTTGCTGCTCTGCGCTGTGTGATCACTGCCGAGCTCGTATCTCAACCTGCTTCATAAACCCTTACTGTCTCCCCTCGCTTCTCGCCATCTACGGTAAGCTCTCTGTCAAGCGTCAGCGAAGACAATCAACACCACTCTCCACACCAAATAAACATAACGACAGCCAAAATGGCATTTGGAGGCGTCGCCCTGAAGTCTCTCTCCCTCGTCCTCCGCTTCATCCAATTCGGCTGTGCCGCTGTAATCCTTGCGATCTTCTCTTACTTCCTCGCAACACTGCATAACCACGACCTGCACATCGACACATACATCCGTGCCGTTGAAGGTATCTCCGGTGCCGCCGTCCTTTACACAATCTTCGCCCTGCTCCTGGTGTGCTGTCTCGGCGGCATCGCATTCTTCAGCCTTCTGGGAATGCTCCTTGACTTGTCCTTCTGCGGAGCGTTCATCTATGTGGCGTATGCGACACGCGGTGGTGATGGAAGCTGCAGGGGATTTGTCAACACTCCGTTCGGAAGTGGAAACACCAACGACAACACGGTTCCTCAAGGAAACGGCGGATTCACAAGACTTCCGAGCTTGCACACAGCCTGTCGACTGGAGACTGCTTGCTTTGCGGTGGCTATCGTTGCTGTGTAAGTTCTCGCCGCTCCTCGTAGAAAGACGACTCGAGCAAATGCTGATATCATACAGAGTTTTCTTCCTGCTCTCTATCCCAGTCGAACTCGGCCTCATCAAGCACCGCCGCAAGGAGAAGGCCTTCGGCCCCTCCCCCAACAACGGGTACACAGCTGGCTCTCCCAAGCGCAAGTTCTGGCAACGCAAGCAGAAGCGCAACAGCATGTACGAAAAGAATGCCGATGCCCTGCCCACCCACGCTACACCTGCGGATTTCAGAACTTCATATACTACGGATACCACGGCCGTGGGTGCGGGTGAAGCTCCATTAAACAAGTATGGCAATGTCACTTCGTATGGAAACCAGGCTGGTGGCGTGCCGGCTCATGGGTACCAGATCACGGCTACTACTCACACTCCAGGGGCGGCAAATGATGGATATGTGAGGACTCATCAGCCTTACAATAACAATCCTACTGGGACATTTTAAGTTTTCACTAAATGGAAGATGATAGTGGCTTGGTCTACGATGTGAAAATAGGAACGCGTTGATTTGACAGAGGCAAAATGGAAAGCGGATTTGTATATATAATGATACCACGATGATTTTGGAAGTACTCAATAATTAATACACTTGTACATTATGTCAGCCAAATATTCCTTGCTCCTCTGCTCCTCTTCCCCTCCTCTGCCATGAAGTGGAGAAGCAAGTCGACAAAATCCCAGCCAAGATTCGAAGACCCGCTCCCCAAACCCACATGCACGACGTCAAAAAAATTGGAAAAAAGAGAAATTGGAAGTTTGATACTTGGTCACTACGAGGGTCGAACTCGCGACCTTGGCGTTATTAGCACCCTATTTATCTATTAGTGGTGCGTCGGACTTGCAGTGTGAAGTCAAACATACACGCTCTAACCAACTGAGCTAACTGTTTGATGTTAGAATCTGCTTTTGATGCGGTGGTTGAGGGAACTTACGCGACCGTTGAATCGATTGGATGGCAGGAAATAGGCTTATTCAAACATATGTATTGGCGAGTGGTACGGAATGGGAGGCGAGATAAAAATGTGAAAGCGGTGTGGGGAGAGGTGGGTTTCGTCCGGTGCCAATCAGAAGCCATGTCAAAAGGAGACCTCGCTTCCTGTCCCTCCGCGAATAGAAGATGACTCACAGATGCGGAGTTGACTTCCAAGTCCGAGCAAAGAAGGAGGGCCTTTGACGTCTATTTTCGAAAGGAGAATCTGGGTATAGTTACACTTGTGTTTTACACAACAAAATTTACGGTCTTCCCACCCTTTACAACAATCACCTTGGTCGCTTTCCTGATATCAGACATCGACTGCCCACCCTGCAGCCTCTCCTTCCCCTCTTTCGTGTCCAAGATCTCCTTCACGATCCACTCCTCCAGCTCCTTACCCGTCAAATTCGCTGGGAGGGCAGGAATTTCAACCACAAGCCGCAACCGCCCATTGACTTGCACAGCACACGACTGTGTTCCAGGAGCTAGCATTTCGAAAGTGCCATCCGTGGTAGGGAACGGCTCGTCAAAGATCGACTTTCCGGACCCATCTGATTTGGGGTATATAATTGTGCGTGGTCTGAGGCGATTCGCAAGTTTTGCAAGCGTGATTACCCAAGCAGAGGGCAGGCGTTCGTGAAGGATGGCCCAGCATTCCTCCGCAAAGGCAGGGGTGATAGGAGCCATCATCTTGAGCAGCTCTAGGGTTGCGTGATAAGTGATAAACTTGTCGGTGCCCCAGTCCTTGACCTCCTCGTCCTTGATGGCAAAGTTCCCATGGTCTATGATGGTGTTGGTGAGCGCCATCAGGTCGGAAACAACCGTGTTTAGAGAATGTGTTTTCTCGTACGACTCAGTCACGTTGCTGATTGTCAATTGGACTGCTCGCCACAGCTTCTTGTCTTCGTTGAAAAGCTTGGGGCTATTGGTCTTCAACCTCTCCGTGACATCGACCAGCTTCCTGCGATTGTGGCGGCTGAAACTCATGCTCCTTGCGTTTGGATTCTTCAGCATCGCTCCCACTGTCTCCTGCATCTCGTGCCGTTTCATAAAGTAACTTTTGGGTAGATCTTCTTCCAAAGCTGCAACTACCATCGCCCAATCCACCGAATTCTGGCTGATGAATTCATAGAGTCGACGCAGCCATCGAGTTATCCCGGATATTTTCTCCTCGTCCCACTCCAGGACCTCGCTAACAGGAGCTTGGAAAAGAATATGAGCCCTGGTTGCATCAGCTCCATATTTTGCCATGCATGTACCGGGATCCACTCCATTGTACTTCGATTTCGACATCTTCTCAAACGTGACATTGGGTTTTTCTCCGGAGGCAATAATTAAAGGACTGGAAGCATCTGTCAGGTCAACTTCATCCGGCTTGAGGAACCGTCCAGTTTTGGGGTCAGTGTACGTCTTTCCGTGAACCATACCCTGGGTCAAGACCTCCTTAAACGGTTCTCCCGCAAACTTCCAACCGTCGGGCCAGAGTGGTGTCGTAGCCACAAATTTGGAGATGAAGCGCGCATAAAGCAGATGCAGGATGGCATGTTCCACGCCGCCGATGTAAAGATCAACGGGGAGGTTGGCATTTGCAGCTTCGGGCGAAAAGGGTGCTTCCTGATTTTTTGGGTTTGGAAATCTCATGAAGTACCAACTCGAATCAACAAAAGTATCCATCGTGTCAGTGTCTCGCTTCGCAGCTCCTCCACATGACGGACAGGTAGTGTTGGCCCAGTCATGAGCATGGTCCAAGGGATTGCCAGCTCTCCCCTCGCCCCAATGCCCCTTTACAGGAGGGAGTTCCACTGGAAGCTGGTCTTTAGGAACAGGCACAGTGCCACACGCGTCACAATGTATCATAGGAATCGGAGTCCCCCAGTAGCGCTGACGGCTGATCAGCCAGTCTCGAAGACGCCAGGTTTCTGCTTTGGAGCCAAGGCCTTTAGACTCCAGCAGAGCGATGATATTCTTGGTGGCATCCGAAGTGGTCTGCCCAGCGTACGGGCCGTTGTGTTTTGTGAGGTACCCATGATGCACAAAGGGCTCATTGTTCAGCGCGATGGTTGCCTCATCTGGTGATTGAGATATGACCATCCTGACAGGGTCGTCGTAACGATTATGCTTCCAGAAGGTATGGTCTCTGGTATCATGTCCTGGAACTCCCATAACGGCTCCGTCTCCATAGTCACCCAGAACGTATGGCGCCACGTAAATTGGTAACGAAGCTTTAGCAGCATCTGGTGTTGATTCCTCGTACGCCAAGGGGTTCAGTGCTCGGACGTGGGGTAGAAGATACCCAATTTTTGAATCTAAGGGCAGTGCAGGAATTGTATCCAAGAAAGCTTGCAGCTCAACATCTGTCTTTGCCAAACTATGAACAATAGGATGAGTTGATGCAAGAGCAACATATTGAACACCGAATATTGTGTCCGGCCGAGTTGTGAATACCTCAATGTCCGAATGGGTCTGCTGGCCGTATGCCACAACAGGGAATTTTATTCGAGCTCCTGTCGATTTTCCAATCCAGTTCTTCTGCATTGCCAGAACTCTCTCGGGCCAGCCCCCCTTTTTTGCCAGGTTCTCCAGGCCGTCCAACAACTCCTGTCTAAACTCCGATATATCGAAGAACCACTGCTTCAGCATCCGTTGCTCGACTTTGGCTCCAGATCTCCATGAGAATCCATTAGCGTCCACTTGCTCGTTTGCTAACACTGTCTTGTCTACGGGGTCGTAGTTGACGAGTGACTCCGCTTGATATGCAAAGCCAGCTTCGTGTAGGAGGTGGAAGAGATGTTGAGTATGCTTGTAGAATCTGGGATCGCAGGTCGCAAACTCCTGCTTCCAAGTCAGAGGTATACTATCCAGAGTGGTAGCATACGCACTCTATCCCAGTCCCAGTGGCCATTCATGGCCTGCAGTTGTGATTTCATCCTCTTGATATTCTGTTTGGTCCAGGAGGCTGGTTCAATGCCCCGTTCAATGGCAGCATTCTCTGCCGGAAGTCCAAATGCGTCCCAACCAATTGGATGCATAACATCGTAGCCTTGCATACGCCGAAATCGTGCCAGAACATCAGATATTGTGTAGACTCGTAGATGGCCAAGGTGAAGGTCCCCTGATGGGTAAGGAAACATTGGTAAGATGTACATCTTCCTCTTGCTCTCCTCTGGCTCTACCTCTTTTGCGCCAGGAAAGAGGGTCCACTTCCCCCAGCGCTTCTGCGTCCTTCGGCTCTGCCATTCCAGCTGCCATTTTCGATCGAGAGCCGGGAGGTTGAGGTTGGGGTTGGATTTATACCATCTACCGACGAACATCGAAAAAAGGCGTTGACTACAGCCGAGAGTTCTTCCGCACCCAGGCCGAGCCCACGCCTGACCTGCATGCGTGCCAATTGTCCTCTTCATGATCTCGTTGCAACATTGTGTGCTATGGGAGTAGCTTCATTGTCGACGTTGATGTTGGTGTTTGCTGTCACGCGAGGCTGTTGAAGGTGCAAATTCCTTGACCAATCAGACGAATTTCCACGCCAACACAACTAAAGGAAAAGAAGCCAACCCAAGACACGACAACAACCTGCCCTGTCTGTGAGCATCTTTCTACCGTTTCATTTTTCGCTACGCCGAGTCTTCAAGTACACAGTTTGGCCCATTCCATTCCGCGCCCACGACCGTATAATTGTATATTTTCTTACGACCGCCATGCTGATACCACAATAGCTACGTCAGCCTCACGAATCGCTCCTCTCCCCTGCCAAAGAGAATGCACATGCAATAGCAAGAAAAAAAAGAATACCATGTCGCGGCCCTACTCAAACCTTCAACCGCATGCGCGCGACTCTCTTGAACTGGCCAGCCTGGCTTCCAGCTCTCCCGGTCCAAGGACATCCTCCTCCTCAACCTCCTCTCGACCCGGCATATCTTCATCCCGAAAGCTGTCCCTAGAAGAAGACGACCCCCTCGATGATCGAAATCCTGCTGCGGGTGGAAGACCAGGACCTCACAATCGATCCTTCTCCGTTTCCTCCACATTCGACTTTGCCTCGAATCTCTTCCCCCTATCCTCCACCACCGGAAATGGCTATGCTCCAATAGGGCCCCCCATATCTGCATCGAATGACCAGACCGCGTTGGGAGGTGTTTCGCTAGAGAAGCACAAGACATTGACATACTTGAACGGGTTGTCGCTCATCGTTGGGTTGATAATTGGGTCCGGAATCTTCTCTTCGCCGAGCCAGGTCAACGTCAATGCTGGATCGCCAGGGGCATCATTGATTGTATGGGCAATTGCTGGACTGCTGGCATGGACGGGGGCGTCTAGTTTTGCGGAGCTGGGAGGGGCAATACCGCTGAATGGAGGCGCGCAGGTCTACCTGTCCAAGATATTCGGGGAGCTCTTTGGTTTTCTCTTCACGTGGTGTGCGGTGATGGTCTTGAAGCCTGGATCTTCAGCCATCATATCCATCATCATGGGGGAATACCTCGTCCGAGCAGCGATCGGTGCAGAAGCAGAGAGTGTCAGCTCTTGGATCAACAAGTCAGTGGCGTTGGTTGGGCTATTTGCGGTCACATTGTTGAATTGTATATCTACGAAATTGGGAACTAGGATGGGAGACATGTTTATGTTCTTCAAGTTTGTTGCACTGCTCGGCGTTACGGTCATTGGCATTGTGGTTGCGGTTACAGGGTTTTCAGCATCGGGTCAGGCGAATCAAGACTGGAAGACAATTGGTTGGTTTGAAGGGACGTCAACAAATGCATCTTCTTGGGCAGTGGCCCTTTATGCTGGGCTCTGGGCCTTTGATGGCTGGGATAATGTGAGTACGAGACCACTAGTTCTTCTCCTTAACTAATAGCTGCAGACAAATTATGTGGTGGGAGAGTTCCGGAACCCATCGCGAGACCTTCCGCGAGTTATCCATACAGCCATGCCCCTCGTAATTCTCTCATACATCCTCGCGAATGTGGCCTACTTCTTCGTCTTGCCGATCAAGGCAATCAATGGTTCCAATACCGTTGCGGTCATGTTCGGCAGCAAAGTCTTTGGCCCAATCGGTTCCCTGATATTGGCTCTCATCGTGTCAGCATCCTGCTTTGGTGCTTTGAATGCTACAACCTTCACTTCCGGACGATTGGTCTACGTTGCAGGCAAGGAGGGCTATCTCCCCGAGATATTTGGAAAGATCGGCGCCTGGAGGAGTGAGGAAAGGGGATTAAATACAATACGGACTCGCAACTGGGCCTCGAAGAAACTTGCCAAGATGTTTGGCGATGAGGAAACCGGCCTCTTCTTCACACCCATAAACGCCATGGTTCTCAACGCTGTATTGACAACATGCTACATTTTTGTCGGTGAATTCGGAACCCTGCTCACCTTTTACGGAGTCGCTGGCTACACCTTCTACTTCCTTACTGTTCTTGGACTCATCGTGTTGAGAGTCAGAGAGCCGAATTTGGAAAGGCCGTACAGAGCTTGGATCACAACGCCAATAATCTTCTGCTGCGTGAGCTTGTTCCTGCTCAGCAGAGCTGTATTCGCGGAACCATTACAGACAGTTGTGGTCGTCGCCTTCATTGGAATCGGTGTCCCGATATATTACTGGAGGGTACGTGGTCGAGACAAGAGCACAAAAAGAGAAAGAAGTGATAGCGTTGGGGAGGGGCATGGGTGGCAATTCTGGAAACGATTCCAGAGGTAATGTTGTATTGAATAATAGATGTTGTATCTTCATGCTCGGCGGGCTTTTGCGTACCCTTCAATGTTTCCCGCTTCAAACCTGCAATGTTCCTAGGGGTTCAGTAAGCCTAGTATCTTGCTGTGCGTTCTGGGTCCAGAAGGAGCCTTAAGCAAGCGGGGAACTTTTTTTTCATCGAGCATAAAACTTCCCAAAATAGGGGGGCCTAGACGGCCCCTGCATTACTGCGTATCGCGTATCCAACAGTTGATATCGAGGGGATTTCACAAAATTCGAGGTACCCCCTGAGCTTTACTTGGGTTGATGTACCCCTTCGGGTCGTGGCTGAAATCACTTCTCCCCATTGGTCATGGCCGTTACTGCACCCCAGCTGAGCTGAACATGGCCAACCTCGGCGCCAAAAAGCAGTTCAGGCTCTTGAATACATATCCTTTTCGAGATTCCCTTCGCTAGGAGAATGTCAACGACCGTTCTCCTACTGTATCAAGATGCAAACATGAGAGGTTCCCGCGACATATCGCCGCCAAGGGCGCGCACAGAAGTCGTGCACTGAATGCAGAAAGCGGAAACGGAAGGCGTGTGATCACTCCCAGTTGGTCTGAGCGGTTGCTGATTGCACCCAAAGTGCTGCCCAAGGGAAGAGGGGCCATGTAAACGTTGCTTCAAGCGGTATCCGCCGGTACCATGTATATTTCTGCCAAAGCCAACCCGAAAAGACTGCGAGCAACGTGGCCAAAACCTTCAGGATGCTCGAAGTAGCACCAGTCGAGCTTCAAGCTCAAGCCTTTCAGGCCCCACAGGCGACTCAACACCGTCGAGCCCTGTGCGAGATTCCTCCTCAGCCCTTGATCAAGATCTACTGGATCCAGCCCTAGGACTAGATCTTGGCATCGGTGTCAGGCGTACTGTCACTCCATGTCCACGTCCAGACTGCAATTCTGGTTTGACGGAGCATGAGGTGATCAAAGTGTGTGACAAACTGGACCCAGCACTGCAACGACGGGACGTCACTCTGGCAGTGCAATTTCAATGACTACTAGTACTGATCAGCAAGTTTCTACTCGCATGAGACCAGTCCGGTGTTTCGGGTCTTTTGTAGAGGTTGCCTGCGGAGGAAATTGCATCAATTCTCCTGCCCGGAACGCTGAGCGCTTAAACTTCTGTACGTCACTCACTCTGCCTACACGCTCTTGCACGATGCTGACCAACACCCAAGTTCATCATGTCGTGGTGCCTAACATGTGTTCACTGGATGGGAGTACGACCCCTCCTTCATTTGTGGAGAACATCGTACCATGGATTCTATCAAACATGGCTATCTTCATGGCTTGTTGCACCCAATCCGCGGAGTCAGGCCTCCAACCACACGTCTCCTCTGAGACCCTTAGTATCAAAGCCAGTGTTCTCCCACACATGAACAAACGCCTAGAGGACGAGTTCAGCGTAGTAGCCGTAGAAATACTACCAGCTGTAATGCATCTCGTCCTCGTTGAAGTAAGTTCTTTCAGTATATTTTCCTACATTTGAATCGCATCTAACACGGATGCTCAGTGGTGGCGGGGAAACACAAACAGCCTCTGGGCCCACCTGCAAGGAGCACAGCAAATGCTCACATTGTCTGGTGGGCTCGACGCCCTGAAAGACACTACGCTGCAGCAAATTTTAATCTTGTAACATCATCGCCCTCCCCCACTCTTCAAAGACTGACCTCGCGAAGCACAGATTTTGAAATAGCCTGCTGTTTCGACCGCGATTTGTGCTTTCAGGATTCAGATGTCGCCAAAGACATGGATATCCCGCTACCTCTCGAATACGAAGTTTGTTTGAGAAGCTCACTCCTAGAGTACACCACCACGTTCTGGGATGACCGAGAAACCTGGAGATATTAGATGCTGCAGCCCGGATTTTGGATGATGTGCGTTGTTTGGTTATCTCAGTAACTCCCTCATCGGCAGGATCTAACACTTCCACGATATAAACTTCAGCGGCCTGTAAGTATTCTCTTTCCCTGCGCCTCAAAAGTTTCGTGCTCCGAATATGCCCGTCCGTGTTTAGGTGCAATAGATTTCGTAGCCAGCTGACAAATGTTCAGGGCTTCATAAGCAAACTGTAACCACTTTTCTTGACGCAATAGCTTTTACCAACCCCTCCGCTGATCCGGTAACTTCCATGATCCGTCGTGCAGCGCACTTATATGCCCAGGCCATCGCAACTCACACCCAACTCTCTGAACTCTGGGCTCTACCTCTCCTATATGAATTCTATTTCCTAATGTCAGTCGTGCCTCTGCAGAAATGGAAGCAGATGCCCGGTATCTTTCTCTGGATCCTGTTGGTGGCTTGTCCGGGATGTGGTAAGGATTGATGGGGAAAGTGGGTCAAGAGGAAGATGGCTGTTTGTGGGGCAGGCTTGGGGTTGATAGACCCGGGCTTGGCGGTTGGTTGTTTGAGGGAGTTTTGGAGAATTGGGAGGTGGGTGAGGATGGAGGGCATGAAGGTGGGCAATTTCGAGCGTTGTGGCGACAGCGTTGAAAATTATATCGATTATGGTATGCAAAGTGCTGTATGAGTTTCCATGTCAGGACAACACAATTGTTAGAAAGCCAAGGCCAACAGTAAGAGATTGTTCCTGCTGCTGTTTTTGAAGTGTCTTCCAATAATCTATATGACTACACCTACATCTATTCCTTGGCCGCGGAAAATTCCATCTCCCTTCATTTAGCTTCGTACCTGATGTTGCTGGTAAGCCCGCTTCCTTCGGGAGTGAACATGGGGCGCCATTACTATTCCGGGCGCTGAGGCGCTTTCTACCACACCCGACAGCCTTCAATATCACCGGATCCTCTCAAATCTGCGTTTTTATTAACTTCAAACAACCTGAACATTTACCACACGCCCAGAAATAGCAATAACTTCCCGCATGGTGTCAAGTTCGAGCACCACAAGGCCACCCACTCAATCCTGATCATGGAGCAACTTCAAGCAACAGCTCAGTATGCCCAACGGATTTTCATTCGACCACCTAGACCCAGGTCTGCGAACGATCCTACAGCGCCTCTCTTATTTTCTCCCGCCCAACGTGAAGATGCCACAGGAGCGCAGCAGAAGGCTCAGGGAACGTCGCTAGCGATGGCCCATGTGAAACCCTCAATCGTCATGGCTCCGTTATGCACGGCCTTCTTCTCATGGGCTATTCTCCTTAGTGCGGGCCTCGACCCTTTGGCGTTTGGGATGCTGTCATTCCATTGGGTGTTGGCTTTGCTATGTTTCTCCTGGCGGTATGGCAAACCCCAAATTCCTTTCTCGTCACTTTTATCTACCCCTTCAAAGCCTGCAACTAGACAAACACTAAGTCTCCTTATCTAGGTTGCACACATTCAAATTTGGTTGGGAAGCAGTCAGAGTACTAATATTAGCAAGACCGGCACTACCAACGAAAGCAGGTTTTAACCTCGGGTTGCAAAAGGCTGAAAACATATCCTGTACTTTACACTCGGGATTCTTGGCACCCTCTTTCTTTTTTATGGAATAATTTGGATTCGGGCAACCGTAACAGACGACGGCAACGATTGTGGGCTCCCTTCAGAATAGCATATCTTTATCGTCTCGCGTGATCTGCAGACGAAGATTGGTGAACCTTCTGCGATAGAGAAATTGGGCACTTGCATATAGAAGGGTATTCTTCATCGCAATGCTACCATCGAGGATGGTTTACAGTGCTTGAGGAGTATAGAGACGAATGAATCTTGCATAGAGTAGGCCTAATGAGAATGTTGCTTGTATATTTACAGATTGACTTGAGAGTACCTAGTCCTGTCAGAAAATTCAAATCTCTCCCAAAGGCTTTGAATCTATAGAGTCTCCGGCGGCTGAGTGATCTTTATTAGGTGGTCTCCATTCAATGTCTAGAACACCTTTCCCAGCCCCTCGTGGCTGCAATCTTTCTCATTCCACATATCTTTGTGATAAACCACTTGTTCCTCCCCGCCCACCTTTTCCAGTGCCGAGCTCACCAGGCTGTTGGCTATTTTTTCAGTTGGAATGAGTTTGGGTCTTTGTCCTTGCCGTAACTTGAAAATGATCTCTTTGTTTGTGGGGGACACAACTTCGGTGGCAAGTGTTCGGGACGCGGCTATGATTTTGGGGATTCCTCTTATATCAATATCTCTAATAACTCCCATTTTCCAGCTCCGAGGGGAACAATCCAAACTTACAATACCACTGCCCAGCAATTTTATATCTCGTATCGCAGTAACTCCGCGGATCATCATAAATCGCCTTCTCGGCATAGACCTGCATATCCTCATCACTGACGCTCCCAGAACAAAGTCTGCACGTGAATCCATGATCTTCTGTCTTGGTGGTGAGCGAAGTTTTGACCAAGAGGGATGTGGCTTGCGGATCTGGGTGTGGTTGACTCGTTTCGAGCAAAGTCATGTTTTAACGGGCTGAACCTAAAAAAACAAACAGGTGTTTGACAGTTGCCTTGAAAGAAAGATGTAATTCAGGTTTGATCTAGAGTTGTTTGATTTGGAAAGGTATACTCCGACCGACTCGTGGAACTCGTAATGTCATTATATAATGAAAAGCAATCAATTAGCGAAGTTCCAATTTGTTCAAGTGAATGTCACCTTTTTGTAGCTGTGGAAGGGTGAAGATGGCCGCTGAGATCGTTGTTAATCTAGCTCACTATGAAACAGAATACAGATAGGTTGCTAAAGGTTAGAGAATGAAGAAAAGGGGGGGGGTATCACGTGAACGAGGCTTGAGCATTCGAGAATGAATCAAACAATTATGAAGACCTCTAAAATATGCCAGTTTCTCACTAGAAGCTCTCGATATTATCTTGGCGGTATATGCCCAGATCTGGAATCAAAACGCCCTCGCTATGCAAATTCCTGTCCACCAACTCCGAAATGACAACATTCGCACGATCCTCTTCATCATCTAACGGGAATTTCCCACGCTGCTCCATCATCATCTTCGTCATCACTATCCAACTGATCTTCCTCATCATTCAATGCCATCCGTACGAACATCTGCACCCAAGCTTGCTGTGCTGCTTCTTGATTTGCTGCAGCTCTTTGTCTTCCCAAATCCTCTCGGTCTCGTTGCCGGTTGTGTGGACGACCCGCTCGACGTCCCCCGATCGGTATACCTGGCTGTCTGCGGACGTTTTGTGCTGCTTGGCGTTGGGGGCCGCGATTTTGCTGGTTGGCCGCTGGGGGATCTCGAATCGCTGGGGCGACGGGAACAGGTTGGGGAACTTGGTTGATTCTGAGGACGAGAGGACCTTCGCGTTCGAGTTCGTCTCGGGGGGCTGGCGGAGGCTCTTGCACAACAATTTCAGGAAACTCGACAGCAGGGGCAGCTGCTGCTTCGTTGACGACCTCGACTGGAGCCTCCTCAAGTTCCTCCTCTTCGTCAGGGATTTCGACAGGCCGACCGCCACCTGGAACAACATCATCTCCATCACCTTCCTCAAGCTCCCACAGACGCATGTAGCACCAGGTTTTCTCTTCGTTGTAATGTTGGTAAGGATTTGTCTGGGAAAGCCATGCCGAGCATAAGTAGCAAAAGTGTGAACGACACTTGAAGCAAATCATGTGATTGCAACCATGAGTCTTTTGGCAAGGAGCCGCACAGGTGGGGCAGGGTGTCGAGTGGGCCTTCAGATATTCAAGAGACTTCTTGTCCTCTTCGGTGAGTTCTCCAGTATTGGTTTTCGGTGTGCAAGTTGTGAATTCACCGTGCCAGCCCTGGTAACATCTGCTGCAAAATGCGAATGAGCAGTCTTCGCACACAGCGAGAAGATCCTTTCCGGCCGCAAACTTCCCGGGGCCGCTTGTCTCATCGTCTGATTCATCGCTCGAGCTCTCTGTATCTTCAAAGCCGTCGGGCTTGCGGTGTTTCTTCGACCTAGCAGCTCCTTGGCACCACTTTCTCGGACAGTAAATGGTGTTCTTGTCCGACTCCAACTCCGCCTTGTACTTCAACTTCACGTACCGGGAGACAACATCGTGCTCGAGGGGTATTTGGAGCAATTCGCTAGGGCTGAGCTGTATCTTGAGTCTTCGATTTTTCATCGTGGATGTCTGTGCCTCTGCACGCTTCTTCGCACAATCTGGCGCCAAGCAACGAACTGGAGCAAGATCGCCCTCCTTGATCGCATTGTTGTAGAAGTCTTGTAGACATTCAACACAGAACACATGGCCACAATCGATCATCCGGTGGCAAACAGAACCTTTCTTGGGATCTGATAGAAGTTAGTAGATTCCAACGGCCCCGAGAAGAGGAGTACTACCAAGACAGACCCCGCAGTCAAAAGTCTCCTTGGAGAAGGCAGCCTGGGTGGCCTTGATGTCGTAGTCCAGCAAAGAGATCTTGAAATCTTGAGAAATTTCCAGTATCTTGCCACTCTCCGCAAACCCAAAGGCGTTCTCGGCTTCTTGTTGCAGAAAGTCGATATATCCATAGATAACAGAACTGCGTCCACTATCTTCCCACATGCTCTCCCCATTCTCCTGTAGCTTGTCAAGATATGAACGGCTGAGCCATGCTGGCGTTGTCGAAAGTTCGAATTTGGCAGGTTGTTCCTCCGGATAACCCTCTGGTAGAGTAACACGCAGCTGAAGTGGTGGTAAATATGCTAGATTATGCGATTCGACATTGTTTGCTGGCGCAACTTCGTCCTCTTGACTAGAGTTGGTAGAGAGTGGAGGGGTGATGAGATGGCCGTCGGAGGACGCTGGGAAGACGACCGTGACTAGATTTGTCGGGTTGACTGGAAGTTCGATAGAGGCAGAGAAGGGGTCTTCTGGGTCGAACCGAATCTCGGGGTAGATGGCGGCTATACAGTCCAACTCGACTCGGCGTTCATCGTCCATCGCGGGGCAGGAGGTCCCCGGATGATCCTTGAGAGACGAACGACGTCTGCTGTGGGAAGGAGTAGAATGGTGAATTTCATAAGTATGATGGAATGCGCGTTTGCAAACGAGCGAACGGGCGGAAGGCGGAGGGATAGGAGGAGGGGAGGAGGGGAGGAGGAGGAGGAGGAGTGGCGGGGGAGTCAGTAGAAATAAATGTTCGGCGATGTCGATTTGGACTCGAATAATCTGGGGGCGGCCATATCAAAGATACTCGTCGCTCTAAGAAATATCCGCACCAGCAACCAGCAACTTTCTCGACTCCCCTCGCAGCAACTTTGTGCTTTGTATCAACGACGACCTGGAAGGGACGAGGTGAATCTCGCAAGACCGGGAAAGTGCGCAAGATAAAGGGCCGTTTCTCAGCCAGAGGCGCAGCGTCCAGCATTCGGCGATTTGAGTCATGGCCGACACAACTCCTCTTGCGTCCCTCTCCTTGACGCATGTGCATTACGTGAGGGCTTCAACTCACCCTCTCCGTTCCTCTGGATTTGCTGACCTCTCTAGGATCCAAATGATCCGCTTTCCTACTTCTGCGCTTGGCTGGCGCTCGTCCCCCAAGGGCTCTGCGTCGTGTACGCAACCCTGATCTGGTCGACCCGCGAAATCGAAATCCTCATGATGTTCGGCGGACAAATGGCATGCGAGGCCCTCAATTTTGCCCTGAAGCGTATATTGAAAGAAGAGAGACCGAAACAAATGCACGGGAAGGGATACGGGATGCCATCGTCTCATGCCCAATTCGTGGCATTCTTCTCCCTGAGCTTGACGCTGTTCTTGCTCTTTCGACACGTACCCAAGAAGCCCACACCGTCCCATACACCACTGAGTGTGCCTGCAAGAGTTGGGTTGTCAGGACTGGCATTGGCAAATGCGGGCTTGGTTTCGTGGAGTAGGATATACCTGAGTTATCACACGCCGAAGCAGGTTTTGGTTGGAGTTGCGGCGGGGACTTTCAGTGCCGTATCTTGGTTCCTGCTTACGGCCGTGGTGAGACAGATTGGGTTGCTAGAGTGGATACTAGACCAGTATCCAACCAGGTTATTTCGGATGCGAGATCTGGTTGTCGAGGAGGATTTATGTCAAGCTGGTTGGGAAAAGTGGGAAAGCAAGAGGATATCCAAATACACGAACGGCAAGAAGCATAGATGATACGAATACGACGATCCCTGTGTAAACACCTAGAGGGGATAGATTGTACCAGCTTACGCACAATTGCAACTTTCTGTGAAGCTCCACCCTCTTGTCCAGTTTCCGCATTCCCCACAAACTCCGCGCTTAAGTTAAGCGCCGCAACGTTTTGAGGCTGTCAGGAAGTCCTCCTCCAACAGCGTTTTTAGTAGACCTAATATCACTTTTACGTGTAGCAGAGTTGCAGTTTTGTCCCATTTTTTATCTCGAGATGAAGCTTCTGGCTAGAATGTTTGCTATTATGAACGAGGGATTTGGTTGCTCCAACACAGACTGCTCCAACACAGGCATGAGTTTAACTTGTAACTGGACCAAGTGAAGGTACATTCAGCAGCTCTTCCATTGCAAAGTCAAATCCAGAATTCCGCTGTCATAAAGCACTCCATTTCCTGCCGAGTTTGAATCCCCAGTTAGTCTAACCCGGTTGTTGATGTTTAGGGGTATCGGGCTGTTGCAAGGCGACCAAACAACAGCGCCTGTGGGATCGATGGCTTCCTCGAAGCTGTATGCCGCCGAAGTCGGGCCCGCGAAAGCTGTGATTGGCGGAGACTTGATCGCTACCTGTTTGAAGGTTAATGGCGGAATTCCTCGGACCACTCCAGAGTTTCAATGCTTACATCCAGAGAAATAGTAACTCGTTTGATGCAGGCCTTGCACACCATCTTCGAAATTTGCGTAACCGCTGTAGCCCACGCTCATCGGACTGTACTGTATCCCGGTTGGATATAGTATGTTAAGATTGATCCGGCAGTGTTTGCGATTCTCGCGGGCTGAGATGTTAGTACCCATGGAAGAAGTATATCCATTGAATACTGCAACTCCCTTAAATTATTCGTCAGCTTTCTGCAAACCTGATGTCGAACATGAATCCAAACCTTGTGTCACTTATGGTATAAATAAACGATAGCGAGCTTTGTGGGCATCCACTCCCTCCATAAGATATTTCGCCCATCGTGATTCCAGTGCTGTTGAAGCCACCCAATGTCTGAGCGAGAACTGAGAGAGACAAGATCTCCTTCACTGCGAGAAGGATGAGTTGATTCGAGATGAGGTGGAATATGGCTTTATCAGACTGGAAGGTTTCCTTATGCGCTCTGCAGCTCTACAGGTTACTTGGCAAACGAGAATCGGAATAGCAGGAGAAAGTTTGAGGGGAGGCCAGTGCTCATATACTTTTGGAACAACTACCCCTCGACGACAGAACACTAGATCAGACCAGGACTCGTGCTCCTCAGCTGTGGCCACCGCGTGGCGACGCGAGTAAACAAGGTCAATTTGACGTTCCTGGCTTTTTAATCAAACAAGTGGACGAACTTAGCCTGAGTAACTTCAACTTTATTCAGATTAAGATCGAGATTTTAAGGGCCAAATCGGCTCAAACTGCGGAGAAAATGATATAAAAATAGAAATTCGGTGCTCGCTTCCGACGGTATACTTTGGTCCGGAACACTTTGTCTCTCAAACCAGCTCCTTCCGCTCCTGTCGTTTTGACTCCCCGAACCGGAGTATAATTGTGTGATTTGGAGTGGAGGATGGTTATATGACACTGTTAGACACGTGTTTAATCAATTCTGGATATCTATCTTATGGTTTTAATGGGATGAATCGATGTGAACTATGCGAGAGCTTTGCTTGAACAAGGTGCCCGCAAAGAGGGAGATCATCACGTGACCATGACTGATGCGCTTCAGGATTGATAGCCAGATCCAGACGGCCCTTATCCTATACTTATTTATCCTAATACAGCAGAAACTCGATATAACGATCCTCGATTTAGTGATATCCTTGACAGTACGATACAGCCGTAAGGTCCCAGTGGTTTTTTGGCCCTAGGCTTACGATATACCCCCCACAACGATTATCGTAAGGATTTATGGTCCGGAGATTATTTTTTTGGTGTAATATCGTTCTAATCGTCGAACCCAATGGATTAATTCCTCTCTTCCATGGGCCTTCTATCCCCCAAACCCGGTAATTCGGAGTCGCAGACCATCGATCTCACTGTTTTACAGCCTGCAGTGTTTACCACTGATTCTACAGGCTATCAGCAACCTAAAATGGGTTGAGGAGCTATTACTGAAGAGATTCTTTATATATCTTTAATTTTTACTGTCTTTATGTGGGTGCACGTGATTCTTGATACAACGATATTTCGGTGTATCGTTAGAAAAAGACGCTAAAATCGTTATCGTTATATCGAGTTTCTGTTGTATGGCTAAGTAGGCTAGTAAGTGTATGTCGAATGCCGGCTAGGTTGTTGGACTGGTGATGGATTCAATATCTATGAATTGACTATCGGACGATGAGACATTTCGTTCACTTCACGGAGACTTTTCAAAAGTTTCCACGAGGAGGCAAGGTCTCAGCACATCTATGTAGTAATGCACGCCAGTACATTTGGTCTCTCAAGAGTTGTGATGTTTACTTTTCCCGCTGTCCCGTCCAGTTTCTTGCCTTTCTTGGCCTTTAATTCTCAATCAACTAGATCCGCCTTGAAAACGGAGCTCGAGGTTTACATCATTCCACGTGGCCTCTACCCGAGACCCGTGCTCATTTACCTTGCCGAAAGTATCTACTCGACTCCCCTTTTATCACACTCACGCCAGTCACGACAACAATATCTCTCAAAATGGCTGATCCTAGCAAGCCACCAGGCAATCTGGGAAAGCTACTCAAGCTACTCAAGTTACTCTAGAGTAGTCTTGAGTAGAGTAGAGTATTACTCTAGAGTAACTAAAGTAGTCACGTGCAAACCGCGTGAACCTAAAAATCGGTGTTTATTTAATTATTAAGAAATAAATAAGGTACCTATTACGCAGCACAATATAAGTAAAGCTAGTACCTATTCGAGGCTACTTAAAAACTGATTTTCTGTATGAAAAAACTGATTATCCTCCTCGAAATCATGATTTTTCTTACGGAGGTAGTTCTGGAAGTGTGTTATTCGATTCGCTTACCAAGCGTTACTACTGCCTGATTGGGTGGCGAGGCGACGCTAGGCGCGACTGCCTCCTGGGCCTTACCAGATTAGGCTAGCTTACTCACGTGTACGAATCACGTGCAAACTGCTCAGGTTAATCATGAATATTCATGAATTCATGAATAACTTAATTAACATATGAATGAAATAAGAGTAACAGGGACATGCTTGAATGGGATATGAGTAAGAGCCGTTATTCTATTCTATCCTATTTATTTGACACACTGTCTTGCAAAATGGGTCGTGGCGAAGGGGCCAAAACGATCGAAAAAGGGAAGTTTGTTCATTAAGCAGAGCGGAGTACTGATTGAGAGTAAGAGTTGGGAGATCCTGCTTATAATCACGTTCTTAATGGTCCTGGAGATTTTCGTGAGAATGGGTGGCGGGTAATGAGAGTTTGTTATTACATACATTAAACGATGACCTGCCTACCTGTATTTCAGACCTCGGAATTCCTCTGCCTATCTTTGCTGGTTCCGAGAATTCCCCGCGAAAATGAAATCTATTTCATGGTCTTCATTCAAAGTTGGACAATGATCTTGATTTTGAGCAGACAAACAAGACTGCCATATTCTAATGATACTGAGATTTTCGAATTATTATCGGATAAATGTACCAGGGCTCTGAGAAAATTGGGAGGGCGAGCAAGGGAATTGCCCCTACTGGACTTTAGTACATTTAGTCCCGCTTCCTATATTCACCTCGAGAATGCTTTCGAAATTTGTGGATGGGCCAGCTCGCTTGAAAAGGAGTAAGCGCGCTTAAGTCATAAGTTGTGCCGAATGGATCAATTGTAGCTTCCTGATTGGAGGAAGCATTGTATATTTCCCAGACGCTGGAATGTGGGTACGATGAACATACAGAGTATCGAGTGGGAAGCCTCATGCGTTCTTCGACGAGGGACCTAAACTTCGATTGAGAAGACGTAAACCAACTATAGAACGCTAGAGAAATGGTAGATACTTCAGGCCAGTTGCAATGCTATGAAAGGCCGGGAAAGCGCCTCACAAATCCTTCCGCGCGAACATCATCCCAGTACATCCCGCGAGCATAGGGTAAATTTACTTCCTCTAGTTGCGGTGCATGCGTGGACTCCGCGACAGGAGTCGTGAAACGAAGCTTCAATCTTCAACATAATATTCTTCGGACCGTAGCGGCTCGGAAACTTCAACTCGGCCCTATCAAGATTTTCGGCGGATACACCCAGATACACTCGGGCACGTGCACAGCTCCCCCAGACACTCAGACTGCGTTTCGCAGAAACCAATGCGAACGGATGGAAGACTAGCTTCCCCTGCATTAGGGTGCAGAGCGCGAGGACTCGGTCTGTGCGAGCCCTGTGCCTATGTCGCCTCCGGAGCTGCTACTCCACCCTTAAATAAAAAGCAGCGTGACAAGGCTGGCACGGCCGTTTTGACGTTCACCGTACCCTGGCCGCGCTACGTTTTATTTAAGGGGGGAGAGTATGTAACACAGAGAAACGGATATCCCTAGCCGATACAGTAGCCCCCGAAGCCCACCAAACCATACTTGTTTCATGCGTGCGCTTGTAGCGAGGCAACTCCCTAGCGCTGATTCCCTACCCCGTAGCCTAACACATGAACCTTCACCAACCCCGGTCATTTCACTCGGCAAAACATTAACCATTTCCTACGAGAAGGTAATCGGACTTCCAAATTACGTTTCACAAACGAATGAAGTTAATTTAGTGTTTTTTACAACATATCATAGGAAAATAATGGAGAGAGGCAGGCACAGGCTGGGTGTGAAAGTCTAATAGAAAGTTTATCTTGCTTACTTCCTGGTCTGTGAAGCTTGGAACAGACCAGCCTTGCTATTATTTCCCGTTCATAATGCTGTAACCACTAGCATGAGGACCTGCATAGAGTTTTGTTCCGCTGAACGGGATAGGTACTCATGAAACAAAACCTTCTTGAACACGTACCCCGCCTACTTAGAAGTAGCCAGCCGTGGCCGATTCATATAAGACCAATCTAGAGAATCATCGTTCTTACCCACAATTTTCTGTGCGGAGAAACCAGGAAAGACCATGGCCGCTACCGCCTTATCTAAGCATGCCTCCTCTACCCTCTCGGGCAGCGTCTTCCTCATCACCTCTGACGGGCGGATTTTGAACCTTCCGATCCCTTCCAGATCTTCTCGAGACCCGCTGAACTGGGGTGCATGGAAACGGGCCTACGCATTCCTTGCGCTGATCGTCTTCTGGGTTGTCGCGTTCGTGATCATACAGGCTCCAAGCTTAATGTTCACCGAGTTATCAGAGGAATTTACAGCAGAAGTATGGACCTGACTTTCCAACCAACCCTATAAAAGGGCAATGAGCAAATTTTCACTAACGAGGTTTTAGGATATAAAACCATTTCGGCTTGACGTTCTAGTGTCAGCTCCTACGCTGCTTCTAGGGATTGGAGCTTTTATATGGATTCCACTGTCGCTGGCAGTAGGGAGAAGACCGGTATTCTTACTCTGCACTGGGATACTGACCGTGGCGACTATATGGGCTGGGGCTACCAAAAATTTCTACCAACTTTTGGTAGCAGTATGTCTACAGGGACTCGCGGCGGGGATTGTTACTAGTACAGTGAGTCGCTCATTCAGACCGATTAGCTGAATTATTCTAACGGGATGCAAGATATTTCTGATGGTTATTGACATCACCTTTATTCACCAGCGTCCTCAAGGCATCTCTGCCTTTTGGTCTCTCGGCGGCGGCGTATCCCTCGCCTGTCTCTCGTTAATCCCAGAAGTTGTCAGATTTGGTTCTACATGGCGTACTTTCTATAGACTTTGGACAATACCCTCTCTCGCCGCCTTCCTTCTGGCATTCTTCTTTTACCCGGAGACATATTTTCATCGCCCTGCTGTTGCATTCGATGGACATGTACTCATGCAGAGCGCAACGGAGAGAGTCGAGATCTATGAAGATTGGGAGGAGGTGCCTGGAGGAAAGGCTCTGCCGCAACTACCGGAAAATTCGAAATTGGCGGCGTCAATTAAGGAGCTGAGAGTCTGGGGGACTATCAACGGAGGGTGGAAGTCGATGTTGGCGTGTTATTCCCAGATTTTGATGTGTGTCTTTAATCCTCTGATCTTTTGGGTGACAATTGTCAATGCGGTTGCTTTCGGAGGCATGCTCTCAATAGGCATGACATATGCCACGCTTTTGGCCGCCCCTCCTTACTCTCTCCCCGTGGATGCTATCGCCCTCGTCAACATGAGCGCAGCTGTTGGCGCCCTTCTCGCCTGGCCAGCCTCAGGGATCATGATTTCGCGAATCTCTCGTCGACTCTCAATGCAAAGCGGAGGAGTCCGCCACGCAGAATATTATCTCCCAGCATTCGTTCTCCCGATTATTTGCGCGGCTGCAAGCGTCATACTCTATGGCTTGGCAGGGGAGCGTAGATGGCATTGGATCTGGATCTACATTGCCTATATGCTGAACGCTTTCAGCTTCGTTGGCCTAGGCACCGCTAATACGCTTTGGGTTACTGAAGCCTTTCCCCGCTGGGCGGCTGCTGCTCTAGCTATTGTTGGAGGTGGGAGCTATGTGATAAGTTTTGGCATTAGTTTTGCTATTCTACCATGGATTAAATCTCAGGGGTTTGCCCGTGCAAATATTGAGATTGGAGTGTTGACTTTAGTAGTTGGGCTTGTTTTGATTCCGGTAGCCTTTTGGGGGAAGAGTTTAAGGCAGTACATTCACGGACGATGGGCTATGAACGAAGGTGGTGCTTTAAGGCCGCAGTAGAGACAAAATTACATGCTTCAAGTAGCTAGATTCTCAGATCGAGTCTATCTCCAATCATCCTTTCGTAAAGGCGCGTTAATTCAATTATTTACAGATAAAAGAGAATTCAGGCACGTAGCTTGCTTAACCCTTGCCTGACCCAGGACAGAAGGGGGCCTCGGAGGCTGTCCCTAGATTTCTGCCGGCCCAGCAACCCTTCGTAGTTCTTGCAATACCAGTCCAGTGGCGTCGCTCTAGTTCATGCTGGCTACTGGCCTGCCTAATAGTTTTTCCCATTACACATTCATAACACGAACCTGGTAAGAAATAAGGCATAGGGTATAAATAATAAAAGGAATAAAATAAAGGAATTATAAGAGCTATTAATAACTTTATATTAAATTATTAAACTTAGGCTATATTATAAAACTAAATTATAACTTAATATTATAGTAATATAATATATAAGAAAAGGAAAAAGAAAAATATAATATAAATAATAAGAAATAAATATAATTAATATAATTATATAAGGCTAACTTATATATATAGTTTATAATTACTTTATAATAATTAATAAAAGATTTTATAAATAATAATAAAAGAACTTAATTAATAATAATTATATTAAATTTTATTTTATTTTATTTAATTTAATTTTAATTAATTTAATTTAAGTTTATTTAATTTTATTTAATTTTATAAAATAATAAATATTTTAATTTTATAAAATAATAAATATTTTAGTTTTTAATTAATATAATAAATATTACTATTAGTTTATTAATAGTATATAATATTATTATATAATATATATAAAATATAAATATATTAAGTTAATAAAGTAATTATTATTTAAAAGTAAGAATTATAAATTATAATATTAATATATAATTCCTAAATTTATTAAGCCTAATAGAAACTAGTTTACTTATTAAATTATATAATTAGTTATATAACTAGAAGTTCATAATATAGCTATTTAGATAATTATAATAGGTTTTAATATAAAATTAGTTAAAAGGCCTTTAAAGGCCTTATTTTAAATATTATTTAATATTATATTAAAGAAATTAATATTTTAAAATAAAAATTAATATATAATTTTAATAATAATTTATATATAATAAATACTAATTAATAATTAATTTAGTAAGAATAATATATTTAAAGAATAAAAAAATATTTTATATTATTAAAACTTTAAATTACAAGTTTTTTTTAAAAATAAAATAAAATAATTTATTCTAATAAAAGATTATATTTTTAAAAATATAAACTTTAAACCTATAGATATTTTTATTTATAAATCTAATAATATATATAAGAAAATAATAATATTTTATTAATATAAAAAAAAGAAATACTATTTTAATATTACTAATAATTCAAATATATTTAAACTTAAATAAGAATATTTAAATATAATAGTTTATAATATAATTCCTAAATCGGAAAATAATTATTCTTTATTAGTTTTTCTTATTATATTTTCTAAAGCTATTATAAATATAAATAAAAAAAGAATCTAGCTTATAATTAATTATATAAAACTTATTAAAAATAGTAAATCTAAGGAAAATAATATTAACTAGCTCATAAAAAGTTTAGAAAAATAATTTATTACTATTATAATTTAAAAGAACCTATAAAAATAACTTAATATAACTATTATTATAATTCGAGAAAATATTCGTAATTTATTTATATAATCTAGCTAACTATAATAGAAGTAATAATATTAATAGTCTAGTAAATATAATTCGGGTTTTTAGAGAAAATATACTAGAAGTTATAATAAAGATTATAGAAAATATTATAGTAGCTATAATAATTAAATTAGAATAAATAAAGAATTTAGATAATTATATTTTAAAAAAAGTTAATCTTAAATATAATTAGAGAATATTATTTAAGTTAATATAGTCTATAATATAAATCCAGAATTAAAAGAACGAATTTATTATAAATATTATAATAGAAATAAAAATAATAATATTAATTTAGAATATATTTATATTTTTTAATTTTATTATTTATTAATAAAAGAACTTATAAATTATAGATATATTTACTAGTTTAATAAAAGATAATATAAAGAGCTATTTAAGCCTAGATAAGAAAGTATTTCCTTTTTTCTTATTAGTAAATACTAGTAATTTAACTAAATTATTTCCCAAATCCGAGAAAAAGAATCTAATTATAATTTAAAAATATAATTTAAGAATATTTAGAAAATAATAAGAAATATTTAGTTTATTAAGTAGGAAAGAGATAAGAGAACTAGCTAACCGGAATTTGTATATAGAAATAAATAAGTTATATTTAGGGAATCTAAATAGCTATTTTGCTTTAAAGGAAATTATATTAAAATTACTAATATTTCAGGTTCTAGAATTAATAAATAATATTAAAATTTGATTATAAATAATATTTCTATTAATACTATAACGGGTTTTTTATTAAAGAAAAAAAAAGAAATAAAAATAACTAAAACGGTTTTCTAAAAGCAAACTAAAATAAAAGAAAAGCTATTTTATATAAGAAACCAGAAAAATACTACTTTAAGAAATAATAAATAAAGAAATAGCCTAGCTAAAGAAACAAATATTAATATATCCGGAAATAAATAGAATAAATTAGAAATTTAATATATTTTTAATTATAATAAATATAAGACTTTTAAAATTCATAATATTCTAATAAAATTATTAAAAAAAGTAATTATTTTATTTCTAAAAACTTAAAAAGAAATAAAAATACTTATTAATACTTTAAAAATACTAGATTTAGTTATTATATTTTAAAACTAGTAAATTAAAAATAATACTTTTTATTTTATTATTTTATAAATAGAAAATATTATTATATTAAATATAGTTAGATATATAAAGAAATCTATAGAGCTAATAGCTATAGCTTATATAATAAATAGAATATTTAAAGAATTAGAAATACTAGCTTAGATATTTAATACTAATAGAATTATTTAATTTAAAAATAATAGTATTAATATTTGAATATTACTAGCTTATAAATATATTATTATTAGTTTACTAGTAATATATAATACTATTATATAAGCGTGAAATACTAGTTATATTAAATTAATAAAGTTATTATTATTTAGAAATAAGAAATATAATATTATAATATTAATATATAATTTTTAAATTTATTAAATCTAATAAAATCTAGTCTACTTATTAAGTTATTTATATAATATAAGATTATATAACTATTATTTATATTCTATTACTTCTAGTTATTTCTAGGTTATATAACTATAATTATACTAATACTAGAATTTTTCTTTTAATTATATATAAATTTCCTAATTCGGTCTAGTATTAGATTTCCTAAATATTCTATATATTTATATTATTTTTAAGATTTTAATTATATACTAAAGGCTATAGCCTTTTATATATAACTTCTTTTCTTATAATATTTTCTTATTTTATATATTTATTTTCTATTTTATTTATATTTAATTTATTTCTTTATATCTAATTATATTATATTTATATTAATTAGATATTTAAAGGCATTTATTAACTTTAATTTTATTATAGAATTAATAGAATTTAATTCTTTTTTAATTTATTTAATTTCTATAATCTTTTATTATTTATATATCTAATAAAATATATTATATTAATTATTAGATATTTCTTTTAAATAATACCTAATTTAATAATGCATTTATATAATAATTTTGAATTCGTATAAATTACTAATAATAGTTTTATTTCTAGTATTCTATTAATTATAGATTTAATTAAAGCGCCTATATTAAAGCTATAAACTATATTATAAAGTTCTAAAACTAGAATACTTCTAGTAATTCTCTTATATTTAATAGAGAACTAGTAAATAATATTAATATATCTAGTTCTATTTACTAGAACTAGAATATATCTAATTTAGAAAAAGAGATTTCTATTATTTATAAATAAAGTATTTATAAAAATAATTAAATATAAAAACTCTTTTATTAGCTTTATAAATCTTAGTTCTCTAATAATATTCTTAATATACTATTAAATATATTTATTTAATGCTTTTATATTAGTTTTCGAGAATTTAATAGCTTAAATAATAATTAATAAATTATATAAAGCTTCTAATTAATAAACTAATATAATATATATTTCTCTAATATATTAGATAATATATTAATTCTTAATAGAAAGATCTTAATAAATAGTACTTCTATTATTTATAATAGTAGTATTTTTTATAGAAATAGTTTAAAGATTTTTATATTAGTATTTCTATATAAAAGTAATTCTAGTAATATTTATATAAATAATATTTTTCTTAAACTTGAGATTATAATTAAAAGAAAAGTATTTATATTTCTTAGCTAAGAACTTAGCCTTTTAAAGCTTTAATTACTTTGTCTTTATAAAATTATTAGTTCTAATAAATAAGATATTATTAGTTTAAAGGCTAATAATTCCAAAGAATTATTTATTATAAAAAAAATAAAAGTTATAAATTAATTATTTTATAGAAAGCTTATTAATATAATAAGAATAGTAAATCTTAAACTAGTTGTTTTTAGCTTCTAGTATATTATATAATAGTTTTATAACTTTTAGAATAGAATTATTTTTTAGATTTAGCTTTTTAATAAGCTTATAAAATAACTTAATATATAAATTATAATTAAATAAAATAATTAATTAGATATAAGCTTATAAGATATTATATAAATATAATTCTATAGTATTTATTATTATAGTAATAATATTAAGGATAATTCTTTAGCTAATATATTAATATTATATATTTCTTACTATTATTATAAGTTTAGATAACTAGTCTTAACTTTTTAAACTCTTTTTCTATATTCTTATTCTTAATTTTATTAATAGAACTATTAATCTAATTCTTATAAAAAGTAGCTCTTTTAATAGCCCTTATTTTATATTATATAAAATTAGTTTAATAGTTTTAGCTTATATATTTATATTAGGTTATTAAATACCTTTAGCCTTTATTTAAATAAAATTCCTTTTAAAGAATATATTTTTAATAAGTTATCTCTTAGACTGCTTTCTTTTAGTAAGCTTAGCTAGTATTATATATAACCGGCCCTTTAAAGTATAATTAATTCTCCTAGTAAAATTCAAGAATTTAGAAATTCTTACTTTAAATCTATATAATATTAGAATATAACTATTAAATTTAAAAAGGAAAAGAAGATTTAAAGCCCTTACTAAATCTCTATAAATTCCTTTTATTAGATTTCTTAATAAAGGGCTAATACTAAAAATCAGAGTTATATATTATTTGAATATTAAAAATCGACTTTTTAGTATATTTTAATAATAATTCTATTAAAACTTATATTTACTTTAATACTATATAACTTTATAATACCTTAATTAAATCTTAAGAAAAGAACTAGATCTAATACTCCTGCTATTTTTCTATTAATTCCCCTTATTAGCTTTCTTAATAAAGTACTATTATAAAAAAACAGAGTTATATACTATTTAAGTCTCAAAATTATACTAGCGGCCGCATTTATAGCCCGTATAAGAATTAGTATATAACTCATATACTAGTAAAAAATTATTCGGAATATTTATTAGCCTTGGAAATAGATTCTAGATATATAATTATAGAACTATAGCCCTAAAATAATAGTTTATTTCTTAAATAAGATATCGGGAATTTTTATTTTTTATAGAATTTAGTAAAAATAAAAAATAAAAAGTAAAAATTCTTTTTAATTAAATATAATAGTATATTTCTATTAGTATTCTCGATTTCGAAAAGTTTTCTAAAAACAGATATATATAATATTAGATAAAATATAAATTATAAAAATAATTATTTATATTAAAGTTTATATATTATTATTTCTTATAGATTTTAATAGAAATAAAAAGTAAAGATTTTTCTTACTTTCTTTAATTAAAAGTAATACTATATTTCTAATTATTTATTTTATAATAGTTTCTAAAAATAAATATATAAATAATATAAGTTATTTATTAATATAAGTTTAAATATTCTTAGTTATTTATATTTAAAATAACTAGCTATTTGGATTAGCTTATAATTCTAGTACCTATAATTATTAGGCCTTAATAAGCTATTATATTATTATTTTTTATTAAGGCTAGTACTTTTTTAATTAATAAAATAATAGAATTAATATATTATTCTGGATTCTAATTAAGCTTTAGACTAAAGAAATAGTCTGGCCTTAAGCCTATATATATATTTATATATAAATACTTTATTATTTTATTAAATATAGAGAAGTTCGGATTAGTTATTATATTCGAGAATAAAGAATTATTTATAGTTTAATTTATTTTTTAAAAAAAGAGTTTTATATTTATTATAATAAAAGATTTATATATAACGGGTTTTAATATTAGTTTAACTAATATTTCCTTTAGTAAATAAGGTTTATAATTTTATATAAATTTATTATAACTAGAAGACTTAAGTTTCTGGCTTATAATACCTAAATAGAAGTTAGTTATAATCTAATAATAATATTTCAAGAAATAGGTCTGTTTTTATTTATTTTATTAGAATACTTTAAAGTATTATATATTAGTTATATATTGCTTTTACTTATTAAGCTTGTTTTATTTATCTAAAGATATAATCTTTTTAAATAATATATTAAATAATTATAGATAATACTTTATTCTAGAGAATTAATAATATATTTAATTAGATAAAGAACTATTATTTAAAAACTATTACTATTATATCTATTTCTAGCTTAGTAATATATATATATATATAAATAGCTTAAAGTACCTTAATTTAATTTATTACTAATTGCTTTTCCGGAAAAGTCTTATAATATAAATAAAGCTAGGTTTTTATTAATAGATATTAATAAGAGTCTTTATTTGAAGTATTTTATATAGTAGAATTACGGGCTTATAACTATTTGTTTTTCTGAATAATAATTATAAATAAAATAAAACTAGATATTTATTTATAAATATTAATAAAGGTTTATTCTATAAGTATTCTAGATATTATTATTTATAATACTTGAATATAATTCTAATATTACTAATTCTATAATATAGTATTTACGGCTTTAGGTATTCTAATAATAAATCCTATATATTAGTTATTAGATAAAAATTCATTTTAATAAGAATTAATAGAATTAATAATTAGCCGGAATTATTATTAATAATTTTATTAGCCAGAATTATTAATAAGAATTCTAATAAAAGTATTAATAACTTTCTTATTAGTCAAATTTATTAATAAGCTATTAATAAAACATTTAATAATATAGCTAAGATTTATTAGTTATTCTTATATCTATAATTCTAATTAGTTATAAAATTAGGAATCTAAATAAATGCCTTTTTATAATATTTACTTATCCTAAATATTTTATAAAGCCGCGAGTTATTTAGAATAAATATTATAAAATAGTATTTATTTAAATTTAAAAAAAAGACTTCCTTAGATTCTTTTTTATAGAAATATAGTTTGAGAATAAAATAGACTATAATAAGAAAAAGTATAGCTTATAGCTTATTTATATTCTTATAGAAGTAAAGTACTAATTTATAAAATAAGTAAAGCCTTAAAAGTTTATAATTAGTAAATTATTATATAATATTTAAAAATTAAAATAAGTAAATAATAACTTAAATTTAGGCTAGACTTATTACTAAAAAGGAATATTTAATATATATTTGAATTCTGTTTTATTTAATTAGAATCTTAATTATAATTAACTAAAGAAATAATAAAAATAATTAAAAAAATAATAAAGGTAAAAAAAAAGTAAATATAAAGAATAAGAAATTTTAATAGAATAAACTCGCTTAAATTATAATAACTATTTCTAAGTTTATTAGCCAAAATTATTTATATAAGCCTTTTTATTAAAAACTTATTAAAAATCCTAACTTTAATATAATATTTACTTTTCTAATTTTATTTCTATATTATTTTAATACTTTTTAGCTTTATATTTGAAATAGGCAAGATAACTAAATCAGGTAATAGTTATATTTAAACCCGTTTATAATCTCAATTACTAGTTATAATACTAATTTATTTACTAGTAAATTAATTATGAAATAATTATATTAATATAAGAACTCTTTAATATACTAATTTATCTATTTATAGAGCTTAAGCCGGACCTAATATTACTTATATAAATAGTTAAATATAGCTGCCGGATATATAATATAATAATATTTCATATATAAATAAAGTAGTATACTATAATACTTATTCAATATAATTAAATAATTTAATATTTGGGGAATAGAATCTATCTAAATGAGTTATTTATTTATTATATTAGTTATATATATATTAATGGGTTTAGTATGATTTTATAAGAATTGTAATTAATAGAAGTAGTAATTAATACTAAAGTTCTATACTTGCAGATTTTATAATTACTGTATTATATAAAAAAAAAGGAATTAAAAGTCAGTTCTATAATTTTTACAAGGAATAATATTAGGCCGCCTCGGCTTTACTAGTACTAGGCAGCAGATCCAGGCTCGGTAAAAATATCTAAATTTCCGGTATTAATATATATTAATGCCAGAATTATAAGGTATTAATAGTATTAATAGTAGTATTAATTCCCTGAACCTAATTTTCCCCTTTAATTATAATTAACTTTCGAACTACTAGTCTTATAAGAAAACTTTTAGTAATATAAATATTCTTCTTAATTTAGGCTTTCTATCTAACTATTTATCTTATACTTTAGACTAAAACTAATCTCAATGCAGCTATTTTAAGTAAAAATGAGCTTTTGGGATTTTCGTAAGGCTCGCTTATATATTTAGTGCCTTGATAAGAAATATGAATACGGGGCTTAATTCTTCAAATATGAGAAGTATTTTAAATTTTAAATATTATTAAATCTTATTAATAATAGTAAATAAATTTTTTAATAGAAAGACTAGAAATAAAAGGAATTATATATGAATATATTCTTATATAAATAAAATAATAAAATAAAGAGATAATTTTTTAGGGGTAAGAATTAATAAGGTATTAATACGTATCGATTCTTATGATACCTGAAAAATACCTAATACTATCAATACCGGTATCGATGCCTCAGGTATTTTTGCCGAGCCTGAGCAGACCCGACTAGTATTAGCGTTTTGTATTTTTAGTTAACTGACTCTTTGTTCAGGCATCCTAATTTATAAACCTTGGTAATATGCAAGCCACAACCCGGACAAGGTAATCGATTTTTATGCAACGCCTGCCCTGGGTTAGCCTCACCCCTTAATATTAATCTAATTTAAACCAGCTATGTAGCCTGTCGTCTACTCCTTTCTTTTCTATAATTCGCTCTTCGATCTCGGCGTATTAAGCAATCCTACAATCCATCTATCCTGACAACAGGAAGTAAATGCATCGCGATGTCGGAATATAATGAAGAAGCTGCCCATTTTCGATCTTTTGCCTCGGCATTCGAGGCTGCGATCATGAAGAAACGAAAGGCCGAAGTTGAGGAAGAAGGAGCGGGAGAAGAAGAAATAGAAGAGAAAGGTCCACCGCTATGCAGATTTTGCGCAGGATTTGACTATGACATGTTAGTTTCTAAGAAAGGCTACGTTCACCATGCAACCTTCGCAGCTCTCGAGTTTTCAGCAGCCCAAAATTGTCAAATCTGCTCTCTCGTAGTAGATTCAACAAAGAACCGGAGACTTGATAGCAAAGGATTTCAAGATCATCTCATACGATGTATCTACACCCCGTCTCTGCAGAGTTTCGAATGGTTTGGAATTGCGCCTTCTCGCTCTCAGGATTGGGAATATGTTCCATTCAGTACACCGACTTCCGATATTATTAAATTTGCTGAGTTCGTCATTTGTACGACTTCTGGTATTTTCTCTCTTTACTTTGTTAGCATCTATTGCTAATAGAAAACTTAGATGACCCTCTTGGCAACATAATTACCCCGCGCCGAAAGAGGCAAAAGGTGTTCTCCAAGAAAAGCCTCCAAGAAATGAAAAACTGGCTAGATATATGCAAACGAAATCACAAACGCTGTCCTACCATTCAAATTCATCCCTTACCCACTCGAGTCATTGATGTTGGATCGGCGTCAAAGGCTCCTCGTCTGGTGGTGGAAAATGGAAAACCTGCGATGTGGGTTGCTTTGAGTCACTGCTGGGGGACTGCCCAGCCGCTCATAACAGAAACGAGCAATGTAGAGAACCATTGCCGAGAAATCGCACTCTCGAAAATGCCACGGACATTCAGGGACGCAATTTTTGTTACCCGAGCCTTGGGCATACGATATATCTGGATTGACTCCCTCTGCATTCTGCAAGACTCCAAGAAAGATTGGTTGAGCGAGTCTGCTAGGATGGAAGATGTATACCGGAATGCTGTTCTGACCATTTCTGCCGATGCTGCACCCAATAGCTCCACTGGTTTGGTTCACTTCTCACCGAAAGACGAATATCCTGACCATATTATTGCAACCACTACTTGCTACAGTTCTCGTCATGGGGTTTGCGGCAAAATATATTTTAGAGGCATTCAACATAAGCTGCCTGAACAAGCTCGAGGTCCGCTAAGTAGCCGGGGCTGGACGTTGCAAGAGGAAATTCTGAGCCCTAGGATATTGCACTTCACCCAGCAGTCTACTTTCTGGAGATGTGTTGAAGGGCGGACCGATGAGGGGTGTCTGCTCTCTGAAAGCCCGCACTTTGAAAACTGGTTCAACGCGATCTACCCCGACAACGGACTGGACTCTTACCATAGAGCAACTAACCCCCTACCTAGGGGTTGTTGGTTCCAGCGATCATATTCCTACAACAATATCATGGAATACTGGTATTTTTCGGTTCTAGATCCTTATATCTCTCGAAGGCTGACATATGAGACCGACAAGTTTATTGCAATTGGGGGCATCGCGAGGGTCCTGCAGCCTCATATTGACAGCAAGTATAAGGCGGGACTGTGGGTAGACGACATACATAGAGGACTTCTCTGGATCCCAAACGAGGAAGGGCACACGCAAGGTGCTACAAGATACGAGCATTTCGTGGCTCCATCTTGGAGTTGGGCGAGTCTCGGTTTCGAAAAGTCCCAGAGCCAGACTACAAAGAAATTCCTCTACGAAGACCTCCGGGACTGGAGTATTACACCACTTGGTCACATTAAGGAGGTCAGTGTCGACAATGTAAACGAGGACCCTTTCGGTCAAGTTGTATCTGGGAAAATCGTCATTCAGGGCCAATGTTGTGCAGTTTGTACCTGCACTGTTCAAGTAGCCTTTTTCGACGAGCGCATTTCCCAGTACGAAGATGATTCGGCAGAATACGAAGAATACGAAGAGTACGACCGCAGTATCGGATGGGGCATTGACGAGAGTCTCGAACATAGAGATTCTCCACACTGGAGAGATTATTTCTGGAACTATTCCACAGTCAATAATGCCTCAGCTAATGGATTTAACCAGCTGAGAATAGAGAAGGTCGGAGAAGAACTGTGCAAGAATGATACTGGGGTTGAACATTCAGAGGTGCTCTATCTGAAAATTGCGAGGTTAACATATCCAAGATGCAATACGATTATTGCCGGCTTGATCCTTAAGGAGACCAGAAATGAGAAAGATGATGTTCTTTATACAAGGGTAGGGCGTGTGTTGATGACGGAGAAAAGTATAGCAGTAATAGACGCTGGAATAGATGTATATAAAGACACAACATCCTGGCCGGAGCGGATAGTAACTATTATTTAAAGCTTCATGCAGCCATCGCACTTACAAGAATCGCGTCCATCAGTGAGAATGTGCTGGCTAAGTTGACAAGATGAGGTGACTCGTGTGTCACCTAGAAGCAGTTTGCGCTGTGATCGACATGATTAGCAATCAAAATTTGCTTTCAAAGGTACCGTTTCGCCCTCGCGTTGACGGTGAAGTGTGGAGAATCGGCGACATATTCTGTGGGATGTGGTAAAGCGAACACCAGTTTTGTGGCTGGCTGGCATGCAGACCGTGTTGCTACTTCTCAACACTAGTGGGGTTCTAGATCGTATCACGAATGCAGGCCAACGAACATCAAGATCAGCCAGCCATGGAGCGTTTAACAATCGATAATTTGCAAATATGCGTCTAGTAGTCTGAGCTAGGCGGACTAGAGCCATGAAAGCATAGCGTGGCATAGAGCTCCAAAGAGTCGTCGGAAGCCGCGGCTCTTGCCGACTAAATGGGGGCTAGCTGAACCTTATTAGGAACTCAGCTAATGCAAGCCGCCTCGTGAATCCGGAAGGGTACGTAGGGTCTCGAGTCAATGTGGATGATGTGGGGTATGATGGACAGCTGACATGCAATTAAGGTTTGGTTGTAGACAATGGTGCAACCCACTCGTTCTTTTTACTGCAGTACATATTTCAAGACAGCGACACACGCTTTTGACGAATCCGTTGGGTTACTTTCCATGCTTCTGACCCTCGACCTATACGATTCATTATCATATTTACATTGACATCTGCAACTAGAGTCTCGAACTGTTGATACAATCCATCTTTTCCTTCAGAGCTTGATCAAACGAAACACAGCCTGCCTACAAACATTCCGCCCCCGCTTTGAAATAGACGGCATTCCGATCGCAGAGCACTTTCCTTCATCAGAAAGTCAAGGGGTAACGGAGACGACAACCCTCGTACAACTACTGGCAGCAAGCAAGTTTCCAGACCAGGTCCAAGCATGGGCAACCAAGACTGGAGCGGGTACCCCGGATTATGTAACGGGACTTGCCAAAGACAACCCCCTTTCTAAGAACGCCAAGGGTAAGTGAGAATGTTTGAACACGTGCCCAACTCTCGATTGTGAAGGCTAAAGTCAGACTTGCTAGGGGTGCCAATCGTCATAATCAGTTGCGACAAGACTCCAAAGTCAATTGAAATTGCCGGTTGGAAGGCTCTGAATCCCTTAAAATGGCAGTACACAATCCCGGCTTCAAATCCCACCAAAGTGGTTAACGTTCGTGTCATGCCTCGCGATCAACTGGAGTTTCAAGCCATGATTGGCTCATGCATCCAATGTATAACTATATACAATGCTGACGAACAGGAGGCCAATCTAGCGGGCCGATTTCGTATAGACGCTGGCCGCCTCACACTGGGCCTGCTTTTCCGTCATAAGAGTATAGGGTTGTGGGCCGTACTGGTTGCACATGCCTTCACATATGATATGGTGAAGGTGTAAGACTTCACCTCCTATCCATTGCCGCCTGGTCGGTGAACTGGAACCTGCTAGGGCTGCTGCTAACTTGATTCAGTGCCGTAAATGACAGCCTCAAGAACGCAGTCCTAGCTTGCAAACCCCAGGGCATGAGCAGTCAATGCGCTGCGTGTCTGGGCTCTAATTGCGCCCAGTGCGACATGAGGCTCTTCAAAATTTTGGCAAAGGGGAAGGATTCGATATATCGTGCAGTTTCCATCCGCTGCATGATTTAGGCATTGCCAAAATCTCCGATGTTGTGGGTTTGAACTCGCAGGTGGGACATCTGAACGTCCTGGGATTTGCTCACTCCTTGGTTCAGGCCCTTACGATGCCATACAGAAATAATGAAACGAGCAACGCTGACCAGAGTAGGAGATGTCGATGCGGATAGTCCGAAGTATGTCAATCTAAAAGCCATGAAATTGAAGGGCGTGGGTAAAAAGTGCGCTACATTTCGATTCATGCAGCAGCTGATGCTCCGCGAAACGCCCGCCATTATGTTTAAAAAGGGATTTAAGAGTGATTGGACATGGGGGTTCCTGTGGGGGGTCAGCGAGAGGCAGGTCCAAATCATATCTCCGTATACTGGTACGGCCTTGTTGAGTGAACCTGGTGACTGCGGGGCTACGTGGTTTGGTAAGTAGCACACCTTGAACGCTTAAAGACGAACAAGCTGTACTGACACGGGGCCCGAATAGTGATCGATCCCGATGAGTGTACAGGCCAAAACGGCGAAAAGTATCTGGCGGCTTTACCTGTTGGCTGTCACTTTGGTAAGCCAGACGCCGGGTACACAGATAATAACGGCAGAACCTACGACCTCGCGCTGGGTGAACCACACTGGAGAGCATTTGGCGATGTTTACTACAAGATAAACGAGACCGTTCAGAAAATTAGCGGAATGAAGAAAGAGGACATAAGAATCAATATGGCTGACTCGTTCAGCCCTATCGTATAGTTATTAAGATATGGCGGTTGGAGAGATAGGGGGGTATTTGTTGTATGTGCAAAACTTTAAAACCCTGAGCCCCAAAGGCTCTGACGGTTATTCCTAAATTAAATAAACTACTTTCAGATTTCTCTAGCGTCCGAGCGCTTCGAAGGATAGGGGCATTATGGATTTAAAACTATGTTCAAATACACAAAGGGTGTGTAGGCGGCTTATTAGGTTACCGAAGCGACTGCAACCCCCAAACTAAGCACAGGGAATTGATTGTCGCTCTTAGTGTTTATCTACCAGAAGCGGATAGCACAGAAGTCGCGTCCGTATCGTCGTTAACAGAGTTTCTGGTGAGGCAGGCCCATGCAAGTAACGAACGTCGCTATTACCACCCTGTCACGTTACACACCCATTTAGAGGACATAGGGATATCGGCGCAAAATTGCAGAATGAGTATGACGATAAACGGCGAGGGCATTTAAGGGGAAGGTAATGGGTACGAATCGTTTCAATGAGTAAAGGCCCGGTTTGTAGCGCAAGGAATAACAAACCAATTCTATACTATCTTTGCCATCGTCTCACGGTGCCGTATCGTTGTCTGCAAGGAATACGGCATAGACGTAGTAGAAGCCCAAATAACAGTTGAGCTGAAGAAAAGGCTATAGAGGTAGGTTGTTCCGCTGTTCCATCCAAGGGTAAACTTGCACTTTGCTGATACCATAATGGTTGTAGTATTGACAGCAATGGGTACAATTGGAATTAGTTTCTCCCACGATAGAGTGTGAAATCGTCAATTCAGCGACTGTTAAGAGCATGTACGTAAGATTAGTGGAAGTTGGGCTGTTTAGATTTAAGCCTTGTGTTGAGGAGTATATCGACGTGTAATAAATATGTTTAAGAGGGATATTTCGATGTGAATGCTCTAGAAAGCGAATAATAGAGAGATCGAGTTCTTGAGTTTGTTCTGGCCAACGATATTCAAAATTTGAACCCCCAAATCAATCAATTTCCATTATAACCATATCCATATATACACCTTTCCTTTCCCCCCTCTCGTCTCACAGCAATCTGCACGTCTAAACATCACCTTACCCAATACATATTATACACCTTTCCTTCCCCCTCCCCCTTATTCGACGACCAACAGCACACCATACGCCTTCCCCAACTATCCACCAGCATCCCATCTCTGCCTCCGTTCTGTCCAGCCCTTGATCTTCTTCGCGTCCAGCTTCATTGTGAACTTCTGGGAACGGCAGCCACCGCTCATGAGATATGCTTCCAATTATTGGTCCCAAGCCCTGTAAATCCACCCATTTGTGATTTTTATAAAGACCAAGCTTCAGAGAAAGGTGTTGTTGACTCAATGTAATTGGGGTTGGTCGCTCTTCGCGATTTCGAGAGCTAGGAGGAGGAAAGCCACGAAGATTGGGAGCAGTTGAAAGAGGTTCTGGATTCTTGTAGGTTTCGACTCTTTCGAGGAGTTGCGCGATGATATGGCAGATTTTGACTCGCGTTCAAAGTGTCAATTCGCAATCAACGGTTATCCCTTTTGTCCAACAGCGCACAAACGACCTCGCAGATGCGTCCTAAAGTGTTCCGCTATTTCCTCTCAAGACCCCGGTTCTCGTGTGAACCTCTAACCCTCCTCAACTTACCAGCCTAATGCTTCGCTGCTGTCTAGCGTTTCACCCCAGAAAAGCGGCTTTATCAGCCGCCGCTCGGCCAATTCGTGTGCGTCTTTTAGTGTTTCGGCGAAGCACTACTATAAAATAAATGATAGGGATTATCCCGCTAATAGCAGCCTCAATCTAGATCATGTCTATGCAGAATCCGTGTGTTTTAAGTCGCGTGGTGTCTTTTCTTAGTCAAACTTTCTGAGAGAGAGACATATTACGAAGTACGAGGTGTGGAAATTCGGATGGCATGACTTGGACATACTATGTTTGAGTACGAGTACCCCGCCAAAAGACGAGGTACAGCAACCTCTAATTAAAGAAACTTGTTCTACTTCAAATTAGATATTCGCTTGTCATTCAGTCATCTTTTCGTTTCAAGGGTATCTCTACACTCAATTGGGAAGTAACTTCTGCGTTCTCGTGATCGGGTAATGCGGCTCTGGTTGAGTTGACTTCCGGATCTGGAACAGGAGCAACAAGCTCCTCAATTGGAGCGTCCCTCTCCTCAGTATAATTATCCTCCTCTTCAGCTTCTTCAGAAACCTCACAAAATCCCTCCGTTCTATCACAGCACTCGGTATAAGCAGGAGCAGCTTCTCCAAACCCAGCCACTCTTTCGAAAATACTCTTTCTAAACTGCTCCAACTCTTGTCTTGAATCTTCCACCTGCCTCGCAGTTCCCTTAATATTCTCAAGCGACTTCTCTTCCCTTTGCTTCGTCAGGGTAGCAAGTCTCTCAAGCGCCTCCTCGGCTTTCGACAAGCTCGCCAGAGCAGATGCAACTGCTGCCACGATCTTCTCGCGAGTGAACGCCGTATCGACGACTGACTTCGAAGCCTTGAGATAAGAATACGCCTCCACCTTCACAGCGACCATCTCCAAGAAAGGAGCAAGATATTCTTCAATTCGACCCGTCGAGTTGATCGCATCTATGATCAGTTCGTTTCCCCGGCGCAGGCGAGCAAAAGCATCATCCAAGAAGAAGACACTATCCACAGCCTTCTGATCCGCATTCCTCAAAGCAATCTTAGCTTGCTTGACATGTCCCTGTGAAACTGCCAAAATCCTCCTAACCTGTCTTGCTGATCGAATCGCTTCTTTGATGGTCTCATTCTTCCTCCTCGCTGCGTAAAATCTATGCTCCCTCTCATCCTCTCTCGGAAATCCCGGCGTCGGGCCAGCAAATAACCGCTCATACAACTCATCAATCCTTGCATGTGTCTTCGCATGTTCTTGCACTTCCCTCTCCAGTAGTTCCTGTTTCTCAACAGCCTCGTTATAATCTCGCTGCAACAACAACCTTCTCTTCTCAGCTTTACTTTGCTCATTCAGCAGATCGAAGTATTCTCTCTCTTCTTTCATGGCCTTGGCGTCAAATTTCGCGAGCATGTTTGTTGCACGATAGATAAAGCGGCGAGTGGTGGAGTCGCGGAGTTTCCTGTGGCGTTTGAACTTGGAGTCGACATCGTCTTTGAGCTTTTGCAGGATCACGGTGTGCTCTGATAAGTTTGCTTTTAAGGCTGTGAGGTGTTTTTCGTGGCCGACGAGAAGACTGGGTGCTGTGCTTGTTGAGGAGAGTTTTACGAGGAGGGAGGAATTCTCGGAGGCGCAATCGAGGATTGCTGCTTTGATGTCGGCTTCGTTGGTCATTGTATGTACTTGGATAATATCGCGATTGAGGTGGGTATCAATACAAAAGTATGTATTTTCAAAATCAACTCAAGCTGATGGAGCAATTGAAGACATTAAAATACAAATAATAATAAAAATCTAATCGGAGGTCGCGGAACCAAGATGTATTCGTGTGTGTGTCACTTTGTGGCTATGCCCCTGATTTGGAATCATCCCGTCAGCTTATGTTACCTTACACGAAGCCCTACCTTGAACTCAATCACGTGCTGTGCTTTCCCCGAACTGGCGTTAGTCAGCCCAACACCCCTCCTTTCCACACTTGAACAATTACTGCAGCCAAGGAAATCTTCATCTATAGCCCTCTTCTTTATGTCCATGCTTCCTGGCGTTGCTTCGGTCCTGTGTCTCATGTAGGCTATGCTAGCAATTCTTGCACAGGAATCTATCCGCAACCTCAACCACTAGTTGTGGGGCAGATCCATCCAGCGGTAATAAGACTGTCGAATAATCGTACATATATAGGAACTCTTTAAACAATCTACCTACTTGCGAGGCTGAAGCTGAATCTCATGTTTTCCGTGCAAGTGGTTGGAAATGGCTGTTGGGCTCAAAGAGTAACAATGGGCGTGGTCGCTCGTGCAACTTAGCAAGCTATAACGCTCGTGAGCCAGATCAAATGCCTCAATATTTGGGGATAGCCTCTGCTGGGGTAGGTTATTCGTCTACTATGCTGGCTGGAAACAGTTGATTTATTGAGATATTTACACATCCTTTGTTCTCTGCTTCTTCTGCCTCTGTCGTCTCACCAAAATGCAATGCATCGAACCTCAAAGCTTTTTTTTATGCTCAATATTGCCTACTCTAATTAATTCAGGGCTTGCATGAAAAACTCCAAAGGGCCTGCCCTCCTGTTTTGCGTGGCTATCAAAAAACTGCAGAATCAATACCTCGTCAGGTTGCTGATCCTTGAGCCAATACCATTTTTGTCATTCGGATTGTTCTCTACTGAGGTTGTATGTGTTCGAAAGATACGGCCCGTTAATACCAGGCCGCTTCAAGCCATTCTCAAGAATACTTTGCTCGTTAATACTGCTTGGATCACATATGGCGAGTGGATCCCTAGCCACGGGCTTCAAAGGTCTCCAGATACTGTATATAGCGTAGCGCCGACCCTCGTATCTTCCATCCTCTGGAATTTGGTCCTCGGCAGTAATAATATCTTCGGCCTCGAACCTTATGTCGCGGCGGCCGTATTGCGTAACGACATTTCTGATTCAAACAAAGCAGCACATTATAACGCTCGTTTAACTAGATATAATGACTTAATTTTTGGGGAATGGGTTCTACCTGGATGGATTATTCGTCTGCTATACTGGTTATATGATTATTATTAGGTTTAATGAGGGTATATGGGGTTAGGGTTAATAGAAGCGACGGTCAATTCCAAAGATCTGCAGTCACGGATATCACGATTACCGTACCATATAAATAAAACGGAATTAACGGTCAGTTCCACGACTTTTACGAGAGTTAATATTAGGATATTGGCCCGTTACTATATTATTTTCCGGTCTAGCAAAATATTACTATATAACTAGTATATATCTCTCAAGATAGCTTTAGCTATAACTAAAATTCGGACGAGATCAGGATCCTTAGTATCCTCACTACTCGCATTAAGCTCTTTTTTTAGTGGCAGCTTATACGAGCTCCAGATCTTCTTATCCTTTAGTATTATTAAATAGTATGGAAATCCCGTTAAGTCATATAGCCATGGTACTTTTTCTGATCTCGAATCTCTAATATCCTGGACTATAGTTACTTGCTCCTCAAGATCATATTTCATATTCTTATAATTCTTCTCTAACTTCTCAAATAATTCCTTCTCGGGCTCTATTAATAATATAGAGCCCCGAACTATTCCCTTAACTCTGCCTTTCTCCTTATCCATAACTATAAAGTAATTAATATACTCCCTCGCAGTAAAGTATATCTATAGCTTATATTCGTTCTATAATAAACCGTTCTTCTATTCTATATCTTTTACCTTATAAGAGGCTATATGCTCTTTTATCCTAGGAAGATACCGGATATAATATGTATAATATAGGTAGAAAGAGCCATTATAGCTAGCTAGGTACTTGATTAGCTAATATTAATCTTCGGGTCGAGGCTTATACTTCTTGAGCTCCTTAACGGTCCTTAAGTTATAGTAGCTCAAGAGCTAAAGGGTTATTTTTAAGACATTCCCAAGTAGGCAGTAAGGGGTAGCCCTTAAATACCGCTTCTGGACTAAGTATCCAGGAATAATACAGGACTAGTAAGTACGATATACTACTATATAATATAGGGAATTATATAAAAACATAACGGGGCCTAGAAGAGGCCTCCCTATATAAATAGCAGTAATGGTATAGGGCCCGCCTTTCCTACTATATCTTCTAATTAAAAGGGCGGATTAGTTAGCCGGAAAGGCGGGCCAGTTACTGGCCCGTATATTCTGACCGGAAAAGGGGCCCCGTATAAGAAATATATTAATTCCTTTTACTTATTTCTAATAAACTTAGAATCTAAACTCTAATCTCATATCTTTTTCTAATATCTAATTAGATTAGGCTATTAGAAAGATAAAAAGTATTAATTCTTATAAATTACTTTAAAAATTTTAAATAATAAAGAAAAGTAAAAAGAATAAGAAAAATAAGAGTTCGATAAAGAAATAAACTTAAGATATTATAGATAAATATATAATATACTTATTTAGCTTATATTATATAATAAAATCTAGAAACTAATTTTTTATTTCCAAATAAAAAAGAGATTAAATAATATATAATTATATAATTTCTTTTTTTAAAGAAACTAGATTAATTTAAACTAGTCTATATATACTACTAGCTTATAATACTTATAATTAAATTAGCTAGTAGATTTTACTAGAATACTTAACTAGAATAGGATTTAAATTATATAATTCAAGTAAATATATAACTATATTTATTCTAGCTTTAGGTTATATATATTAAAATGAGCTTTTTTTTTATTAAAAGTCTAATACCAAGCCTTTATAATATAATTAGAACTAACTATATATATTCTTACTATTATAGTAATTTCTTAGCTATAATATAATAGAGGCTAGTAAAAGCTAGCTTTTTATTATTATTTTAGGTATTAATAGCCTTCTAAAAAAAGAAAATAAGGCAATTAGTTTATAAATAATCTCGAATATACTATACTAGTAAACTAATTATAGATTTAAAGCCCCGGCAAGTAATATAAGTAGTTTCTCTCTAAAGTAAATATTATAGAAAGGAAATTATAATAAAACAAAAACTCATAAAGTATACTAGAATATAAAACGTGATTTAATAATAAAATAATAGGATTAAAAATATAAATAGTAAAGTATAAATAGTATATAATATATAAAAGCTTAATTAATTAAATATAGAAAAACTAGTTTTTTTATATAATTCCTATAAGTTATATATAAAAAACCGCGGCTTTTATTATATAACTAAAACTTTAAAACTACTAAAATAATATAATTTTTAGAAAATATAGCCTATTATACTATATTCGATTTCTTATTTATTTATACTTGTTTTCTAAATACTAAAACTAATAGAAAAATCCTATTTAGAATTCGAAATAATAAAATAATTAGAATTCTCTTTTATTAGCTAATTCAATTTCTTTTTAATATACCTAAAATAAAATCTATTACTTTTAAATAATCTTATTTTATATTTCTAAACTTATTTAAAAATAATCCGAATTCGCTTAGCTATATTCTTATACTAAATCCGATATAATTCTCTATATTAATTAGTATTTGCCTTTAATTATTACTTAATTTCCGCCTTTATTACTAGATATTAAGGGAATTTATTATAGTGAATTATATTATAAATTATACTAATATATTTTAAATAAATAGCTTTTTCGAATTTCGGATTATTTATAATATTTTTAAATTAATTTTTAATAAAAAGAAAAAGCTTTAGATAAAAGAGATTCTATTTTTATATATTTTATTCTTAATAATAATTAGACTTATTAGAATTATAGTAAAAGGCCTATTAAATAATAAATTATTATTAAGCTATTTTTTAGTTTCTATATTATTTGAGAATTATTACTTACCTATAATTCCAGACTTATAAATTACCTAGCTAAAGGCATTTATTTATCTAGTTAAATAAACTATATTTGAAATCTTTTCTTCTATTACTTTTAATAAATACTTACCTATTTCTTTTATTATTTCTAGCTTAAAATTATTAGAAATAAAAAAGTAATTAATATTCTTAAAAAAACTTCTTATTAAAAATAATAGCTTTTTTATAGTTTATAAGAAAAATATAACTAATATTCTAATACTTTTTATTAAAATAGAATTCGCTATTTAAAGCTTTAGTAATAGCCAGATTTTTATTATTACCTTTATATTAATTATAATTAATATTTCCAGAAATATAGTATTTAGCTAGCTAAAAATAAATAATTAGATAAATAGAATACTTATTTAATACCTTATAAAATCCGAGCCATATTAATAAATGTATTATTAAGAATTAAAAAACTAAAATAAAATAGCTATTATTTAGATTTTTAGATTTTAATACTTTATTTTTTTAGAAATAGAATTATAATATCTTTATTTCCTATATTAAAAACTCTTAAATACTAAGCTTTTTAATTTATTTCAGGTAATTGTTTTTATAAATATAATTATTTATATCCAGATTACTAATATTAAATTCAGGAATAGGAATTATAATATTAAATTAGAGTTATAGATTTGGGCGAAATTAATTAGAAATATAATACTTATATTTATAATTTATAATTTCCTAGTTTTCTAAAAAGAAATCCCGTATTTGTTTATTTATTTAAATAATAGAAATATATTTCTTGCCTTTAGTAATTTTATAAATTAAAATAACTAGCTTTAAAATATTCTTATTAATATTAATATCTCTTATATTAATAAATAAAATATGAATAAGTTATTAAATCTATATTTTATAAAAAGCTTTAAAAAATCTATTATTAATTCTATAATATTCTTATTTATAAATAGATC